TCTCCTAAGAGGCGGACCCCCTCAGCTCGGCTGGACAGGACTAAGGTCCCGGCTGTCACTGTGCGATTGCCTCAGCACTGAACAGACCGTGGGAAGACCGATTAACAATCAAGCATGACGTCAGTTGTGGAAAGCCACGAAAGCTTGAACAGTTGAGTTGGGGAAATCTGTAGAACTGAACATCTCAGTGTCAATGAAAATGCGAGTTGCCAACATGTCCGTAACATCTTTCTTTGCCCGCTACTCAAGCAGCCCCTAGTTGGTGGTTTGGATTGGTCATTTGGGATAAATGGGAAACCACCCCTGCACCACCAAAACACCAATTAGAGAGAAGATGATCTGCTGAACTGATGCTGGTACCTCGGCCAAGGAATAGGTGACATGCTCTTGGATCTCAAAAAGGGGACCTCCGAAAATTGCAACGGCAACCCCAAAACGGACCGTGCAACCCAGTGCTTTGCAGGAAAGTTCAACCACCCGGTTTGTCCGGGCTGGGACAGTTTACTCACCCAGTTTGAGGGCCCAAACCCTCATCTTGTCCGTTTACCACCAATACTCCAAACCCCAAAAGCTGAAAGTCCAGTTGAGTCAGTCTACTGGCCTTTCCGGCAGGTTGCTAAAATTAGGGATCCTTGGCAGGCAACCCTTTGAAAGGCGGTCATCTTTTTGACAGGCCAAACAAGTCAAAGTCCAGTGGGTTGATCAATGCTCCTGGCCCGCAAATGACCATGGGCAACATTTTCCTGTTTAGTGAATGAATTATCAAATCTTTTTAGTGGTTTCACCCAATGGAAATCACATGCCTTTTGGTCAACCTGCAACTCAGGGAGTGAGTAAAAGAACCCAAAGCTTCGGCCAAACACGCAAAGCTCAACCCAGTTTAATCCACGGCCCGAAAGTTTCACCCATATATAGATATATGGCTACGATTTTTTTGAGGGTCTATAACGCGCGACGCGCCACGAATCTTGTTTCGGAGGTCTGCAACGGAGGTCCTTGTTAAGCAGGTCTGTAACAGGAAAACATGTCTTGACAAGTATCAGTATCAGTAGCACAATGTAGCGCAGAACAACGAAGAGCAGCAGCTCCCGCTCGAGAGTCACAACTCTTCAGTACAAGCGCAGTACGCAAAGCACGCCTCCGCAGCCCCGGCTTAAATTTTGCAACTGCCGACACAAAACCAAGCGATGGCAAGAAGGGGGGGTTGCTGGTCCGGGCTGGGGTTGGGTCTGTAACGGGGTATGTAACGGCTATGTAACGAGGTCCGTAACGAGGCGAAGCAAAGCGCAGTCTGCAAAGCGCGCCTCCGCAGCTCCAGCTTGATTGCAGCTATTCCACGCAAGCCACGCTGCGGTAAAAGGGGGGTTGCTGGCCCGGGCTGGGGTTGGGTCTGTAACGAGGTATATAATGGCTATGTAACGAGGTCCGTAACGAGGCGAAGCAAAGCGCAGTCTGCAAAGCGCGACTCCGCAGCTCCAGCTTGATTGCAGCTATGCAACGCAAGCCACGCCGCGGCAAAAAGGCGGGTTGCTGGACCGGGCTGGGGTTGGGTCTGTAACGAGGTATGTAGCGAGGGGCACGCAACCAGCCAAGCGGTTTGCTCATCTGAGGTGTGTAACGAGGGTGTGTAACGAGGGGTGTGTAACGAGCCAGCGGGTCTTGTTACAAAGGTCTGTAACGAATGTCCGCCGCGGCTCTGTTACAGACCCCTCAACAAAAATAACGGCCATATATGTATGTGTATATTATGTGTTTTCGTCACCTGGACACAATAAAAACATATGTCCAGTAGTGATAGATTCCAACTAAAACCAGCAGCGGAAAAAACATATTCTTCAGCAAAAGGTGCACCTGGGAGTAGTATCGACCTCGGATGAAAACAGGGGTACCAAGTAAGATATCCCCATGCTCCAAACCGCCCCAGAGACTATCTGAGCAGAGAACCCATAGCGTTCAGCTGTCGTGAAATGACAATATACAAGGGGCTGACTAGATAGAATGGGCGGGTGGGGCGAGCATAAAACCAAAATTAATCATGGCCAGGGGAAAACTATGAAACTAGCCTTTTCACCCCGTCGACCGGACAAGAACGAAGGGGAACCACCAATTTTGGGGGTTGAAGGGCACGCTTCCTGAAATGACATTTATAGAAGGGGGGGACATCTAAACTGAGTCCCAACTCGGACACAAAAAAAGCCGGCCGAGAGGCTACTGGCCAGCGCATGCGCCTCTGAGCTCGCAGACTCTGTGGCCTGATGTTATCCAAAAAGCGATGGCGTGGCATGTTGGGTGTGGCTGTCAAAAATAGGGCAACCCCCAAAATGGGTTGCCCTGGTAGATGAAAACAAGGACTAAAAACTGTCACTTGGTGATTTAATCTTGACCCATACCCATATTGGATTTCATCCAGAGGGGGTTGCAACTACGAAAACGATGGTGTCCAAGTTAAAATATTGTGGATGGTTGTAAATGCCACTCGCTTCTTGCACCGGCGTTCAGAAGCCCTATGTTTCGATTAAAGATTCCGCAACGTAAATGCCAACAAACTTGGATTCAACCATGGTTTCTGGGGGTGGTTCGAAATGGATTTCAGCTCCACAGTATTGGGTTCTGAATAGAGTAAGGCATGGACAAAATCATGCACCAATTGAGATGGATGAAACATTACGTATACTGAGATAAACCACCTACCCACTGGTGCAAAAAATGGATGTTGTCCATCCACAGTAGGGCGTGGTAGACCATGTAGTGTGGAACCAACCCGAAAAGGTGTGAGGGTGGCACTGAACATCCGTGTCCGAACCATCAAAACTCCTCGCTGTGTCCATGGCTCCCTCAGGAAGAAACAAGAAATGAAAGAAACAAGACAGAAACAAACAACAAAACCGAGCAAATTCGTTTTGGTAGGAAACACAACAAGGACAAACAACCAAACTGGAATTTAAAGATGAAGGAACAACCATGGGCACTTGAGATCTAATTTCGGTTCAGGTCTGCCTCCACCTCGATGTTCCCCTGGCGCACTGTGGCTGTCTCCTGACATCGCTCGGTCGGGGCTTGGGAACTGGGGTGCGCTGAAAAACATACTCCATCTTTGGGGTCAATATGGTTCCACGTTGATTTGCGGGGGAGTATGTTCTGCTTCTGCCTTACCTTAAGGGCTGCGACCTCTCCGATTCATAGCCATGCGTTCTGATTCCGTTTCATATTTGGTCAACCCTAATCAAGCCAGAGTCGAGCGAATAATGATTGTTCATCAACCAACAAAAGAAGGGGCTCATACCAGGGGTGCATATGAGTTGGAATTTTCAGTATTGCACATCATTTGGGAACTTAGGTCCAACCACTTTCCCCTGTAAAATTCAGAGGCATATGTGCCATGGTCAAAGCTCTTTGTGTGGGTCATGTCCTTACAATACTTGCCTAAATTCGCTGCATCCCCACCCCAAAAAGTGTTTTGACCATAGCACATATATTCTGATTCAGTTTCATACTGTGGGTGGTAGGTTTCCAAGTGGTAGTACAAGGTCGATCCGTTTTGAACAACTCAGGGACATAGGTGGCAGGAATAAAGCCCATCTAAGCCAACGGAACCCATCTATGTTTTACAAGACTATAACTGATCAAAAAGAAGTCTGGAACCGAATTCTCTGGGTCTCTCCTTGGCCGTGCTGTGGGCGCTCTTGGTGCTGATGGCCTTCACCGTGACCTTCTTCTCCACCGACATCCTGCGAGCCGGCGCGCAGACTCGCAGTCCACTTCGTCGTGGCAGCTAGTCCGAGTTTGCTTCAAATCAAACCTGGTGGCCACGCAAAAGGTGGATGGAGGGGATCACGGATAACTAGTTTCAGTATCGAGATTTGACCTTGCACCGTTCTGCGTTGGCACTTGGCCTCTTGAGACCCAGCAGCTGCCCACTTTTCAGCGCCTTCATCTCATGATTGCTCGCCATCCCGTACCTTTACGCCGGTCGCCGGGCGCAGCATGCTGCGAAGCACCATCTCCTCGCCGGCGAGAGGGCCCGAGGCGATTGCGCCCATAGGACGTCTGGAGCGCGTGACGAAGCCGTACCTCTGCCCAGTTCGGACCCAGAAATACAAGGTGATCATTCTTTGGTTCCATGTCACTCCATGACTAGCTGACCAAATAACAGAAATCAACAAGCAGAAGAAAAGGTTGATTTGCTTTGGGCGAGTGAGGTACTTGGAGTACAAGGCCTCGTTCCGATCGTTTGCCGTGAAGAGGTAGCAGGGCAAATCCTCTGAGTCCACAGTGTCCAGCATCGCCCTCAACACCTGGCTTGCGAGGCCTTTGCCTTGCATGTGCGGAACCACTCCCACGAAGCTGACCTTGAAGTGCTCGCCCGACGCATCGTGCTCTTGCAGCTGCGCCACCGTAGCGCCGAAGGAACTACCTCTCAGTGCTATGCGTGGCCCAAGGTTCCATAGGAGCCTCGCCTTCTCCAGCAGGGTATGTGGCGGAGGAGGCGCGGACGATGGGCAGCGTATGAGGAATGCAGCCGCTACCACTCCGCTGGGGTCATCGTCGGCGTGCACAGCGAAGACGACGGCATTTGGCGTGTCCAGTATCGCTCGAGTCTGCCGCGCGATCAGCCACGAACTGCACTCAGCTCCAGCCGAGTCGCCCATCATCCAGGCCCAGCCGTTGTATCCGGCAAATGCCTGAGACAAGCAGTCTGTGAGCGCCTGCTCAGGTGCCGCGTCTCCCGAGTACCGCACGACTTTGGGGGACGCAACCATTGCTCCGTCGCTCCTCAAAATTGCGCTCTAAGTCCTGAACATTTTGAGCCACACCCCGTGAATCGTCGAAGCACAAAATCGGGATGGACCCCTTTTTATGGCGGCTTTCTTTTTGGCCTTCTCTTGGAAAAGGCAAAAAGGGTAATTAACCTGAAAAACTCATTCAAAAAACACCAATGGGTTTCCCTTCCAAGCACCCCCAATAAAAATTCCCTAAAAGAGACATCCCTTGTGCCTAAGTGAAAACCTAAGGGGTCCATGACGATCCAAAAACCAACCCCATCCTCAAAATTACCTACAGGCAGTTTAAAGGGCGACCACCCCGAAAGCAACTTCGAGAAACTGACCAACCTCAGACTTGGCCCACAGACAAACACACACCTATTTTCAGACTCTAGTAACCCACTTCCCCAAAGAAGGGCCATGACAAATAATGGACCAACAGCGGAGAGCCAAAAGTGCAAAAGGTCGGCTTTGAACAACTAAGGTAACCATTTGCCTATTCTATAATCAAAGAGCACAGAGTCCCCACGCGGCCAACCCCGACCCCTCACCTTCTCAACCCCAAGCCGCCCCAAACCCAAAAGTAACTTGAAGCCAAGGGTTCTGATCGAAGCGTGCTGATTAAACCTCTGGCGGATGCTGTTAAACCAGAAGTCACCCCAAATAAATCAGTTAAAGGGAAACATCCCTAACTGACTTTGATACACGCCCCCCCCCCAAAAAAAAAAAAGAAAGAAGAAGAAAAAACAAGAAGACATCAAACAACAACGAGAGACAACATAGTGACAGACGGGGCCCACATGAGTTTAACCACATTTACCCAACTCTCTTGAAATATTGCACGAGAAAAGGTCAAGACTTGGTCCACATCTCAGGCACTCCAAAGTACATTTGGATTCCGACGCATTAATCTACCTTGAACGATACAACCAACATTACCTTCCAGTGTGTAAACACAAACAAACATAGAGCCTGAACGAGGGCCGTGAAAGCGGTTGCTTACCCTAGACCCGCAGTGGCCATGGAAAAACGAAAACAAGGCGCTCTTTGTTTGGTCGGTAGTCGCTTTAAGAAGGGAACCCCCTCCAAAAAAAAGAACACAAGGTCACCACTTACCCACCCAAAAAGTCCACCCTCATCTCTGTCTCCTTTCTTTCTACACTTGTCGCCGGCTGTTCCATATTCAGTCGATTGAGAGGACACGACCCAAATCAAAATGATAACATCCACAAGCCCAAATTTCAACTTGCGGCCACAACACCTAAGGGGACATAGGGAACCCGCCAGCATCGTCCCTCGCCCAACTCGATGTGCTCGCCCGCATGCCGCTCGCTCCTCACGCGCGCTGGAGGCACAGTGACCCGCACCGTGGCACAGGCGTGGCCGGCCACCGAGAAGGCGCGGGGGCAGAAGGCCTCGTGTCGGTCCAGGCCTCGGAGGCGGAAGGACGCACGCGAGTTGCAAAGCTGCCTGTGTCTTGGGCGTGCCCGTCCGCGTGATGCGCTTGCAAAGATCAGCTTGTGGAGAAAATGAACGTGGGCCAAACCTGCCTGCTCACAACGACTGAACTTCTTTCATTTCCCGTTGTGGCCATCGAGTAGTATCGCGCAATGCAACAACTCTCCGCCAATTTTGAGCTCTCTGCCTCCGCACTAAATGTCGGTCCCAGGGTCGGCCGCCTGGGGAAAAGGCTTTACAATGCCGACAGCGCCAGAAATAATCACAAGCATTGGCCAAAACCGGTCACCTGCTCGTGATATCCCTCAAAATCATCTATACAGGCACGAGGAAACAAGAAAAGGAGCTCTGACGTCCACATCTAAAACCGAGCGGCCGACAGGTCCCATGACGAGAGCATTTCAGGCACCTCTGGGGGGTTGCGATCGATCTCCGATTCACCCCGAGGGATTTTCAAAGTGCTAAAATAATTTAGCACGCATGCAACAATAAACAAACTGCGGGTATTTGCAACTTGAATTCTGTGCTGAGAAATTTAGCACGTTTTAGACGCCTTCTGTGCCATTGATTTTGGCAAGCTCTACAACGCAAGTTCTTTGTCTTGCTTTTGGCGCCAAAAACTGAGCACGCCTCACGCTTTCATTCTTTGAATCCCCCAAGTTGTCGAGGGATTCCCCTTGCAGCTGTGTTCAAGTCTACCCAGCTGTACTCTGGGCCACTAGGCACCACATGCCCGGCGGGCACGGAAGAAGGCGAGCCAAAGGGAGTAGGCCAATGCGAGCAGCGCATGCAGCAGCAGGTTGGTCACCAGCATCGAGGCCACCATAGAACCCGCCAGCCCGGAGTAGCCCAGGCTCAAGGGCACGGCTCCCAAGGCAAAGTTCACAAAGAGCCAAGCCGTGAGGAAAATCCAACGGCTCCAGGAACGGATGGCCATCGCATGCTTGCGCCAATCCTCAACCGCCACCTTAGCCTCGGGCATCTTCCCCTCCGTTTTCTCGCGGGTGGCCCACTTGGCGCTGACCCCGTCCGCGTTGGCCACCGCCACCACCGGCTGCTGCACCAGCTCCACGAAGGCTGCCAAGGGGACGGCCAGCACCAGCAGACCCGCCCAGGGCGCCCTCAGGCCATGGGGCAGCTGCAGCAGCAGCAGCACCACGGACATGGCCAGGGGCATGGCCACGAAGCAGAGGTTCCGGTGAGCCAGCAAGAACATCTGCAGGGCGCCCAAGCCCATGAAGAAGCCCATGAAGGCCGAGTGCATCTTCGGCTTCGATGGCACCGAGCTTCCAGCCGACAGCACCGCGTAGAGGCAGATCACCAGCCACAGCGCGGCGTGCACGCCTGCGCCGAGGCCACGGCCAAGGCCGGCATCCTCCAGGAATTCGCCCGTCAAATGGGAGAACCACAGCGTCAAGGTGGCTGGGGCCAGGTGGGGCGTCCAGAGGAAGGAGGCCACGTGCACCAGCCAGAAGGGCCAGCGCGAAGGCTTGCAGCACCAGACCTTGGGGTTCAGCAGCAAGGCGCTGCGGTTTCCCAGGTGGGACCGCTTCCAACGGCACTGCTGGGCCAGGTACTCCAGCCAGGTCTCGGGCATGAAGGAGCTGGCGTGGACTTGGGGCATGAACCGGATCCCGTGCACCCCGTGCACCCTCTCTTGCACGTGCTCGTGGACGAGGTTGGTCATGAAGCTGTCCTCCCCCATCTCGATGCGCATGTTGTCCAGCATGGAGTCCTCCCGCACGGCCCGGCAGAAGTGCTCCTGCACGGCCTGCACGGCCTCCATGGAGTACATGGCGCAGGACCCGTTCAGCGGCGCCTGGAAGCGGAACACGCTCTGGCCCAGCCACAAGATCCGCTGGGAGGCCCAGTCCCTCACCAGTTGAACCAAGAGGCAAAAGCTGGTCCGCTTCTGCGCCAGCATGAATGGGCCGCAGGCTGCCAACTTTTGGTCCCGCAGGCAATAGAAGAGCTCGGGCAGGTGGCAATGCTCCACGCGGCAGTCCCCGTCCAGCAGCAGCAGCGCCTGAGGCCCTGAAACTCTTGGGCCGCTCTCCACGTCTGCACTCTCCGCGTCTGAGGGGGCTTTTGGGGCGCTTTGCAGGAGGGACATGCAGAGCGCCTGGCTGGCACGCTTGGACCGCGCCCAGCTCGTCTTGATGTACAGCTCGAAGGGCACCTCGCGGCTGCTGCTGGAGAGCTCCCCCTGCACCCGCACGCAGCCGTGCACACGCTCAGGATTTTTCAAGCAAAGCAAGCCGCTCATCGCCTGCAGCGTCGCGAAGTCCTCCCCCCAGTCCGCCTTGGCCAGCGGCGACGCCTCGCTCCGTGGGCTGCTCCCATCTGAGCTGCCGGAGCTGCTGGGTGCCTGAGTGCTGCTCTCATCCTCCTCATTGGAGGCCTTCAGAAACTGCAGCACCTGCTCCTCCTTGCCCTGCAGCCCGTCCAGGAAGATCATGACACGCACCGTCGGGCCAGCTTCGGACGCCGAACCTTCGCGCAAGGTCCGTGGAAGGTCAGAGTACCCACCTTGAAAACCCACGGTGCCCAAGCTGTGCTTCAACTCCTCCTGGGTTTCCCGGTAGCAGCTGAGCACCACCACCAGCTCCTCCTCACGCACCACATCGTCCACCAGGTCCTTGACCAGCAAACTCGGCGCCACTGGGGTCTTGGCCCTCGCGAGCTTGGTGCGCAGGAGGAGCACTCGTGCCCAAGCGACAAGGACAAAGGTGGCTACTGCCAGGGCCAAGACACCTCCAGCCATGGCACGATTGCTTTGCACGTCCATTACCTCCATGGCTGACAGGCTGACTGATATAGCTGAGACAAACACCTTCCGCCAAAATGGCTACGCCGTATTCATTTCACAACCCATGAAAACAATTCTTGGAACCAAACACAAACTCTTGCACATGGGGAAACCCAAAAGGGCTTAAAAAAGGTTGGTCAACAGTCAACACCTGGTACGAAAGGGGGATCCAAACCCAAAGACTTGAAGGACAGCGGCTAAATTCAACCATGGCTTGTGGTTGGTTACTTGCACTATGGCGAACGGAGCATCCACTTTGCTCACACCCTGTGCGAATCCGTCACGCTGAGGAGTCCCAGTGGCCATGGGAAAAAAGAATCGGCACGCTCTCCTTTTCCTGGTAGAATAGAGGGAAGCCCCTCCAAATTAAGCCCAGGTGGTATCCCCAACATCCCCAAACCACCCCAGAGGGTATCTGGGTAGAATAGAGACCCCGTAGCTTCCCTCTGTGGGGGAAAAAAGGAAAACACATTTGCACCCCAGTCTCTCACCCAGTTGATTTACCTGCAACCAAGGGCTTGCCACCCGATATAAACGCCAAATGGACAATGGCTGGATACCATTAGCGACGAAAGTGTTACTGTCTTCTTCTCCGACATCTTTAAGGGTAACAGCGACTCACTGGGACACTGACAAAACCAGGTTTGGACGGTTTCGACTCCTCGCAGCTGTCGCTTTCAAACGCACGAAGAGCCGAGCACCGCACCCCACTGGCAGTGGTCGTTGGGGTCGCAGTCCACGCACACCGCCTGCCGAGTTGTTTTCGATTTCGTGCGTGGCGGGGTTGGGAAAACTTGGCTTGAAGCAGGCCATGGATGAGTCACACCGTGGATGGTTGCGAAACCCACGAGTCTCGGACCAAGTAAGGAACCCTGAAATGATTTAATTCCCCTGTAAATACCAATGGTTTTCCATGGTTTCAACGTGGTGCAGGATTTCGTCCACCCACGTCAGGATCCCCTTTTTTGGTTTGTCGGGTTTCCTATACATAAGACCTGAATCAGGCCTCAAGGTTTTGGAGGAAACCAGGCAAACGAGAGGTTGGGGGGGGGGTGGGGGGCGCGGGGGGCTGGATCCTATAAATGAGGGATACGTAATTTTTAATTAGAGGCTGTTTCAACCAGAATGTTTCAATAGGTGGTTGGCCCAAACCTACTATGCGATCTAAATGGAACCTGTTTCACATTCTGGATTGAGGGGTGGTCCCTGCTTTACGGGAACTCCATTTCTCAGTTCCTGCGTGGATCAAAAGAGTGCGAACGTCGTTCTATAATACAAGCGGTATCACAAAAGGTATCAACTTCCGGAGCTCTTTCCGGGAAAGTCCAGTAGCTTGGCATACCTCGAAAAGAAAGCCGCAATCACTTTTGCCCTCCCCCCCCCCTTCTCAGCCCTTCTCGTCCTCCGCAAACAGCCTATACCAATAAATGCGTCAATGACTTATCTCCAAGATGCTTCACCAAAACCCATTTGAAGAGAAGGAACCCTGAAAAGAATCGGAAGGCGCACCTCGCAAGATCATTCCCACCCTTCTGGAAACTCCCACATAGGTTTGTCTTAAACAAAAGGGAAACCCGCCCCAAAACAAGAAAGATGATGTCCGTTGGTTTCCCTGCAACCGCCCCCCTCTCACAAACAAACAAACAAACAAACAAACAAACAAACTATTTAAACAATTTAAACAATTTAAACAAACAAAACAACACAAAAGTATCCTCAAAATAGCACCCTCGGCAAAGCGAATCTTCGGCCTGCTTCAGCACTGCCGGGTCATCGGACTGACCATCGCTGTCGAACTCTACCGGGATCTTGCACGCAAGGCCATCCTGGAGAGCGCGCTGCGCGTCGAAACCGCGCTCCGCACTCCCGAGAACTGGGGTTTACCAGGTCCTCAACCCCCCCCCCCCCCCCGGTTCGACAACCCCAACCCCCCAACCCCCCCCCCAATAAAAACAACCAAGGGGACGGAGGTCTGTACTCAACACCTAGGCAGCTGGCCAAGTCTTGCTCGGCTCGAAATCCCGATCCGCTTCATCGCGACCCAAGTTCCTGTCTCAGCAACCTACAAGTGATCATCTTTGGGCAGTTGCTTCCCCCGTGAGCGTTTGGTGTCTCCGCCTGCATGAAGAATCCACCGGAGAGCACTTTCTAAGGTAAACCATTAGGAAGCAAATCTACAAGGTGAAAGTGGATGTCTAGAACTCCCTAGAAGTTGTTGGGGACCTTTAACATACCTTTACCAACTTGGGGAGGTTCTGCCGTCGTCCCAAGCCTTTTGGCACCTCCGACGTCGACTCGACTCGCCTGGCACACGGCGGGCCACATCTCCGCAGCAAAGGCGCCGCAGTTCCCGCCCCGCGCACGCTGCGGCACGCCTCGGCTTCTCGGCTTCTCGGCTCATCTCGGCTCATCTTGGCTCGGCTTGGCTTCTCGGCTCGTCTAAACCAAGGAGAGTCATCAAAAAGGATTAAACGGTGTACCCAAAATGCAAAGAATCCAGGCAAAATGTAAACCTTCATCTACCCGGCAATCCTTGCGGCTCAGTGGTGCATTGGGGCTTGGACATGAATCTCCCCCTTCCATTGGTTTGCTACAACCCGTACACTGGGTCTCACCAAGCAAAATTGCGGTGTGTCCTTCTACAAGAGAGACCCCAGTGGTGGTTGCTTCTTTGGTTTCCCTCAAGCCAAAAGGGTATATTACCCTCAAAGGACACACGCCTTGCTCAAACTCCTTTCCGTGGGTCATGTTCATGGCTAAGAGGTTGATGATGTATCCCAAGCAAAGGGTTTGACCATGGCACACACGTGTGGTTGGAATTTGAGTTGTCCTGACCTCGTCAAGGGACAATTCAATTGGTTTGCCCCCTGGCATCTATAAGACCTCCATGTGTTCCTTGACCCATTTAACAAGGCATTGAGGGCCATCCATGTCACTGTCACGCTAAATCCAACAAAAATCCCAGAAGTGACTGCAGTCCAGGAACTCAGGAAGGGTTTTCTAAGATGGTGTTCACTTCTCCATTTCGCCTTGGGGGTAGTGTAGTGGAAACCATCTTATAGGGTTCTTCTGTGCCATTTGGGAGGTTTTCAAGAGACCTCAAATCTATAAATCCCAAGGCTCACTTCTGCATCTCCTGGTGCCAGAAGGTGCCGAAGACGCACATGCACTCATCCAATGCCTGCCATTGGCCGATTCAAATGGGTGTGTCTCCAAACAGGGGTCCTCTCTTGTGAGAAACCCCCAAATATGTAACCAACAAGAGACAATTCCTCACTAACACTCTAGCTGGGTGTGTTTTCTTTTAGGTTAGACCCCCAAATGGCTGCAACGGTTTGAAGTGTGTGGTTGCCCTTCAAAACTCCACCAACAAACCATGAACCGAACCAAACAAGTAAAGAAACACGGCACGAGCAGTGACGCTGACTCAGACGACACCTCACACCTTTTTCCGCTTCGCGCCTCCACCTGGACACTGGTCTTATTGATCAGCTCCACGTGGGGCTGCAGAAAGCCATCACTCTTGGCGCCCAAAGGGCTCAAAGGCGCCTCGCGAGCCGCGTTGCACGCAAGGAGTTACGCATGGTTGCTGGAAGCACGCGAGTTCGGGGCCCCGAAGGACGTGAGGAAATCGGGCTATTATAGTGAAACATTTGGGTGCCCTTCTCGTCCTCCCGAAACCAGTAGACTACCAGGGATACTTGCAACAACTGACTAAACCTCTTTGAGCCAGATAGAATGATGGTAAATAAGAGGCAAACCTCCATTGGCTTCAGTTTATAGAAAAAACAAACAGATTTCTGGATATTTTCCGGTAGTGAAATCGATTTTCTTCAAAGCTGTTGGGGAAGAATACAACATATGGAAGCAAATGGAAGCAAATGGGTGTGCTTTTGAAACGGACCCCGAACCTCGGTCCCTTTGACTCAGTTGCAGGTCAACTAGGCTGTCCTGTCCGCGTTCTGATCCCTAAAGTTGAACACTTTGAGTGGTGTGGAAACTACCACAAAACCAACTGAAAATAAATAAATAAATTTTCACCAGCATAGGCCCCAGATAGCACACCACGGCCACGAACATGACGCAGCATCATAATGGTTCCCGCGGCATCATGATGATGTTGACAGCATCATGACGATGTTGACAGCATCATGATGATGTTGACAGCGTCATGATGATACCACAGCAGCTTAGCATGGTGCGCTAAATGGACGCGCAGACAACGTCCTACTGAGCGCAGCGATGTTGACAGCATCATGCTGATACACCAGCCACGAACGATTCCGAGTTACATATTCGGCAGCAAAAAGGCAGAGACGACGTCCTGACGAGTTCGACAGCATCATGATGACGCGGACAGTATCATGATCAGGGTTCTACTTTCGGAAGGTGTCCAAATTGAGTTAAACCAAGGGGTAAGGCGAAGTCAAAAATGCTCTGACACACTGCCAAAAGCCAACTTTCCAGAACCAACTTTCACATCCCGCGATACTCCATGTCGGGTACTTCCAGGAATGACTTCAACTTCCATTTGGCTAAAATTCCCTGAAGGGGATGCAGCTGCGGACTTTTCTTCCTCCCTGCTTTCCGTCGCCCCGGCCTAGCACCCCGCGGTATCTATACATCGGCCCCTCCGAGGGGCTATCGCTCAGCTTTCACTACTTGTTGCCGCGGCCCTTCCCGCGGCCCTTGCGGCTGCCTCCCCGCGGCTTCGCGTACGTCAGCTCACGCCCCGCCGGCAAAGCCTGCCGAAGATCGATCGGTAGGTTTAGACACCACAAGAGGAAACTCATCAAAGTGATTAAAATTGTAGTTGCAGGCCAGCATAAGCGATGGTTGATCATACCTCTGACTTCAGAATAATGGCAGCCAGGCCTCGCCAGTCCTCCCACTCATCCCATTCGGCCGCCACAGCCACCGCCACAAGCAGCGCCAGCGCCATGGCTGTAGCTACACTGGGGCTACACTTGCTTGAGAGCCTCAGCTGGCAGCGACATCCGACGCATGATGGGTTGTATTGGGGTTTGTTGGGGCATGGAAAACCCTGAGCAATCACAAAGAAACATCATTGTTTTTGGTGGCGGCCTTCTCAGTCCATAGTCCGTGCTGCAAGCTTTGGGTAGGAACCGCAAGTTGGAAAATCTGGGCAACCCATCGTGAGCAATCCACACATATGAGCAATCCACAAACAAGCATCTTTGCTTTGGTTGGTGCAAGCTTTGGGTTGAAAGCGTATGTTTGAGCATGGATGTTTTCGACCAGCAACAGGACCGAGAAACAACACCTATCACCCCTGGGTTTAACACAAAATTCCAACAATTGGAAACAATAGCAAAAGTAGAGCACTGATCATGATGATGTGGACAGCATCATAATGATGCCGGCAGCATCATGGTGATGCGAACAGCATCATTGTGATGGTAGAGGCAGGCAAATGATGATACCACAGCCACAAATCATCTTGCAACACCGTAAAGAAATTCAGCATCATCCTGCTGCTGACAGCATCATGGCGCCACGCGCCCACAGTGATTCCAGCAGCATCATGACGTGGTCGACAACATCATGATGATACACCAGCCACGAACCACTACGCGCTACAGTTAGGGCAGCAACAACGTCCGAATCGATTGAGTTGACAGCATCATGATGATGTTGACAGCATCATGGTGATGTTGACAGCATCTTGATGATACCACGGCAACTAAGCATGGTGAGCTATAAATAGACGCGCAGGCAACGTCCTACCGAGCGCAGCAGCAGAATGATGATGTTGACAGCATCATGCTGATACACCAGCCACGAACGATTCCGCGTTACATATTCGGCAGAAAAAGGTTAGAGACGACGTCCTGACGAGTTCGACAGCATCATGATGACGCGGACAGTAGCATGATGATGCGGACAGCATCTTGATGATGCCGGCAGCATCATGGTGATGCGAACAGCACCATTGTGATGGTAGAGGCAGGCAAATGATGATACCACAGCCACAAATCATCTTGCAACAGCGTAAAGAAATTCAGCATCATCCTGCTGTTGACAGCATCATGGCGCCACCGCACCCACGATTCCAGCAGCATCATGACGTGGTCGACAACATCATGATGATACACCAGCCACGAACCGCTCGCGCCACAGTTAGGGCAGCAACAACGTCCGAATCGATTGAGTTGACAGTATCATGATGCTGCGGACAGCATCATGATGATGCTACAACCGCGACACCCCAAACAGCACCCGCCCTCAAAACAGCAGCCCCAACAGCACCCCAACGCAGCACCTCCGCCAGCACCTCACAACCGAACAGCACCCCAAAACCGCGCCTTCTGTTAGAACCCCTATGGCTTCAATTGTCTGGGAAATAAGCGCCCGCGCGGTCAGCAGCACCTCAAGCAGCAACCCAAAACAGCGCCTGACACAGCCCCAAACTGCATGGCCCTAGCACCCGCCGGCAATCTCGGAAAATTGCGTCCACAACGTCACCAGCACCTCAAACAGCACCACCCCCCAAAAACAGCACCTGCGTCAGCGCCCCAAACTTGCAGCAATCACCTCCATGCCCCCTACTACACCAGCACCCCAAACTACATGCCCCCTGACACCTGGCCGTCAAGCTCGCAAAACAGCATCCACCAGGCACCTCCACCGCCCAAGCTGCATGCCCCCTAGCACCCAACCGTCAAGCTCAAACTGCATGCCCCCTAGCGCCCGGCCGCCAATCTCGCAAAGCGGCACCCCACATGCCCCCTAGCACCCGGCCCCAAACCACATGCCCCAGCATCCGACCGTCACTGCATGCCCCCTAGCACGCGGCACCTCCACTAGCACCCCAAACTGCATGCCCCGTAGAATCTCGCAAAGCGGCACCTCCACCAGCGCCCCAAACTACATGCCCCCCAAACTACATGCCTCCCAGCACCCGGCCGTCGCCAGCACCCCAAGCTGCATGCCCCCTAAACTGCATGCCCCCCAACACGGCCGCCAATCTCAGAAAGCGGCACCTCCACCAGCAGCCCAAGCTGGATGCCCCCTAGCACCATCAAGCTCACAAAACAGCATCCACCAGCACCCCAAACTGCATGCCAGCACCCGGCCGTCAATCTCGCAAAGCGGCACCTCCACCAGCAGCCCAAGCTGGATGCCCCCTAGCACCGTCAAGCTCGCAAAGCAGCATCCACCAGCCATGCCAGCACCCGGCCGTCAATCTCGCAAAACGGCACCTCCACCAGCAGCCCAAGCTGGATGCCGGCCGTCAAGCTCGCAAAGCAGCATCCACCAGCACCCCAAACTGCATGCCCCCTAGCACCCGGCCGCCAATCTTGCAAAGCGGCACCTCCACCAGCGCCCCGAACTACATGCTGCCTAGCACCCGGCCCCAAACTACATGCCGCCGCACCCCAAACTGCATGCCCCCTAGCACCCGGCCGCCAATCTCGCAAGGCGGCACCTCCACCAGCAGCCCAAGCTGGATGCCGGCCGTCAAGCTCGCAAAGCAGCATCCACCAGCACCCCAAACTGCACGCCCCCTAGCACCCGGCCGCCAATCTTGCAAAGCGGCACCTCCACCAGCGCCCCGAACTACATGCTGCCTAGCACCCGGCCCCAAACTACATGCCGCCCAGCACCCGGCCGTCACCAGCACCCCAAACCGCATGCCCCCCAACACCCAGCCGCCAATCTCAGAAAGCGGCACCTCCACCAGCAGCCCAAGCTGGATGCCCCCTAGCACCATCAAGCTCGCAAAACAGCATCCACCAGCACCCCAAACTGCATGCCCCCTAGCACCCGGACCTCAAGCTCGCAAATAACTTTCCCTTCTTTATTAGAAGTTAGAACCCCTATAGCTTTTAGCTATCTGCGGAAAAATCTCGAACTCGCGGGGATCCACGAAGTCGGCCAGTGAATTCGGAATCCCAAATGCTTCATTCCCCAAACACCCCAACGGTGATTCCCTGAGAAGTTCAACAGGCTACTGGAATCCCCTGAACAGGTTTCTCTTGCAGCGTGTCGGGTTTTTCTACCCTCGGGCGGGAAAAAACACAGTTTTCGGCTTTCCTGGGCTGTCCTCCAATCCCCTGCGAAGAGTTTAGTGGAAACTACTACTAAATCCGAAAAACCTAAAAACCTAAGGGGTCGGCTGGAAGCCGTGGGTCCACATAAACAAATTTCAACTCACTTGCCCTGTTCGGGCCCAACAATAAAAGGTGGGAGCTCACTGAGTCATGATCAAAACCTGGTATTAAACTGGTCTACCCAGAACCATGTTCAGGATATAAATTACACCAGCATAGACCCCAGATAGCACACCACGGCGGCATGATGATGATGATGATGATGATGATGATGTTGACAGCATCTTGATGATGTTGACAGCATCATGAAAATACAACAGCTACTCAGCATAGTGCGCTACATAGACGCGCAGACAACGTCCTAGTGAGTCCATCTGCAAAACAATGCTGTTGACAGGGTGATGCTGACACATCAGCCACAAACGATTCCGCGCTACATATCTAGCAGAAAAAAAGGCAGAGACGACGTCCTGATGAGTTCGACAGCATCATGATGATGCGGACAGCATCATGATGATGTTCACAGCATCATGGTGATGGCAACGGCAGCATCCTGATGATACCACAGCCACAAATCATCTCGCGACCCTGATGTTGACAGCATTATGCCCGCCACCACACCCGCAAACCATAACACGGCACCGCAGCGATTGCAGCAGCATCATAACGTGGTTGACAACATCATGATGATACACAAGCCATGAACCATTACGCGCGACAGTTAGAGCAGCAACAACGTCCGAATCAGTTCAACAGCATCATGGCGCTGCTGACAGCATCATGATGCTGCGGCCAGCATCAGGATGATGCGACAACCACGATACCTCAAACAGCACACGCCCTAGCACCCTGCCATCCACATAGTACGTGACGGCAGGGTGCTCGGGGACATGTCCGGTGCTGGCGCGGGTGCTGCGTTGGGGTGGTAGCACCTGAGCTGAACAGCACTCATTAGAAGTCTATGGTTTCCAGTTATCCGGGAAATAAGCCCACACGGTCAGCAGCGCCTCCAACAGCAACACAAAACAGCACCTGCACCGCCACCCCAAACTGCACGCCCCCTCGCGCCCGGCCGTCAATTTCGCAAAGCGGCACCTCCACCAGCACCCGAAACTGCATACCCCCTAGCACCCGGCCGTCAATCTCGCAACACAGCACCACCACCAGCGCTCCAAACTACATGCTTCCTATCTCGCAAAGCGGCACCTCCACCAGCACCCGAACTGCATGACCCCTAGCGCCCGGCCGTCAATCTCGCAAAACAGCACCTCCACCAGCACTCCAAACTACATGCCCCCTAGCACCCGGCCGTCAATCTCGCAAGACAGCACCTCCACCAGCACCCGAAACTGCATGCCCCCTATCTCGCAAAGCGGTAGCACCCGAAACTGCATGACCCCTAGCGCCCGGCCGTCAATCTCGCAAGAGCACCTCCACCAGCACCCCAAACTACATGACCCCTAGCACTTGGCCATCAATCTCGCAAAACAGCACCTCCACCAACACCCCAAACTGCATGCCCCCTAGCACCCGGCCGTCAATCTCGCAAGACAGCACCTCCACCAGCACCCGAAACTGCATGCCCCCTAGCACCCGGAAGTCAAGCTCGCAAAACAGCACCTGCACCAGCACCCCAAACTGCATGCCCCCCAGCACCCGGCCCTCAATCTCGCAAATCACTTTCCCTTCTTTCTTAGAAGTTAGAACCCCTATAGCTTTCAGCTATCTGGGGAAAAAGGCGGATATCCGCACCCATGTTGCACCTGGCGCTGAGCCAAGACAGGCCACACCCTGCCAGAGCGAGACTCGACCCCCTTGGGCCCATTCGGCCCATCCGGCCACATCGCTGAGCTCCGGCCGCCGCGTGAGTAGCACTCCATGGGCGGGCGCTGCCTCGCCGCGCATTCGGGGAGGGGGCCGGGGATTTGAAGGAAGCGGTTTTTTGCGAGGGTTGCTTGGGGTTCGCAAAATAGAATGGTACCAGGACATTGAATTTAATGGAGTTGCCAGGTCGTTTGCTGACCTCAGACTTGTCGGGTCTGGCATAGGAGTCCTGTTCGGGATGGGGACTCAGAGAACACCAACAACGCAAAACTACCTGATCGGTCCAGAATTGTGAGAAGCACCAAACTGATAGACCCCTATGTTGGGAGGGACCTCAGTGTGTGAATTCAGAGTTTTGGGGACCTGGAGTTTTATGTTGATACTGTTCCCTACTGTGGATGGGGAAAATCCATCGGGCACCACTTGGTAGGTGAATTATCCGAATGTTCATCCATCTGACAGGCGCGAAGACCTTCATGTGGTCATTTTCCCTTGGGGTAGTGCTCCTCAAACTAACATGGACCCCCAAATTCAAAAGCAAGTCCTCCAAAAAGATTCCTCTAAAACATTCTGTGGGTGTGTCTTTTTTAGGGGACCCAAACAGTTGTGGTTTTCCTGTTGGTTTCCGTTTAAAACCACCAAACAACGGGTACCCTCAAAAAGGACGTGCCACCCGTGTCTTTTGGCGAGGGCTCAGACAGTGTTCAATACTGACAGCTCACACTCCCAACTTTCGGCCCCAAGAAATGTCCAGTCGGGGGCAACTTGGCTGTGGGTGCCCTCCTCAATTGGCGGTGGGTCAGAAAAAGGGGCGACCCAAAATGGCTTGCCCTGGCAAGTGGCAACCTGCGGTCCAATTCCTGGTGGGTTAGTTTGGCCGGTATGCATGTGCCGTTGCAAAATAAGATCCGTAATGGAACAGCAAGGGTCCACTATCATCTGGCACAAGGAACAGGCACTGAGTTTGAGCAATCCCGTTTACCAGTGCCAGCCTAACTCAAGCAGGGATTCGTTCCTGCTAAATGTGGATTCTGGAAGAAATGCCTCTGGGAATTGAACATTGTTATGTGATTGCAGCCCCGACCACTAACAGGGGATGATGGCGATTCAGACCCAAACGGGGTGACTGGTCGGGTGCGACCTGTCAGCCAAATACGTTGAGTCAGCCAACTTGCGCGTTCACGCCAAGGCGCCAAGAAGGCGCAAAGGCCGGCAACGGCCTTCGCCTGCATTGTGGACCTGAGAGCAACACATGTAGGCCAAGCACCTGTTCAAACCTACCCTCTCTCCAACAATGAACGAATCATGGAAGCTGACAAGAGGATTTTGTAAGGCTGCTTTCCTTTTCGGAAAGCCCCAGGCAAAGGGTACTTGCCAGTGGCCAAACTGTTCGATCCTTGGCATCTTGAACTGTTTGCAGGCACCCACTGAAAATGAACCAACCCCGACGACTAAAAAAACATTCCAAGAGCAGTGAAGCAAAGGAAATCAACATCTTCTTTTTTTGTCGCTGCTGCTGACAAAGCTTGTCCTCTCTGAAGCTGAGCTGTGCATGTGGAAAGAGTGTTTCTGTGATACAAAAGTGCTCCAAGGCCTAGGTCATAAACATGTTCACGTGGAAAGTGTGATATGTCTACCCCACAAACGCTTTCTCACAGGGGATGACCACCGGTCACACAAAATCGCATTTGTGCCTAAAATCAACCATTTCTGGGCTGTTCCCAGATTTCCTGCCAAAGTCGAAAACTGTTAACGGTGTGGACACTACCACTAAACCGACTAAAAAGATGGAACCCACCAAGAGTATGACAGGGAGCAACCCCATGAGCAAGGAAACCAGCAATATTCACCTTTTGTTGCTTGAGTCCCCGGGAAAAAAACAGCAACACCAGCCAGTAGTGATAGATTTCCTTTCATGCTGACCAGGCAAACTAAGACATACTCTTAAGCAAATGAGAGTTTACCACCACCCCAAAGGGGTTCGACCTGCGAATTCTGCAATAGTCCCAAAACCTGAAATCAGGATTCCCCAAAAGTTTAAAGGAACTCCGGGTGAGACTCCCAAACATCATAGCGAGCTCGCTTTACCCCCGGAGAGCTCGACATGGATAGGCAGACTTGTTCCTGGAAACGGCTCGAATCGCTCAGGCGTGGGCTGAGGAAGGGGAGGTGACGCGTCTACCTACGCCCCTTCGGTGTGAGCCACCCGGGATGGCTGCGGTCGATAGCACTGGGCCCATTCATTGGGTTCTCGACATTGCTCTTGGGGGTGGCCTCTCTTTAAACCACCATTTTTTCTACATGTCGCTTGAATCGAATGGGGCTCTAAAAATGCTTTTCGGGGGAATGTTCCTTGAAACCAAATGAAGTTCCCAGAACAAATACAGGACCCATTCAAAGAACGGTCGGTTTCTTGATGTTCAACCAAACAGGGAAGCAATCTAAACCGCAAACCAGGGTGGATCCAAGCTTTCGGCATCCAAAAGATGCCCTCACAACCCATCCAAAGTGGAGGATCGTCCAGCATTCCGAGAGCCAAACCCCTCAAAGAGACGGATTGCTCGAAGGCATTGCAAGCAAACAGCTCTTCCCGGGCAAGCCACTGGGAACTGGACTTATGAAGAGTCGCTAACTTCGCTGGAAAATGACATCAAACCACAAAGAAATACTAGGTTTGGGAACCAATGCCAACCATTTTTCCCTACAACAGTGCACTGGGAATGATCCTGGCAATCCTTTGGTGATATACTCCGAAACCTTCAGCGGATTCCATGAGAAAACAACACCATTTTCGGGTACTTGTTTTCCGGGAACCCCCTCCAAAATTCCTGTGTTTAGTAGAGGGTCTGGGCCAGCATTCCATTTTCTTTTGGTTTACTTTACCTTTTGGAATGTGAGTATTTCTGGGCGAGTTCGAACCAGAATAGAAAAACTGGAATTGCGCTGGAGGTCTCTGCACGGGACGTAACTGGAATGGTAAAAGTTCGCCGTTCTAAGCGACACTCTAACTTGCTGGTGCAATAGGTAGGGCATGACGGGATTGAACCGGCAGGGGATTCCGTTAGAGGAAACCATAGTGGATGTTTTTTTTGGGGTCATTCCATTTCTGATTCCCTGCCGAGAACAAGAAGTCAAGGGAAACATGCGCTTGTGCTGGTTCACGACCCGTCGCTCTCTCGAGCGCCGTGCACTCGCTCTTGGCTCCCTGCGCTGGAGGTAGCCAAGCGCACCTGTGTCACAACGCCGGGAACTAGGAATATTTGGCCTGTCATTTTGCCGTCATTTGATTTGGCATTGCGTCAAAACTTGGCGGGACCCCCTCCCCAAAACCAAAAATACCGCGGCATAGACCCCAAATAGCAAAATACATTCCGACGATTCCCGAAGAACCAACCAACACCCAAACAGCATCCCAAAACAGCACCTCCCCAAATTGCATGCCCCTTAGCACCCCGTCGTCAATCTAGCAAAAATGCGCCCGCACCATCACCAGCATCTCAAACAGCACCCAACAGCACCTACACCAGCACCCCAAACTGCACGCCCCTCAGCACCCAGCCTTCAATCTCGCAAATCACGTCCCCGCTTTGTTAGAAGTTAGAACCCCTATAGCTTTCAGCTATCTGGAAAATGAGTTTTCCCTGTTGGTGTTCATAGACACCAACCTGCAAAGGGTACACACCCGTTTGGTCACCCAAGCGGTATGTCCTGGCTAGCATGGGTCTTCCAGGTGGGCCTCAAAGATGGCTTCCCGAAAAAAAATGCTTGCAATTCACTGGTGCAGTTCCAGTGAAAGTGCCACCTTTGAGAGGGGCTGCAAAACGCAAACACTTCACGTACCGGGGCGTGCAAACTGTTATTGGGCTGTCTCAGATCCCCTGCTAAAAGTCGAACACTTGCGGGTTAAATGGAACCCGCCACAAAACCAACTAAAAGCCAAAAAAACTAAGGAACCGTACGGCTGGGAACCAGCAAGGGCGACTGGCAGTCCGAATGGCCCAACCATGATCCGGATTCTTCCGGAACGTCCCAACATCAACTCACTTGGGCCCGGCTCAATAGGCAACCTCCGATTCCCGGTTGTTTCCCGCAACCCAAAAAAGGACCAGGATGCTGTGCCAAAGAGCCCACAAAAGGGGTGATTCTTTTTGGCTCCCTAAGCAAGCCCAAGGATACCGCACAAATCAGCCGCCCATTCAGCTGTCCAAGAAACACACCCATGGCTTCCCATTTCGACAAGGATTCCAACCTACCGAGCCACAACAGACAGCCCCTTTCCGCAGGCCGAGTTGGGCTCCCCAAGGCATCGAGCCCAAAGAGAGTCAGTGGCAGGCTACAAGGAAACAGCCCCAGCTTTTGAGACCCGCCTCAGTTGCCCAGTTTGGACCTGGACCCAAAAGGCGATCACCGTTTGGGACCATGACTAAATTTGGACCAAAACAGAACAGCCAAAAGGTCAAAAGGTCGATTTGCTTTGGGTAACTGAGCCACTCGAATCATAACAAACCCCTTTCAGGACCCGAAACGGACATTGGGAGAAAAGTCTCCAACCACTATTCTAAGGTTCATTTTGAACTGCCCCTTTTGGGTGGTGCGCCGGTTCTTTTTCCTTCACCAGTCTGCCTTCAGCGTGTCGAAGGGGAAGGCGGCCGTGCGCCCCACAAGCCTCGATCCGCCGCATCGATGCGACGCGGCGGGCGACGCCACGCAGAAAAATTGCCAATAGGACACCTGGCCTGTCCATTTTCTGATCCCCAGCTAAAAGTCGAACACTTGTGAGTTAAATTCGGACACCCAACCACTAAACCAACTGACAAGTTAAAAAGCTAAGGGACTGGACGGCCGGGAACCGCCGAGAAACTGTAGCAAGTTGCCGTTCGGCTTCGGGGTGGGCGTCTCTTCACAAGTTCCTGGACTTACTTTCAGTCTCCCCGAATTGGTGACTTGGATTGGTGATTTGGATTGGTGGTTTGGATTTGGGTTTGAACCACCGAACCACCAATTCGCGGAAAGCTGATTGCTAGATGTGCTGAACCCGCATCAAGGTGTTTCTTTTGGGAGGAAACCATGCTAAAAGTCTAATGTTTAGTGGTCTGAAAGGGCTGAGGGGATGGCTGGCAACCACCAATCAAAGGGGTCGCGTAGGAGCCCGATGTTGTTCCTCCCACCAGGCTCTTTGACCACACATCTGCCCAAGATTTTCAGCCCTTCATGAAACCAAATATGAAAATACTTGCTCAGAGGTTGCTCATGAAAAGCAAACAGGCACACGAAGGTCCTTCTGTCGATGGTTGACAGATCTGACAAAGTAGGCAACCGAAGATGTGACTGGGCGAGAAACAACTCCTATCCTATAGGAAACTGGTCCGACAAAGCAGCATGTCTTTCGTCTCTCATGTATATACATTTAATTTGTGTCGACCCCTTTCCCTCGTTGCTCGCCTGTATTAGTTTCTGGAGCCCAAAAGGGCGATCCAAAAATACGGATACTCCTGCAAAACGTGAAGGTACCTCTAGCTTTTACATGATGCGTTTGTTTGGGATCCTACTATCAGGGGAAGTAACCATATTCCAAAATATACCCCTTATACAAATCCCTCTAAGCTCCGAAAGCATAGCCAGGTTATGGCTGGCAGCCCCATGAAACATTTTGTGCCTTTGATAGCAAAATAGCCAGCGCAGGGCTTCTCCGACAAGGGCCAAACATTGACCCTGACAATGGTGCCAAGCAGCCCTGGCTCAAACCTCAATCCAACGGCATGCCAAATGGGAAGCCCCGCCTATGGCACGAAATTGGAAACCGCAAGGAGGACCCCGAAGAAACTCAGGTCCATTGTTGGGGCTAGGCCATCGTAACCTTCCTGGAAAGTGGGTTGGAGACCCTGTAAACATCACTTGGGGATGTTTACCGCCAGGGTGTTCCATGAAAACCGGTGGTAGTTGCCGCCGATCCCTAAGCTTCTTTGGACACAAGGGGCAATTCCGGAAACCTGAAAAATTGGCCCCTCTGTTTGACCATTGTCAAAGTCATCCCCGTTCAGTGGTAGGTTGAATGGAAATCCCAATTTCTCACTTTCCCTAGAAACAGTACACACATTGACCCCAGTAAAACCTGCAACCCACGCTGCAAATCGCTCGCGGGAAAAAACTGCAGCGGCTCCGGATCGATGACTGGGGCTCTGGCCCGCCCAGGCCGCCGGAGATGCCTTCCACCGCCAGCTCCATTGTCCGACCCTGATCTAATTCTTGGCCCAGACGAGCTTCTGATTCTGTTGCTGATTTAATCCATAAATGCCATCAACATAATTTAGGGATCGGAGTCCCTTCCTGCGGATCTAAATCAAGGAATCTGGGAACCTTCATGGGGCCCTTTCGAACAGATCCTTGCGAGTGGCCAAACCTGTCGGCAGAGTCGGCTGGGGGAAGTCAGCTGATGCCAGACGTGGGCAAAATGTGCGGTCTTTGCAAGAGGCTGCAATAAAACTTTGCTTGCAGCCCCCATGGACCTATCATGGCTAGCGCCGTCAACCTGCACTCTGAGCCCAAATGCGCGCGAGTTGACAATGTTCGTCCCTCTTTCAAAAAGGGAAAGATACAAGGATGATGTTTTGTGGCGTCCTTCAGAATGTGTTTCTTCCCCGGCCAGTTTAAAGCGGAAACATGGAAGCCCCGAGCGAGAATCCAAAGAAGTCGTGAGACTTCCTGAGGCAGGGAAGTGGATTAGTGGGACAAAGCTCAGACTCGTTGTTCACTATGAGCATGAACTTTAATCGGGGGCCGATTGGTGGACACAATTTAGGTGGAGATTCATGTTCACCACCTGTGAAGGGGTTCCCTACTCGAATTCCATGGCTGAATGATCTTCCCGGAAAATGTTGATATAAAGCCGAGAAAGCAGGAAAGCAAGCCTTTCGGGACCTTGACGGCCCTCCTGCCCGCTCCCTCTACATGAATTAGGGGATATGGGGCCTACCATGCAAAAAACTCCAAACATAGTCACACGGCTTTTCAGCCGACACCTGGGTTGGGACCGGGGCCCTGCTAAACCCTTGCTAGGTTAACAGATTCCAACATGCGGCTTCAATTTCAAGGATAATTTACATGTACATGCCTGCGAACACTCCCATAAGCCAAGGATTGACATATATATTGTAGAGCTTTCGTGCTAGTTTATGCCTGTTTCACCTAAGAAATCCGCCGCGGCCGCTTTGCTGCCTGCCGCCTTTCTCCCGACAGCGGCAGTAGATCCTTGGCAGAGAGGACCACCAAGCTGCATCACTTAAATGCTAAACACCCTAAGATTATCCCTGTCCCTGCAACTGGGGGTGTCTTTTTACAGTTTGGACCCTCCAAATTGGTCGTTTTCCTTTTGGTTAAAAAGGGTACCCTCAAAAAAGACACACCCAGGTTGACGAGCAATCTTCTTCTGCACCCTGACCTTTCTCGGGCATAGGAACCTGGAGAGTGTTGATCAGGCAAGTAATTGCATTGGTCAATTCTGGGGAATTGAATTGATTTGTCATTATTTTCCCCTATCAGCTGAAAACTTAGGGGCGGGTTCCGGAGCGTTTTTCAGGGGGTCCCAGCCTTCTGGGCATACCACCTGGGCTCATTTTAATTTGAGAGATTCAACACATAGGTATGCATGAAAATAGGGATTTGACCTGCAAACATGAATCTTGGTGTCCCTTTTGGTGTCCGTTTAAGCCAGCCCTTAAAAGGTATTGACAAGTTGCAGGGGAGTGGCGGAAAGTCCTCAAGAACCACCAAGTTTCCTTTCAACCGACCCCAAAGAAAGACAAACCCGTGAATCGACTCGTAATCCCTTTTGGCTTTCTGTTGCACCCAAAAAACCATCGGACACGCCCTGCAATGGCCGAGCAGCGAAAGCGCCACTCGCCTCCGCGCGGGAACTGACCAGGCGCAGGCCGGTTTCGGTGCTCTGCACCTAAGCTAGGGTGGTCCTTTTGACTTTTGGCATACTATGGATGGTTGCGACAAGAGCTTCTCGCACCACTTTTCAGAATCCTGTCATTCGATTCATGCACGTAAATACCAACAAACAATGGGTTTCAACCACGATTTCAAAGTCGATCGAAATGGGCTTCGTCTGTACCTGCCTGCACTTGCAGGGCCTGACACATGCAGTGTGTGTTTTTGAGGCTGGACCCCGCAAAATGGTGGTTTGCAACTTTTGGCTTCACTTTGAAGCCCCAAAATGTGTGGACCCTTCAAAAACGGACACACACACACACACAGCCAATGTGGCAATGATCAGTGGCCTTTAGAACTTCTGCGAAGGACTTCCAGCTACACCGTGCAGTGCGGCAATGCAACAACAAAACGATCAGAGGCAAAGCTGTCTTTGGGCCTTCCTTCCTTACATCCTGGAATCCCAGCATTGCCTTGGACAGCCATCGATCCGAGGCGAGTCCAGAGGGCAGTCTTTGTACTTCAAGTCTCCCTTTCGGCCAACGATCCGCAGCCGGCTTCTGTACAATGGAAGACTTCCAGACAAAGATCTAGGGCTTAGGGGTTCATCCCCGAACTGTACAAACAAAACGAAACATACCAACCGAGCTCAGACTTCGACATTATCATGCAGGTCTTGCCACTTCCGGCCATGACTCCATGACCATCAACTCAGCTCAGCTACTGTCGCTGGCATCATCCTGGATCACGTCCTCGGCTTCTGTGGCTTCCGTGGCTTCCGTGTCGGACACGCACAGGGGCTTCATGGTACCATCAGACCACACCGGTCCACCAGGCCGGGGGAAGATGTGGAAGGCCAACTTCTCCGGGGAGGGTGCAGCACCCCCACCCTCGCAATTGGCCACCATCTTGTATCCTGGAACGCCTTTCAGTTGGAAGTGGATCAGCATCGAGGCCAAGAAGGTTTTGGCCTCGAAGAGAGCGAACTGACTGCCAATGCAAGCGCGTGTGGCGAAGCCCCACGGGTGGTAGGCGTTGGGATGTCGCTGCCTCACTGCTTCGGGCGAGAAACGATCTGGGTTGAAGCTCAATGGATCTCCAAATTCCCCACCCCAGTACTCCGGGTTCGTATGCAAGGCCCGTGTCACCAGGTTGATCCTCTCGCCTTGATACACGCGATGACCGCCCAGCAGGGTATCATACGCCACGTCCCGCGTGATGGAGGTCACCGGGCTGTAGAGCCTCAGGGCCTCGCGGAAGCACTGCTCCACGAACTGGAGCTTCGGCACGTCCTCTACGCTCGGCTCGCTTTTGCCCTGCAGCACCTGCCGCACCTGGCGACCCGGAGCAGCTCTGAATTCATGGACCGGCGGACCCTTTCGGGTTCGTATTCAGAGGGCCGAAAAAATGAAGCATTTAAGAAACAAGTCCAGGGGCGGGACCAGCTCCTTGCAGAAACAAAGGAAACACCGCGCCTCCTCCAGCGCGCGCTGCTCAAACTCCGGATGCTCTGCCAAGAGCTGCATCGTGAAGCCCAGGGTGGCGGCAGTGGTCTCATGGCCTGCAATCATCAGATTCACCACGTGCCCGTACAGAGCGCCGAATCGAACCTTCTTGCCGTCCGCACTATCGTTGAGCATGGCAGCAATGATGGAGTTCTCACTCAGTTCACCTCTTCGAGTGGCTTCAACCAAGTCCTCCACCTGTCTCTGCATCTCCTTCTTAGTGGCTTCGTACTTCTCCTGAAGTTGACCTTCAGCATCAAAGAACGGCAGGAAGCGCTTGAGACCGTACTCTGACTGCGTGGTGATGCTTCCGATCGACACGCCGAGGCCAAAACGAAAGGTCTCCACAAACTTGTGGGGTGGCTGCTTCAAACCCAAGCGCTCCACATTGCACATGTCCATTCCCATGCTACATGAAACCACAGCATCCGCGGTCATTGCGGTCAGCCACTCGTTCACGCCTTCCACCAACTGCCCGGCTTCAAATTTGGACCATTCCGCAACAAAAGCACGAGTCTTGGCCAGGATCTGCGGTGCAAAACCCTTCACTTTGATCTGATTGAAACCGCGAGGAAGGAGACTATGCCCCGTCTTCCAATCCTCCGACTTCTCACTGCTGGTGAAGAGCCCGTTGGCGGTGAAGTCTTGCAAACCGACCTGGGGGCGTGTTTCTGAGGTGCTCGCTTCACCTTACTTAAAAGGGAAACCAAGAGGAAAACCAATCTTTTGGGGACTAACTCTTTTGACACATACCCACCTCGACATCGCGGTTCCAAAGCTTGGGGAAATCTGCAGGTCTTGAGATCATCTCTTGGACGATGTTGGCATCCGCGGTCATGATCTCGAAGTATTGGGCGTCCCGGTGAATGACCGCTGCCCCAAACTCCCCGACACTTTGCTTGCGCCCTTCATGAGATCGAACGGTGGAGCCCCAGGGGTACTTGCCACTTGTGGGGAAGACGTTCTGAGCAAAGTTGTACTCCGGGATCGGATAGGGTCCCTTGGACTGGTAGGTCGTGCCCAGGATGGGCAAGCAAGTGCCACAAATGGGGAAAGCCGTTGGACCACTTGGCACATCCGCCGGCCGAGGTACTTCCCGAGCGAACACCAGCTGAATCACGCGCAAGTGATCTGGCGGCAGAGTCGCGAGCAACAGCTCTAGGCAGCCGATCTCTTTGAGCTCTTCCCCCAGCTTGAGGCAGGCTCCGTCCACCGTCTCGCGCTCCACCGGATAGAAGCTGAAGTCCACATCCGCACCCAACGCGGCACAGGTTGCTTGGCGCAAGTCTACCACGCTGGCCGCTTTCGGAAGCTTCACCAACTGCCAGGTTGCAGCCGTGATTTCAGGGCAATGCACTGCGAGGTGGTACTCAAAAGAAGAAGAGGCATCGCATCGCACGGAATCCCTCAAGGATTGTTTGAGAGCCGAAGATGCCACCATAACCGCTGTGGCCCCTACAGCCATGCCGCCTGCTAGCTTCAGCATCTGAGAGCTCTCGGCCATTGTCAAAGGTCGAAGTTGCGAAGCAGATCTGTACGCTGCGATGTTGAGCTGTTGAGCTTGAGCCAATGTCACGAGAAATTGGGAACACAGCCCGTCACAGAGCCCAGGATGTTAGTCTGTGATGCCGTGCCTCCTGCGGTTGCCCCAGTCATTGTTGTCGTGATTTGTTTCTCGCATATATCCGGCAAAACGAAACTGCCAAGGACACGTGTGTCACACCCACACTGCAGTAAAGTAGTCTAGAAAGTAAATGGGACTACCCGGAGCTTCCCTGGGTTCGGAACTCGAGAACTCGGCCGTTCCGGTGACCCCAAGCTTCCTGTGAAAGTAACCATGAGGGACTGGGCACCTTTTCGTTGGTTGTACAGGGAAACCTGCTCAAACAAAGAAGGAAAATACGGATGCGCAAAAGTAGATGGAGCACTTCCCTTGGCAAGGGGACGACGGTCCAAACCGGGAGGGGCGGTGGGGAATGTGTCGCTTCCCTTAGGATTTCCTTGAGGGGAAACTCACACGTTTGGGCAGTGGGGAGTACAATATGTGGCCCCCCCAAACTCAAACAAGGTCCCGCACAGCATCAGGCTAAAAGCATCACACCACAAATTCGGATCCCGTTGTGCGTTTCGTGCGGCCGTCCTGTACCAACCTTCCAAGCTGAGTGGCCTGCTCCAATTGACCCCCTGCAACGAAAACACGCTTTGTGCTGCGTACTAGTTCGCGGTTTGGAGTGAGCCGTTGTCTAAACAAATATGTTTGCCAATCCAAACAAACACACACACATACACACATACACAAAACACACACACACAAGAAAGCCAACAACTCGTTCATATACCTTGATGGATAGATTGAACAAAAATAGTAAACAGGGGTCAAAACAAGAAGCTTCCGAAAGAAAACCACCAAATACCTCCTTTACTTTAACCGTTCGTTGCGGTTGAGTCCAAAGAGGAAAATTGCACATAGTTTCTATTGTACGTAAAGACCTCCGCAAAAAAGACAAGAAAGCACATTGTATCTATTATAGTGCGGCTCGAGTTCCAACATTTGCAAATTGCCTCTTAACTTGTTTATCTCTTCACTTGTTTACCCACACCGCAGTAGCCATGGGAGAAAGGGCACTCAGTTTGTTGAAATGGTAGCTTGAAGTGAAACAACCGCCAACAGCAGCTTTGAGAATCGATCCAATGTTCACTTTAATGGACCAGGCTGAGGTTGGGTTGCGTGTTACCACTAAAATGGTTTTCCCAAAAAGTGACGAAAGTCCAGGAATTCAGGGAGTGAGTAAATGTTGTCAATATGTCCAACTTGTGTCCTTTGAGCAAGCCAGCGCGAAATGCAACCGCTGATAGAGCCAGTCAGGTCACACACATCCGCAGCTACTGTGGATGGACAAAATCCTGCACCAGTCTGAAGCCATGGATTGAACCATTGTTTGTTGATATTTGCAGGGGAATCAAATCATCGGGTTTCTTAGGTGGTGCCGGATTTCGTTCATCCACAGTAGTGTCGCGGTAAAGGGTTCCATCCTCCGTGACAAACTGCTCCACACACAGCGCATTGCCCACGTAAACCAAATTCTGCAAAGTCCAAGCCAGATCCACATATTTCCAGTAGTGCTAGATTCTTGAAAACGAACAGGGGAAGATAACACATGTTCTTGAGCAAACGGAAAATGGGATGGATGAACTTCTATGAATACTGATTTACAAACCACCAATCCTTGGAAAAATGGAAGAGACAAACCACCAATATGTTCTTAATCAAATGGAAGAGATTGAGGGACCATTTTTAAGGTTGGACCCCCCAACATGGCTTCGGTCTTCCTAACCGCAAAGACAACGGGGCACCAAAAAAAAATCCGGAAAAATATATTGCATGCAGGTGAGCGCTCTTGCGGTCGCGGAGCAGCTCGTGAAAACCTTGAGGCCCACCAATTTCAGCTTGATGAAGTGACAACCAGGGAACCGTCCGGGTATGAGATGCAACTTGACTACCAGTCCGGCTTGGGAACTGCTCTTCCCGAAAACAGGAGGCGTGGTTGTTACCCAAGTAATCAAAGGGCACTTACTCCCCTCTCCTCTGAGTGTAACTGAAGTGTTCCAGATTCTGACGGCATCAACAAGTCACTTGGAAGCTCTAGAAGTTGGGTGTCCAGCTTGGAACATCAGGGAGGTGTAGATCTAAGGTCTTAAGGGCTTAATACTGTAGATAGTTGCAAAATCACTGTTGCACCACCGTGCAGAAACCCTGGAATGATTCGATCCCCAACGTAAACATGACAACAAGCGTTATAACGTTGTGGTTTCAGTCCCATGGTTTCATGTCGTGGTGCGAGACTCGCAAATGACTCGTCCACCCACCGGTGAGTTCGGCCCTGGAGGTCCATGGAAGTCAACTCCAAGGGGCCAAGTACTCCCCGTTCTCGGTGGTCAGCTCGCTGTCACCTCGGAATTGGAGCGGATTCCAATCGCCGGATCTGGAGGCGGACTTGCCATACGGGTACATTTCTCGTCTTTAAGGAGTTAATACTTGGTACCTCTCTTTTTGTGGTAAAGTGAAACTAAAAGGACAACCGAAACCATTTGTTTTTTCGGGGACGTATGAATCGTCAAAATTTGGGGCCCTTTTGGGTATCCCCTTTGCATGCACTGCAAAAGGGACCTTTTTAGTAATACAAGGCAAGGATTCAGGATTGCCTTTGAACAGCCCAGCTGCTGCTTCCCTTTTGCATTGAGCCCTGTATCTTCCATGCGACCTCCTTCATGATCACTTGCAAAGGACCTTCTGTGACCAAAACTTGGAACTCGAAATGTTCGGGTGCTTGTCAAAACGGACACCGTTTTGGTTGGTATTCAGAGTAAAACCCAAAAGAACAGTCAACATTTTGGGGGTCCAATTCCTATGAGAGCCCGACATGGGAAAGTAAAGATGCCAAAAGGTCGATTCCATTCGATTCCCTTTGGGCATCCGCTGGAAAGGGACATTTCCTCAAAGGGAGAGCAGAAGGAAGCCGAAATCTCTTTTCGAGTATATGCATAGACGATGACATTGGTTGAATAAGCCGTCGCGGAAATCGGTCATGCATATGGAAGCTTCACTCCGCCCCCCAATTCTATCTTTCATCTTGACCAAACTTGCCCCCCCCCTGCAACAAGTCAACGTTTTGCTGGTTGAAATAAACATGATGCAAAACCGCAAAGGCAAAAAGTCAAGTCTGGCAACGTCGGGGCCGAGCTTCAGCGCCACTTCACGCTGCGCTCGATGTCCTTCGACAGGACCAGGTTCTCCGGTCCTCGCCTCGTGCGGCGATGCGGACTTGTTGCTTCCTGTGGCTTCACGAAGCATGGGCCTGAGAACGGGTGTGGTTTTCGTTGGCCAACCGGGGTGCACGAATTTCAGATTTTTGATTCTGTTTTATATTTGATCCACGGAACATGTTTTCTGATTCTGCTTCATATTAAGTGGGCTTCCCTAAAACATAACATGGTTTTGGGATCGGAGACCCCATGTTGAAACGGCCAAACATTTGGTCGCAGCTGGCCATTTTCCTGTCTGACCATTAGTGTTTCTTCTGTTCACAAAACAACTGCCACACAACCAAAATAAGCAATCCACGCATAAACGCGCAGGCACATGCACGCAACAGCAACTCAAAGGCAGGCTGCAAAGGCAAAGGCAGACGCAGACTCTAGCGAAGGCGCAACACTAGGCACAAAAACAAATGCGAATCTGCTTGTCACTTGCCCAAAGGGCTTGGAAATCAGGGTCGGCCTTTTGGGGGCCACAGACAATCAAAAGGTCAGATCTGGTGGATTTGACAAGTGAGGCCTCTGGGTCCGCCTTCGGTACGAGTCGAACTTCATAGGTTAAGCCCTCGGCGAAATGACCAGCCCGGAGCCCAGATGTAGCAGTTGGCCCTGCCTGCGCAAAGAGAAAAGGCCAAGTTCGGGCAACTGCTCTGAATTGCCACGTCCATGCACATGTGTGTATCTATATATATATATACATATAAAGTCTACACATACATACATGTATGTAAATAGATATATACATAGATCACAAAAGGTCTATACCCCATGCAACCGCATGTACATTTCATATGCATACATTGGTGTGTATACATGTATAATTACACATCCATGAAAAGTATATACCCTGTTTGGGCCACTTGCTATATCCCCCAGGAAAGGGGCCGTCGTCATGGGTAAGCTTGTTTTGCCCCCAAATGAGCTCTCCCACCAAACACGCCACCAGTTTTGTTCTGGTTTCAAAGGAAAAAACTGTGTTTGGGCGTCCCCTATAAGGGGGACAGGATGTATTCAAGGCTCGGTGCAACGTTGCTTAGGGTAGGGATTGTGAAGGACCACTTAGTTGCGACAACCACCATAAGGGATGTCTTTAGCTGCGTGGCCCGTGGTGTTTCACTGGGAAATAAGGGGGAGTGGTTGGGAGGGTAGAACTTTCGGGGTTTGAAGGGAAACCAACGGGATGTGTTTGAGTTGTTTTTAAGGGTGCTGCGGGGTTGTTGGCCAAGTTGGGCATATTTTCCTATTGGTCTGTGATGAACAAGGAATTCCCAAGTAAGGAGTCTTCATCATGAGCTTTGACTCTATGGTTGTCAAGGGTCCTGGGACCCCGCAATACGAGCCGGCTATTACAGTAAATCGGATTTTATTGGGTTCCATTCTGTGTTGTTGTTGTTGTTGTTTTTTTTGGGGGGGGGGGTCACCTCTTGGGACCATGGCATTGAACCCCCAATCAGCATCCTATCAAAGCAGGGATGTCATTTTCGCTCGGGGGCTCGGGGCAACTGAAAGGCAACTCCCGGAAAACATGTCGCTGTGGTGGCTGCCTTGTTGGATTCCCAGCATCACTAGCCCCAACCTGTACCATGTATACATGTATACACGTATCCATATATGTTTATATAGTAGTGTGTTTGTCTATGTACACATAGGTGGTGTCCACTCTGTTTTCATATGACAATTTGCTGCAACCGACCACTCGCGTCTATGGGGGCTTGCCAAGGTGCGCGTCGTGCAGGAAGAGCATGAGATGTCGCTCGCGCTTGGACTTGGTCAAAGTGAGCGCAGCCTGGCGGCCCTTTGGAATACCTAAGAAGGGTCATTCACAAACCGTATATGTGTATATGGTACATACACGCATATACACTGTGTATGTATATATATATATGTATACTTTCTTCACACCCCAATTCAAGATACAACCCTGTCGCAAGCACTTTTATCTACTACCACCCCCAACTCCCGAACCACTACTCCCGAGGAAAGATCGATAGGACCTATACCTTTTACTCAGAGGTCATACTAATGTAGGACTTGTCTACCCAAAAGTTGTTCAAGGGGCTAGTGCTTTGGGGTCACCCGTGGTTCCTTGCTTTAAGCCGGCTGATTGTCAGTCTGCTGAAACTCTCGTGGATTTTGTGTCCAGGTGACACAAGGCTATGGATTAACATTTTGCATCCTGAGGCGTTGCCACGTACCAGTTTTGGCGTTGTGCCGATGTTTCTTCTGGGACATGCCCTGGCTTGCCGAGGATATTCCAAATGTATAATATATATATTATCATACATCTATACACCATAGTGCCGTTGGTCACTATTATGTGCATGGTTTCCAGCCCCTAGATAGCCACAGGAATCTCCGCATTTCAAAGATGGCTTCCGCTAGGTTGTTATGCCGCCGTTTTCTTAGAGACTGTCTGCCTCCCAGTAGGCAAGTTGCTATGCCCATCTCTGTAGACTCAACCCCTCCCATTTGTTGGGTTGGTTTGCCCAGCAATGCCGATAGAAAAATTGTTTGGAACTATTTTTGGGGGTCTACTCCGGATTTGATGGGGAACACCCCCGAGCACAGAGTCCGCTGAGCAACTAAACGCAGATGTTGAAGAAAGTTGATCCTGCAAAACAAACACGAACGGACCCATGGATTGGCACGAACCAACGGAAAGCAACTCGCAATGCACGGAAACCCGCGACAGCCTCGTCGAGCTCCATTGCCTGGGCGAGTGTCACATGGGGGTGTGTCTCAAAATGAGGGGAACCCCAAAATTTGGGCTTCCCTTCAAAAAGCCACCCCAAGAAATGTCAAAAAACGACCCACCCACATTCAGGGGCTGAAAAAATCGAAGAGCCATCGGGATCCTGTTGGTTTTGGTTTGGAAACAACAGCAATTGTGGAATTGTCCATTTGCCACCAAAGAAACATGCTGTAAGCTCCAAGCTCGGGAAAAATAAAGCCCAGGTATCCCCAACAGCAACCAGGATCCATTTGCCAACTCTGGGCATGTTGGAAAATAGCGCTGTAACACCAATGCACCAATAGCGCTGACCCCATGCTGCTCTATCACTTTAAAGGGGATTGGGTTGGTATCACAGAAAGTGAGCATACAACCGCATGTCCCACGACCATGGTTCTGGGAGGCAAGATGAACTGCCTCGGAGAAAATCGCTATATTCATTGTTCTTTTCCAAGGTCTTAGGATCGAGATGAATGGTTTCCCGAGCTGCCTGGAATTGGAACCCCAAAGACCCCCCTCTTTTCTGTAGGTTCCATGTGATCCATGGATTTTCCGCGCTAAAAAGCGGTCGAACTGAATCCTGTCTGCAAGCGCCCGAGTTGCCACGACGCTTCCAAAGTCCGCGCCCTCCTCGCAAGGGCACAGCCTGCCGAAGCTGGTGCGATAGGCAGGGAATGACCATTCGGGGTGTTGGGAATGAACCTAGGGCCAAAGGAAACCATAGGGGATGGTTTGTACGGGGCATTGCCTCATTCCCGCCGAGAACCAGCAAGTCAAAGTGTCAACCGCCCCCTAAAACACACCGGACAGCCATGACACTGTGACTCAATCATTCACCGACTTTGGATTGACTTTGAGTTAAGGAACAAGCAAACACCCTGGATCGTTGAGTTTATCTAATTGTTTAGAAGAGTTTTCCTGAATCATGGTTCAATATGGTTCACCAGCCTGAAAACAGCTATCCTCGCACCAACAAACATAAAAACGACAAAGAGCCCATTTAAACGACTGCTTTTCCTTTGGGCAGGGATTCTTTGCAAAGCATCATTGGCGGGATACGTATCCCTATAAAAGGAAACCGACGTCCCCTTCGCCTTCAAGCACCGCTCATCTAAAGATAAACTCAGCTACACTTGGCCCAAATGACGTCTAGGAAAGAAAACTGGAACTGGGGACTCCAAAAATGTTGGTTTGCCTGCCGGGTTTCCGTTGAAAACCACAATGAAAGGGGGTACCAACTCCTAAAAAAGACGTGCCACCCCAATGGGGGGGTGATCAATATCCTGGCACCAAAATGACCATGGGTAGCTAGGCCGGCTGACATCAGTTCGCTGAAGCTGCGTCTGTTCAACTCCAGCTATCCTGAAACAAACAAACACTTCGGAGGGAACCAGCTACTATTCGCATCGCCAGGCTCAGCGTCTTAAGCATCGTCTCCCGTGTGTAGTACCGCGCTTCGCTGTAGGCGACACTGTCCCTCTGGAGCTACTCTATGCGGGCCAGAGATCCGTTCCCATTTAGTGGTGAAAGACATGTTTTTGTGGTTTCCTGATGGTCATCCCGTGTCAAGGACCTTTTGATCAACCCCCAAACATAGACGTCCTGGACAAAGCTATCCCGATGGCAACCCATGTTTTGGGGACATGGGAACTTGGGAACCCAGGCTTAAGAAAAAACGCTGGCGGGTTTTGATCGGGGCGTATCCCAAGGGACCAATCAACTTTGGGGGCCACCCAGCCCATCTGCCAGATCAAATATTCGAGGTCGACATGATGTAAATTACTCTCACCCCCAACTTGAAACCAGAAATCCCGCTGATGAGCTCATTTGAGCCCCATGAAGCATGATAAAACAGTGGTACAGAGGTCGCCCCCCAAATCCAAGAGAAGCTCAATGAAGATCCGCACCTATTGGCTGAACCACTGTGGATGGACGAAATCAATTTCACACCCCTGTAAATACTAACAAATCGTCCATCCGCAGTATCAATCTTTGCCCGGGCTTTGCGGAAGCGGCTCCAAGTGGGCTGGAGATGAACCGGCTCGGCCCATGTGGGTCTTTTTTACTGACCTGGACCTTTGTCCTCCTGAAAAAAAAGTAGTTTCCGTCTTTGACTGGATACTCGGGAAATCATAGCACTTTTTGCCGCAAAAACCTGAAACTCCTAAAACCCGTAAAAGGCACGCTAATGCAATGCTCGCGGCCTTTGACAGATTAAAGGAAGCTTTGCAGGGGGAAACGGCTTGATGCAGCCCGCAAGAGTGTCAAAACATGCAACGGCGGTCCAAAGTTGTGCGGTGCAGAAAAAACGTACCATTTTGACCGCAAAACGCCCGCAAATGTCTCACATCAGGAAAAGTCGTAGTTTTGAATGATCAAGGCATCCCATGGTGTTCACTGGCACGTTGGCAAGTGCTGCGATGTGTATTCATTTTGTATGGCCAATGCGTGACTGGAAACGACGCAAGTCGTATGTGCTTTTTGCCCCAATTGCAGCTAAGCCACTGGAATTCGGTAAATCGTAGGGGTCTCCTAAAACACCCAGAAATTACCCGGAGTTTGACGGTCCAGGGAGTTGGTACCCCTTTCCGTTATCGTTTACAGGGAAGCCACAAGGAAAACCGAAACCATTATTGGGGGTCCCCTTGAAAAGACACACCCATGCAAATGATGTGGGATGAACCAGATCGGCAATCGGACCAGCACCCCGGATGCAACTGGCTGACATCCTCAAAATTCAGTGGTGAAAATTTGAAGTCAGCACAAAGTCTACCCCGGTGGATCCATGTTACCTGTATAATGGGTAACCAAGGGCTTGCCACCTGATATGAAAACTAAAAGGAAAATGGCGAAGGGTTACCTACCAGACTGGCTTGCCTGGGATGCACTGGGTAATGGTTGCAGGCTTGAGCCAACTGACGCCTTGTCTTGGGGATTGGGGGCAAGGCGCGCGCCTCGCAGCGCCCCGGGTTTCGGGGATGAGGAACTGCCGCGCAGCTTTCCCGTCGCGAAGCGCCACGAAGAGGAAGCGATCACCTGGGTCGCGGCCAACCAACTCGAGCACTCCATTCCGGCGCCTCCAGACTGTCCATTCACAGCCGTACGCACAAAACCGACTTCTGTAAACGCCACTGGTTTTGGCAGGCTTTAGTGCTTCCACATGGGTGTGTCTCTAGATGGGATGAACAAAAATGGGCAGTTTCACCTTGGTTCTCCTTTAGCTTCTCCACGTATACAGAACAATTGCAAAAAGGGTACCCTCATAGAAGACGCACCAACACATGATGTTCCAGCATGCCCTCTCTGCGGCATTGAAACGATCTTCGGATCCCAATTTCTTCCCCGTGTCGCCACCCGCCGGGTCAGTCTTCTGAGGCCCTACTGTTCATTTTGCACATCAACGTAGCCACCTCAAACTGTCACCAAGAAGTCCAAACGGGTGCGACAAAGAGTTTCGCTTTTTTCCCAAACTCGGTGGCACATGGACAAAACTACACCCGCTTGTTTCGGTAGTTGTTTTGAAGCAGAAACTTCATCGAACAAAGAAAGTAATCAGGGCGCCACAGGAGGTCTGAATAAGAGAACCGCTTCAAAAGGCTTATAGCTATTTTGGTTGCCTTGATCAAAGTGAAGAAACTGACGTCTAAAATGGGAAGATCTAAGTGAAGTCTACAAACTAAAAACCGTACTGGCAATAAGCAACAGCTGAAAGCTAAAAAGAACTGGCGAGAGGTGAGCATTTCGCAACTCTCACTGACAGGCAAAGCGCACGTTCCAGATGCAGCAGCTTCCTTGTGGTGCTCTTGGTGCCATTGGTCGCACACAACCTTCCTGTCATAAAAGGTCAGGTCTTTCAATCGCTTCACGTTTCAGGCAGTTGGTGCAATGGGCAACAACTGGGCTTTAATGATCAAAGGGTTGGGCGGCAGAGGGAACAATCAAAACCCTGCCAAAATATCGGGCCCTCGCTGCATGTGGACTCGAGGTCTCTCATATTCATACATGCACTGTGTGCATTCCAAAACATGCCCAAATTTTGGAATTCCCGGCGGGTTGCTTCTCTTCGGGTTTCGGGTTAGAACAATACCAAAATGGTGTTGAGTGGAAATTCAACAACCCGAAGTCTATAAATCTAAGAAACACAAATGGCAAGAACTACATGTGTCAAGCTTGAAGTCGAAAAAAGTAATACTCCCGAACTTGCAAAAACCAACAGCTTGAACTTTGGAAATCAGGTCAGAGCCCTGCCTGAAACTAGGTCATCCACGCCATGCCGAGCAGTCGTGCAGCAGCGGTGACGACAACTCCGTCAGCGCCTTGGCCGGCGTAGAGCCCCGAACCTCCCCGGGCCCTTCTATGGTCGAACACCCCCTAAATAGGCCATGGTCATGGCTCACTTAAACAGAATGCTTGTGTTGGATGTCTTGAATTGTACTGAGGTGTTGATCATCCCTAGCAATCGCAAGTATGGGGCTCACACTATGTCCGTACTGTTACTGAGTTGGTTGGACAAAAAGGAAGTCTGATGTTTGTCTTCGCCAGTAAAATGGTCTTCCCCAAAGTACAAGTCCAGGAACTCAGGGAGTGAGTAGACTTAAGCCCAGTTGTTTCCTTTCTTGGGAAAAGCACGGGATTGAGTCTATGGGGGAGCCACGAAACTGGAACCCTCTTTCAGGGTGCTGACATAGATAACCCAAGATGACCCCAGCAAAACCTAAAGTCAAGTTGAATCGGAGTGCCTTTTGACCCCCTGGGTGGCTCTTCCCAAGACGGGAAAAAAACGTGTACCAAACTACAGCGAACTCTCCCAAAGCTCGCAGTAGTCAAATCAAGCTTGGTTCCCAAACCCTTGGTTTGACCTGAATGGTTTGTCTGCGCACTCTCTAGCAACAAGTTAGATCATTTTGGTTGCAGGGACCCGGTCAGTTCGATCGACCCAAACAGAACTCCACCGCAAGGTCATTTCAAACCAGAACTCCACCGCAAGGTCATTTCAAACCAGAAATCGGTCACCTTCCGGAGAAATCGACCCGGGGCGTGCACTGGCCACGGGAAGCCGGACGGAGCTGCAAATAGAAAGCCTTCCGAAGGTCCGGTACGGGAGCTTCCAAGAAGGGCTACGACTCAAGGCAGATTTGTTTCTTTGTTCACCTCCCAGGTGGTAGGTCAAAGGGAAGCAATGTGTCTCTGACTTTGAAGAAACAGTCCAAACTGACTTGGGCTAGAGGGCGCCATTCCCCTATCTTGTTTTAGTCAATCCCTTGCTTACCCACATCTGGGCGTCTTGTTTCGACGACCGGGGCCCTCCAAAAAAATGGGTGGACTCCTGATGGTCCAAAACATGGGCACCCTTATAAAAAGACACACCCATCTACTGGGAAGTGTACCCTAAGAAGCAGTCACCATAGCTAGGTCCTCCAGTCAAAAAGGATAGAATATGGGTGCCCTTTTTTCGTAGTCTATTTTAGTAGAAACCCTCCTCCCAAAAAGGGTACAAGGGCACTACTGGGGGACCTAGATAATGACCCCTGCGAGTCCAGGTGCGCAGAGGTTCTGCGTCCACTGCGCCGGCCGCAACGCCTCCAGCGCAGCCTGGTGCGTGCACAACACGATCGCGTCCGCGTCGATGGAAAGGCCTACGAGAAGCGGAAATGCATTCTTTCTGGGAACCGAGCCCATTCTGGGTACCCTGACAATAAAACACCTATATGGGGTACCCTCAAAAAAAGGAACTATGCAGGGCACGCACAAAAGAAAACACTCACGTTCGTATATTTGGATTCCCCTTGGAGGCAATGGGGACCCTGGATTAGCTAACCCTCGATGAAGGAATCAAGTTTTAGGCTCTAATCCAGCAGGTTCATAAATCCGGGGTTGATATTTAGAAGGAAACCAAGCACCGGCCCTCCAGGAAAGGTTCTTAGCTCAGAAGAGGTTCTGATTGCAGGGTTCTGACAAACGGTTCTAGGGAAACAAAGGGCGGTAGTGTCTCTCCTGCAATATTTGCTGGGAAATCTGGGTGCCCCAAAAGGTCATGTTTAAACAAGGGAAAATATGGGGCTAACCCTAGAAAGTCCACCAAATGGAACGTGGAATCTATCGTTGAAGCGTCGCAGCTATGGGAAGGAGCATCCCATTCCTGTGGATGGACGAAATCCATTTCGCTACACCTAAGGCAGCCATGGTTGAAAACATGATTGTTGGAACTTACCTTGGGATCGAATCATTTCAGGGTTTCTTAGGTGGTGCGAATGGATATCGTCCATCCACAGTATCTAGCCCAAATGAACAGTTGATCTTTTTGGAACAACAGAACCCCCCAAAGTTGTCTTTTTGGTGTCCCTCTAAAACCACCAAACATAGGGTACCCCCAAACAAGAAAGACCCAAATAATGCCCCAAGTTCCCAGTTAGGGTTGCCTGTAAATTTGTTGGAATCCCCCACATTTGTGAATTGTCTGTGCTTGGTTTCCGTTTGACAAATTTCAGGAACTGAATCAAGCCAATGACGCCACTCGAGCATGCCCCAAAATGAGGAGTTGTTGGGTCTTACTTGGGTGTCTTAAAGCGTGGCTATCCTTTCCGTTTCCCGTCACACAGGCAAAAAGCGTAGCCTCAAAACGTACACACAAACACACACACACACACACACACACACACACACACACACACACACACACACACACACACACACACACACACACACACACACACACACACACACACACACACACACACACACACACACACACACACACACACACACACACACCCACCTGTATGTTGGATAAGTTTGGCATAGCTCCAAGAGGAATTAATCCCATACACGGGTGTCCTTGTTTAGCGGACCCACCTGCCCAAACGGTGGTGTTCCTGTTGGTTTACCTCTTGAACATCTAAAAAAGGGGGTCACATTAAAAACAACACACCCATGATGCTTTGTCTGTTTTGAGGGTGCCAGTTTGTGGGCTGGCTGTAGTGGGAAGCCAAAGGAACCAGCAGCCTCAAAAGGGTAGCCCCAAAACTTGGCCCACATCTGGGCGACACAGAACATTTTTCTGATTATTATTTCATTTTTAGACTACCATACTTAGACTACCCTAAAATGTAAGTGGTTTTGGGATCGGAGACCCCAGATGAGGGATATATCCAAGAAGAGGCGCACAAGCCACACACTCACTGGTTCAGTTGGGTGTGTCTTAAAATTGGGGTACCCAACAAAGTGGTTAGTTTCCTTCTTGGCATTGGCTTTCCTTCAAATCCCTCAGACAAAAACCACACCCACTTGCCTTTTGGGCCGGGCGAAAAGCGACTTTTGAGTCGCCCGGGCCTGCCAGTGTGGCCTCATAGCGCACCTGCGCCATCTCCCAGGTCTCCTGGCGACGGATTGGCCTGGTGAGGCAGCCGCAAAAAGTGGTTGCCTTAGTTGGACAAAGTGACCAATCAACATATCAGCCAGATTGCTGAAACATATGTGCAAGATTGTTTCAAGAGAATTGGATGTAAAAAGGTATGTTCAACATTATCTGTGCTGGACAAGCAGCTTGCTTCAAGCAAACATCCCTGACACAAGCAGCTTGTTTAGACTGGGTGCCTTCACTGGGGTCTCCTCCTGCTTTGCCAACCCCGAGTCTGTTTTTTGCTCTCCATACTGTTTGGTCTATGGGCCCAAAAAGCAGATTGGGGGCGAAACATGTTGACTGACAGCAGTAAAAACAAGCTCCACTTGTTCCTTTGCAGAACCCAGGGTCTGGCTGTTCAAACAACCCTTTCAGTCACACCAAGGAGCAGCCAAGATTCACCGTGTTTTCTTGTCGTGTATGGGTGCGGATGGGCAAAACCCCGCACCAGCTGGTAGGTGGTTTATACTAGAAATTATTCATGGGGTTTCGTCCCCCCGCTGGTGCAAAGTGGATACATTGGCCTTTCGGTGGAGTTCGGTTGGGGTAAAATATCTACCAACTACCAGCCACTCTTGAGGTGGTTCCAACTCGTACATAATTCAGAGCACCAAATGTCATGTTCCAGGGTTGACTGGATAAAAGACTCTGGACATCTTCTTGGTGTGCATGCTACCTTCCAAGAGAGCCCCAACACCCCCGTTCGGGCCTCCGATACCTCAGTCCAGTCGCTCAGCTTGGGCTCCACAATGAGCAACGCCTGTGTCAAATTCATTTGCATGGCCCACACACTTCAACTCTTAGCAGGGTAGGGCACAAAAAAGCTTCCAGCATGGTTTCATTTCGCGGCGAGACTCGCGGATTTCGGGTCACCATCCACAGCAAAACAGGGGGCATGGGTACACCAAGCGTTTGTGTCCAGGGTGCATGCGCCGAGGGTACGTGAAGGCCTGAGGCCTTAGAAACATGCCCGCCCAATGCAAAGCTTGCAGCTCGAACAATGCGAACGGCTCCGAGGTCACGTTCGGATTAGTCCGAGTCAAACAAAATGAGCAATTTACTGGTCCACCAAAAATTGTCCAAACTTGTCCATCAAAATTACTCCAACAAAAGAATCACCCTCAACATCTGTGTGGTTCTCCTCATGTTTCCCCTACACAGGGGTCACTGGACTTTCCCACATCAACAGTCGAGACCAATTCAATGGTGGTTTCTGATAACATGATCGCCGCTTTTGGAGGTTTCCTTTAAAGGTACATGAAGGAAACTCTGGGTTTAGGCGGAAACACAAGATGGGTATGCCTTAAAAGAGCAGGACCTCACACAAATGGCGAAGCGGATCTCCGTTTGGTTCCCTTTAAGCCAGCTCAAAAAGGGTTGCCTTTGAGAAAGACACACCCAAATGTCTAAAAGATGTAAGGATCAAGTCCATCCCAAACCACTCCTTGCAACCCCTCAGCCAAACACATGAATGGGGATGTAAGCGGGTCTGGGATCCATTAAGATCAAAATCCTGCCCATTGAACTCGACCGGGAGGCCCCTGGAAGACAGGTTTTATCGTTCTGGACCCAGCGCGGATGGACGAAATCAAGTTTCGCGCCAGTAGGTGGTTTGTCCCTTTACACTTTCATCTATCCCTAGAGACGCGTTCTGTGGATTCCTCCAGTGTAGTGGTGCAAGGACCTTCGCTTTTTCGCCCACTAGCAAAAAAACAACTTATTTCCTGAAGCGATAATTCCCTTCAAAATCAACAGAGGGACTCAAACACATTCGTTTCAGAAACTGGAAGGAACCTACTGTGGATAGACGACATCCATTTCGCACAACCTAAAAAACCCTGAAAAGATTCGATTCCCCTGTAAGTTGCAGCAAACACTATGGCTTCGACCGCGGTTGCCTGCATGCCATTAGTGGTGAAACTCACCGAAGGTCCTCTTCGATCCAGCCGCGCCTGCAGAGCCCGGCAAAGCACGCGGGCAGTTTGCACGCAGCGGAGGGCAGGGGATGTCAGCACCGCCGGCCTGAGACATGGGGCAATCGCTTTCAACCAGCGTAAAACCGATGGCAAACGCATGGGAAACCTGCAAAACACCCGGGGGAAGCCCACGGTTTCCCATGGTTTCCCATGGCTTTTGCGGGGCCCATAGTTGTGATTCTCATTTCCCATGGTTTCCCTGGGTAGTCCCCTCAGTTTTTGAAGCTGTTTTTTGCCGCTTATGATTTCTCGTCACTTCAGGGGATGGCCAAAAAAGCTCAAACTTATTCTTTACTACTAAAATGGTCCAAACCCACAAAGCATAACGCCCAGAAGTTCAAAACACGAGTCTCCCCGGGTCTCGGCGCCTTGCAGTGCATGTTGAGTTCTCAAAATTTATTGTGGGAATCGGGGGGTTCGCCTTTGAATGAGGGTGACTTTGAGGATATCCTTTCGGTCCCGCTGTTGATATGCTGCTTGTGGTCCGGTTTTCCTTTAGACCACCATTCAACAATTTTGAGGACGTCACTTTCAACCCAGCAGGTTGGGTCCCCATTCTTGTGGTTGGGCTTTGGGTTGTCTCACTTGCCGAACCCCATGTCTTCCCCAACTGACTGTGGACAACCAAGATCATTGTCAGCGACTTTTGTCCCTTGCAAAATAGATGGTTTCCACATGCAAATGACTGGGGCAAACGGAGACTAGTGGAATCAATCTATTTCAACCAAACTGAAACCGGAAATTACACCTTCAAAGGTTTCCTCAACAGAGAAACAATGGCCAAACACATTTATTTACTCCTCGATGATGTTTCTTGAAATAGGACTTGGACCCATGTCCCGCTTTCTCTTTGATTCTTGGGGCTGGGACGCCAAGGGGAGTGGTTTGTCAATACGTTGCCGTTTGTTGTGCGTGTCTTAAGGGAAAGAATTGAATGATTTGCAGAGGTTTGTTATATCAAGGAGACCCCCCCAAAAATGGTGGTAATCCTTTGGTGTTCCATTAATATAGAAACCACCAAACATGGTGTACCTTCAAAAAAGACAAACCCATTTGAGTGTCCATGCCCCAGCCATCATTGTCTTTTTGAATCAGGGGGGTGCCAGCCTTCATAAGGGACCTGTAAGGGTACAAAAGTGAGCAAGAAGGATCAGAAATACATATTACGGTTTCTGCTAGGAGCCTCTGGTACGAAATGTGGTGGCTCCAATATGAACACCCTGGCCTCTACTACATGTAGATAAATACATCTAAAAGCCACATGAACAAATATATACGCTATGACATGTCCCTCAAAACGCAAAAGGCAAAAAACTAACACACATTAAGGGAATGAGGTTGTTCAAAGATTGAGGACCTCCCAAGAAGGATGCTTCAAGTGACTAGAAGCAAAGTGACAGCTTGTCAGAGTCCACAATTTTGAAGCACCCTGATACTCACTTAACCTTTGCCCTCTTAAACTGATGGTTGAAACAAACACACATAGAGCTGTGTTTTTGTTTGACTTGTTCATATGATATGTTTCAGTTGCCAACTTCCTGAAATGGGCTGGACCGGCTCTTGACACCCATCAAAACTGAGGCCCCCGACCGCTCAATCGCCAGCTCCTTGAGACGCTCTGCCGTCAGCCGCGCCTGGCAAACTCTCCGCACACCGCATCTTCGTTCGAAAAGGCGTGCGCCGGTCGACTTACTTGCCCCGTTGATGTTAAACGGCCCCCCTTCAAGAAACGAGCAAGATACTTGTTTGTGGGTTGATTTTCAAGGGTGCAATTCCACAAAGAAAGATTTTGTTGTTGACTGACTTTAAAGTGCTTCTCTCTCATAAACAAGGAAGCAAGGGCCGGCATGTGCCGGCCTGAAAGGAAGCACCTGCGATTTTCGTGGCTTGCAGTGCGAGTGACCCGCCTGAGAAGCCGGATCATGTGTTTCCTCGCCACTTTGAGATCATCTCTTGACAAACCCATGGCAGGTGCCAGACCTCCCACCCACGGTATGTACCCATTGTTTGGCTTGGACGGCAAAGCAGAGAACTGGCTGTGTCTGTTTGCGGCTTCCACCGCATTGTGTCACAGGTTTTCCGCTAAGTAGTACACTCACAAAGACAGCCAGGGCTTCTGTTCTGAAGGGCCGGGCAGCAGCGATTCGGCGATTTGCTCTCAAGAAAAACGTCAGACAAATACTTTGGCCAAGTGGCTGAAGGTTTGTCCCCTCGATAGAAAGCCCTACATTCGCCTGGCGCGTTGAACAAACTGCTGTCATTTCATCAAATGGCATCATAGAATGGCATGGTGAAGCAGTGGCGCGTTGTTGCTCCGGTTTGGCTTGTTTGACACACTGCAAACCTTTGATTGCTGGTTCGTGCCAAGGCACTTCAAAGGCTTTGATTGAGCTCCTGCGGCCCTTGACAGGAGAGCCCATCGCCGCCGAAGTGACAAGTCACAGAATCCAAGCGAAAATGTGAACAGGATATACACCACATTCAGCGTACAACATAGTATGTATCAACTTGAAAATAGTGAACCCATAGAAACAGTCATCATGGGTGTACCAACAGGTCTCAATTTGATTAAGGATGCTTACTTGTCATTTCTAATTATTTCCACCTACTTGAAGGAAATCACAAATTGTGTCACTAGTCAGGCCAATTTTAGTGGTAAGCTTCAGGGGTACGGGGTTGCAATCGTCGTCCTCACTCGCTCGATGGATATTAACTTGCCCAGTGGGTCTTTGCTAGTGGATTTTGAAAACACACCAAACGAAAGGAAACCAACCAGAAACAAGATGCTAAAAGTAAGCATGCACAAGGGAAACCAACCAAACAAAGAGTCTTTCGAGAAAAATCGTCGGTTGGTTGGCTCCCACTTAAACAGGCGCAACAATACAATGGATCTACAATTGCATTCGGCAACACTAACCCCCCTCAAATACATGGGTCTGTCTCATAACGGGGGCCCCCTTTTTGGATGGTTTCAAAGGTAAACCAACCACCTAGAGGTCCCAATTCTGAGAAACACCCATAAATGGGTAAAACTCCCTTCGGCAAATGGTTTCCACCGCCTGCCAAAGCCCCGCATGGGTCAGCGGCGGATCTTGGCCTGGCCCCCAAATCCGACCAAGAACAAATCCCGAGGCAAGGAGGTGCACCCCAGCATTGTTGAGGAGTCGACATTCGGAAGGAGCCTAAAGGTGACAAGATTTCGGGATCTTGAAACTCATGTTAAAGAGCCTCATCCTGGCGACCCTGCTTCATCGAATACGGCCCTGGAATAGGCACAGCGAGCTCCCGCGGCTATGACTTCATAACGGAGAACCTCTGAAACGTGTGTGGACGCCAATCCATGTAAATGCTGTCCAAGTCAACAACCTGACAGGGACACCTAAGAAGGAAACCTTCTCTGTCGAAATCAGTCGGGCAAACCTCCCCTAGGTCCTTGCCGACATATCATTGGCTCACTTCCAGAGCGGATTGGCCAAACAAAGTTCAAACGAATTGTTTGCCACTAAAATGGTGGTCCCAAAAAATAATGAAGTCCAGGAACTCAAAGAAAACAATCAGTGAACAATGGATGAACACCCTGATTACTAATTACTTGGGCGGGCCAAGTTCCCAGTGACCCTGCTAAATTCAAACCCTTTTAAGGGTCCGATTGTAGTTTAGTGCAAAAGGGATTTGAAGGGAAGCACGGGGTCAGGTAGGAGAACGGACGTGTGTCAAATGAACTTTACATAAATCCCGGGCGTTTGATGAGCTAAGCAAATCCAGCGACACACATTCAGCCTGACAAAACAACATGGCAACCCTTCAAACCCGTTTCCGGAAGAAATGAGAACCCAGGACTAGTAAACCTGGGGTGTCACTTCTGGGGGCCCTTCACTCTTGTAACACCACCCCTAGTTGTCAACATTGATTACTATACTCCAAGGCCGATGGGAATTTTCCCTGGGGGTGGATGGATCCCATGGTGGCTCACTTGCTGAGGGCCAAGCAGTGGGCGGTTTCACCTAGCTTCCCTTAGGCTCCCTCAGGCCGCTCAGCCTGGTTCTGACCCCCCAAAGAAACCCGAAGGTTCCCTTCCCTCTTTGTGAACAGCCTCCTTCCCCTATGTGAAGGGAACATCCAGCTTAGCAAGCTTCTCTGGTTCGTCCCTCCCCCGAATAAAGATTGCAGATTGCCATAGAGTAAAGAGATTCCCCTAGAAAACATTTCCCCACTGAGCAGGCACCGACCGCCTTCGACAAGACATACCTGTGAGCCTTGCAAGAATTGAATGCAAATATGCATGGCCACTGCACTTGTTTACGTCTAAAAACCGAACAAGGACTCCACAAATCGTGAGCAACCCAGCAAATCAAACAGGGCGGCTGCCGTGCATGTCCGCTGTTCCGATGTCGTCTTGACGTGGCTTTAGGCCCTTTGCTGCGGGCCGAAAGTGAGGCCCCGCGTCCGACCAGAGGTGAAGGGTGTTGGTGCGGAGGGGTCTGCCAAGAATTTGCAGCCTGTTCGACGCTTCAGCTGTCTGTTCCAAGCAGTCCGTCGCATAAACGGAATAGGTGGCGTGTGGCGCCTGGACGCGACGGAGGCGCAATCTGCGGCTGCCTAGCAGGCGATAGCCAGCTTTTGCTGGGCGTGCCACATGTTCCCAGTCTCTGGCAGGGCCAGTGGAAGCTGCTTTTCAGCCCAGTCGTGTGTCACACTCTTTGCCGCGTGCGCCGGTCAAAAGACTTTGTGTTGGTGGGGAGGGGGGGGGTTGTGAAACAATTAACCCGTGAATAAGGCCGGGGGCTTCTCTGTTCCATCCCGCCCCATTGGGACCGTGTGTTCTTTTTTGGTTGGTGGCTGCTGACGGCAGGCAAAACAACCCTCGCCTTTGGATGTTAGTCACCAATGATTCGGTTGGGTAGCCCTCACCCACAGTTTGACTATGACCCAACCCAGTCCACAAGGAAAGAACTGGCGCCCTGTTTTGTTTGTTGACTCAAAATGTTTTTTTAATGCATAACTTGATCCAACCCTTCCTTTGGGGATGACCCCATCTTTGGTAGTACACTTTGAAGGGGGTTCAGGTTTGGGACTAAAACAAACAGATCGGCCTATGGGGGGGCCTGTGGAAAGCCCTACGCCTTCAGCTGAAAGCTTGGGCAGCCCAGGCCCATCTGAGCGCTCCCCATGGCCGATCGGCCAGTGTGGTCCATGGCTTCGGTGGACTTGTCACACGATCCGATTTCGACCATGACTTCATTTGGCTTCAAGCCACCCCACAGCCACATTCGTATTCTCCAGGCTTTTATTTATAGTACACATCAAAAAGCTCCTATGAAACAAACAACCACTAACGGGGCCCCGGGGACCTGTACCTTCACAACATGCTTCCTTCTGAACATAACTCAACATTATCACAGGCGGGCCTTAAATCCAAACACAGTGTTGGCAAGTTCAGCTTTTTTTTTTTTTTTTTTTTTTTTTTTTTTTTTTTTTCGAGTTTAGGACATCGAAGTGTCTGACAGTCTGACTTCCCCTGAGAACTAGTAGCAATATGCGTGTCATCACACAACTACCCAGGCCGGCGTCTTCGGATCACTATGGTCCCTATTCCTTTAACCTCGAGCTGGTTGCCCTGACACTACCTTTGCTTGGTCCACATCTGGGGCACACCAAGAATTGTGCTTTTGACTCAATGCAATTCTAGTCCACCCTTAAAATTAAAATAGGTTTGGACTTTGGAGGAGACCGCAGCTATGACCCTCAGCTGGTTTCCTTGACACTACTGTTGGCCAGAAGCCTGGGCTGTTCAAAATAGAGGGGTTGCCATCCTATTCCACACTCCCTATAGACTATAGAAACATGACTGGAAAGGGGACCACTTAGCAAAAAAATGATTACGGATTGCCTTGGAACACCCCAGGAAGATGATTGCAGCCCCTCACCGTTGAGTCCCGGGCGCAGCAGGAAGATGCGGACCATGAGGCGACAGGCGCTGGATGTGTGATTTGTGTTGAGTCAGTTCTGGAACTTCAGAGTATAACACGTCTGCCCGTCACTGAAAAATAAAAATCAACAACAGAGCATGGGTGTCCATCCCATGACCAGCTCATCGCTCTTGGTTGGATGTTATTAACTAATTTGACCAGGTCTGGAAACGTAAGGTTGAACTTTAGGGTTGCTTTGGCCAAAACTCGTTGACACAGTGGCAAGAGTTGACTCCCACTTCCTGAGCAGAGTGGTCTGAAAAAGGAACTAGACTTTCGGTTTACCACTAGCAAGATCTTCCCTAAACGTGACGAACACCCACTAAGTGGGGAGGCGAAAACCTTCATGTTCGGGTTTGGCATTGGAGCCCCCCCCCCCCCCGCGAGCTCCAAAAATGACGGCGAAAGCATTGAGGCTCGTCCATGGCTTCTGGGTCTGTGGGTTCCGTAGGCTCCCACGAACGTGGAACCTAACGGGCGGTTGCTGGAAATCCATTTGCCTAAAAAGGCTTTCTAGAGGGTTTTATGTTGCTTGGTGGGAGGACAACTCACAAATATTGTACCACGATCATAGTCAGTCCTTACTTGCTGGTGAGTTGCTTGTCACAATCTTTCCAGGAAACTCACGCCCCAGAGAAGCTTCAGACACCAAGCAGATACGTATCTGGGCAAGTCATTGCAATGCGCCCGAAATAAGACGCAGCTGAGTTCGGGGCCTCCATCGCGGGTTTCATCCCCAGGTAAGCTCATGAAAATTGTATTGGATTGCCAAGATATAACCGTGGGTGGACGAAACCTCCCAAAATAATAGGATTCAGATAAACCTCCAACTGGTGCAGGATTTCGATCATCCGCAGTATGGTTGAGGATGCTCACTTCCGATGAATGTGGAGGGCCGTACCAATCAAGGGTGGGCTTGAAATTCTGCAATCAGTCGGGAGACGATCCGCGCTTCAAGCACTTCGAGAAGGTCCTGTTGCACTTGGGCAAATGTATTGAGCATCCATCCAATGTGGGCATGGGCCACGCTTCGTGTCACGCCTTCACGTTCTTTTAAGGAGATGCTCTATCTGTTGGGGCGCTTTTTGTGCAAACCATTCAAACGGGAGGGCTTTGGCCATACGGCCAAAGAGGCCGCAACCTGCCAAACCTTTTTAAGCGCACCGAACTCGAGCGCGTCAGAAGGCCGTGCCGAACGGGCTCCTGATCGGTCGATAGAGCTGTATCCCAGACTCAGACCCCCAGTCTATGGGCACGAAAAGACGTGGGTGTGTGTGTTCTTTTAGGAATCGGACCCCCTAAATGGCTTCGGTTTCCCTGCTGGTTTCGCTTCCATACCACAAACAAATGGTAACCTCAAAAACAGACACACCCAACTAGCACCATTTTGTAGGTGGATTGTTCCAGGAAACAGGTGTCCCGATATTTGCCCAGCATTACCTCCCCAGATGTTCCCTTTTTTTGGTAGTCGACTTTAAAGGGGAATCCCTCCAAAAAACGGGAAGAACGCTCACAACGGCTCTCCGTTAGGGCCACTGGATCCGCATGGGCACCGCCCCTTTTCGAGGTCCCGCGTCCATGTCTTGTTCCACCCAAGTTTTTCTTGTTGGGCTGGATTGAATCTTGCTGGGTGTTCCGACTCCATTTGATACTCATTCCAAAGCTCTAGATTGGTTAGATTGGTGAATGAAAACTCACCGACTTGAAATTTCAGGGGCAAGTCCCTCGGGCGCTTGCGTCAGATGGGTGCAAACCGTTTTTGGAGGTTGGTTTAATAGGACACCCAAGAAATCACATGTGTTTTTTGTGTTTTTTTTGGGGGGGTCTAATGCCCCCTAAAGGACATGCCCGTTCGTTTCCAAACCTGGCTGTTCGTTTTCTGATCGCCGGCTAAGTGTTTTAACTGGTGGGTGAAATTCGGGACCGGAGGAACCGAAGGAACCGGATGGCAGGGAACCACCAATGGAAAAGGCTTTGAGTGTGTTGCCCTCTGGACCCAGGCTGTTGGGAATGAACCGGAAGGGGGATTCCTGCTGAGAACCAGCAAGATTCAGGATCAAGAGGCCGGGGGTTCCCACGGTTCAAAGCAAGGGTGGAGCCCCCAAGGGCAACCAAAACAGATACCCAGGTTTTGTAAGCAAATAACCAGCAACTTAGTTTGGTGCCTATGAAAATCCCAAGCCGCCCCCTCGCAGCTCGCTCGGCGGAGTATGTTGCGTCCTTGACTTGGCGGTGTACCTGGGTCAGTAAACATGAGGCCAGACTTTACACCAGGCTCCGATGAGCTCCGATGAAGTGATAAGGGCAAGCACTTCCCAGGTATATACAGGGAGACAAAACACACAATAGTTTTCAAATGGGAACCCTGGAATATACAAGCAGAACCCTGGATTCTTAATAGGGGTGTGTGCCTGCTTTGGTTGAAATTCATCACTGTAACGGTCCCCACCCCCCTCCCACTAGACCACGGTTGGCCCGAAAGCAGAACATCGCAAGCGAGGTCGGCCCAACGCTGCAGGATGCGTTCTTTTTCCCTACACGAACCATTTGTGAAGCAAGCGCGAGACAGCACCAGGCAAGGTGCTCTGCGCAAACTGGTCGGTGCAAGTTGGTCTGCGCAAGTTGCTCTACGCAAGTTGCACTGTGCAAGTTGCTCTGCGCAAGTTGCTCCGCGCAAGTTGCTCCGGCAAGTTGGTCCCTGCAAGTGGCTCCCTGCAAGTTGCTCTGTGCAAATTGCGCTCCCTGCAAGTTGCTCTGTGCAAGCTGCTCTGTGCAAGTTGCTCTGTGCAAGTTGCTCTGCGTAAGTTGCTCTGCGCAAGTTGCTCTAGGCAAGGCGCTCTGCGCAAACTGGTCGGTGCAAGTTGGTCTGCGCAAGTTGCTCTGTGCAACTTGCTCTGCGCAAGTTGCTCTGCGCAAGTTGCTTTAAAATGCAAGTTGCATCTTGCGACGCCCGCCCGCGGACCAGGGAGGAATCGAACCCGCGACCCGCCGGTTCCGGGAGCAGGCGCGCGAACCACGAGACAACTCCCGAGGACCAGTTCGAACAACAAAAGTCGCAAAACACCTCGAGTTTTTGCACCTCGACCACGCCGATCCCCGCAGAAAATTGCGCGAGCACCGCAGAAATCGCAAAAAACCTCGAGTTTTTGCACCTCGACCACGCCGATCCCCGCAGAGGGTCGCGCGAGCAGGTTAAACATCGCAAAAAACCATGGGTTTTTGCACCTCGACCACGCCGATTCCCGCAGAGGGTCGCGCGAGCAGGTTAAACATCGCAAAAAACCATCGGTTTTTGCACCTCGACCACGCCGATCCCCGCAGAGGGTCGCGCGGGCACCGCAGAAATCGCAAAAAACCTCGAGTTTTTGCACCTCGACCACGCCGATCCCCGCAGAGGGTTGCGCGAGCACCGCAGAAATCGCAAAAAAAACCATGGGTTTTTGCACCTCGACCACGCCGATCCCCGCAGAGGGTCGCGCGAGCAGGTTAAACATCGCAAAAAACCTCGAGTTTTTGCACCTCGACCACGCCGATCCCCGCAGAGGGTCGATTTTCGTGTAGTGTCGTCGGCACTACCCCGCCGCCCTAAGAAGAGATTTTAACTCCTCGCAAGTCAATTGCACTTGACTCCTTGCACTTGCAACTTGCACTTGACTCCTTGCTTGTTTCAAGGAGGAGTCATTGCAAAGAGTCATTGCAAGGAGTCATGGCAAGAGTCATTCAGGAGTCATTGCAAGGAGTCATTGCAAGAGTCATTTCAAGGAGTCATGAGAGCCATTGCAAGTTGCAAGGAGCCAAGTGCATGGAGTCAAGTGCAAGTCGCAAGTGCACGGAGTTAAGTGCAAGTTGCAAGTGCAAGGGGCCAAGTGCAAGGAGCCAAGTGCAAGGAGCCAAGTGCATGGAGTCAAGTGCAAGTTGCAAGTGCATGGAGTCAAGTGCAAGTTGCAAGTGCAAGGAGTCAAGTGCAAGTTGCAAGTGCAAGGAGTCAAGTGCAAGTTGCAATCCTTGCCATGACTCCTTGACTCCTTGCAATGACTCCTTGCAATGACTCCTTGCAATGACTCCTTGCAATGACTCCTTGCAATGACTCCTTGCAATGACTCCTTGCAATGACTCCTTGCAATGACTCCTTGCAATGACTCCTTGCAATGACTCCTTGCAATGACTCCTTGCAATGACTCCTTGCAATGACTCCTTGCAATGACTCCTTGCAATGACTCCTTGCAATGACTCCTTGCAATGACTCCTTGCAATGACTTTCATGATGATGATTCCTTGCAATGACACCTTGTAATGACTCTCATGAGAACAACTCAAGTGAACCCAGCGGAAGAACCCTTCGCCATGCTTTCGGGAACTAAGAAAACGGACAGGTTCATGGTTCCGGGGTCACCACTGCCCTGGTGGTGGGGTGGATTGTGTGGTTTGGAGCAACTCTGCACAAGCATGGCTAGGACATGCATGCTTTCGGATGAAAAAAATAGCTGCGCGTTGCAAACAAAAGCTTATCCAACCACCACACGATGCCGGATCAATGAACCTGGCGAATAAATACGGGGCTGCGGCAGGGTGTGTTTTTAGGGGTGCCCTTTTCCGGTTGGTTTAAAAGGGAACCAAGTGGGAATCCCCATATTTTGGCACACACCCATGTCTCTTTCAAACTGCCGCTGAGGAAGCCGAGCCCATCTCCCACACGGTTCGGCAGGAAGCTTGTGCGGGATTCCGATCGAAGGCTTGGAACCCTTCTCGGGGCTTAGGGATAATGCAAAACCCAAAACGATCGATCATTGCCTTACCAACAAGGGAACCACCCCTGAGCAGTACGGTGCTCGAGATGGATCCTAAGTTAACACCAACAAGTCCCCGCACTCTTTTTTGCCACAATGTCTCACAGTCCAGGGGAAGCGAGTCATAATCCCGTGTGTTTAACAGACCTCCCCACAGAAACCTCACGGTACTTTCCCTGAAGTTGCAAATTATACTTTGCTTAAGTCCCCTGAGAAAAGTATGTCCAGTGATAGATTCCTATAACCAGCAGGGGAAAATCAAACATATTCTTAAGCACATGGAAGTTATTAGTCCGAATTCGTCTCTCCCATCCCTCACGGCGGCGCACTCCCTGGCGTGGGTTGACCGGAAAAGCAGCGCCGAGGTAATCCTGAGCGATGCCCAACTAGATTTCGAAGCGGCAAGAGGTCCAGGGATGAATTCATGGGGCAACCATCTGAATGGCAACATCAAACTGTGTTTTGCACTTGCAAAAATGGAATCTGAAACTTCTCTGCGGGTGAATCAGAATACAGAAATGTAATCTATGTAATGGCTTCCAACAGGTAACACCACAAAAATGGCAACTCAACAAATCCAATTTACCACAGCCATGGGCCAGGTTGCACACCGCCTTGAGTTGCACAGAGTGCAGACTAAATCCTAGGGAACTCTCCGGTTCATGAAGGCATGATGACTTCGATTGTCTTCGTCACTTTAAAGCTGACCTTTGTCCGCATCACAAAGGGATCCTAAATGTAACGTTGGCCTTGGCACTTTGGTAAATCACCGCTGCTGAGGCTTGCTGTTGCTCATGCCTTGTCCTCTTCCCAAAAGGGGCATACACACAATTGGGAACACCGCCCTTATTCCTGCTTGGATGTTCAATCCCAATTAGCAAGTCGGCGTGAACCATGGGTAAAAATTCTGTAGCTGAGGCTAACCCCTTGTAACCGTGGTTACAATCTCTGTGCCAAGTAAGCAGAAACAGTACTCAAAAAGCCAGGGGTCTGTTCTGCCCCCCTCTTGTGGGTGAATGAGGGGCCTGTTTTCACTACCGATATTGCAGTTTGGGCAACTCTCTTGATTTGGGTGTGCCTCAAAATACGGGGGGAAGAAACCAAAAAGGAAAGTTGTTCCTCTTGGTGTCCTTTTGAAATAACTCCAAAAAACGGTGCCCAAAAGAAGGCATCACCCATTGATTGCGGTATCTTTCATTGGTCTGCGGGTGTTGTTAGATGGCCTTCGGGAAAACCATTTGGGTTTCTCTTTTTGAGGGTAACATTGTTTGGGTAGTGTTCAAGGAAAACCAAAAGGACCACCTCTACTTTGTGGTCCCCCCCAACAAAGAAAAGACACCCCCCTTTGGGCTGTCAAGGAGAGCTGACTGCTGACCCTGGATTTATCAAACTCAGCAAAATGTGTGACGGACTTTTTCAAATGGGACCCCACCCGGTGAATGAACAGGTTGATCAATCCGACACCCAACCAGCATTTGGAGGGCGTTTATTCTTGTTGACTCCGGATCGAAAAGAAGGACGAATCGCGGCGTTCCACCCCAGAGTGAAAGGGTTCCTCTTCAACAGGACACCACCCTGGAAAAATCAACCAAAGGCACTTATGGTTGCACATGGTTGCACATGGTTGCACATATCAAATCAGTAAAGCTACCAAACTCACTTGAGAAACACATCACCCCCAACATCACCCCCAACAGCCCCGGAGCCGCTCCGACTCGCTCCAGAACCTGTCTGTGGCACAAACACCCAAAGCTGTTTCAGCTGATACGTGGATGGACAAAATCCGCACCACCTAAGAAACCATGGTTGAAACCATTCTGTCTTGGTATGTACGGGACAATATTCCGTTCGGTTCCTTGGGTGGCGCCAGCAACCCATTTCGGCCTTTCCCCTCGGTCACGCACCGGGGCCCGGGCCCGCCCAAGAGCTGCGCGAGGCAGTAATTGATCGCGTAGTAGGAGGAAGTGATGCCGGCCCTGGCGCCCAGGGCACTTCGCAGTTCGCCGTGAGCTTGGGACAACCTAAAACTGTTGCCCTCGAACTACTCATAAAAAAAGGGAATTCACCAACTATAATTTTGGGGCACTCACCCATGTTTAAGGGAATTGTGAGGGTTTAGGGACTCCAAAAAATAAGCTCAGGTGATATCCCCAACAGAGTGCGGTGCTCTTTTTAGTGCTCGCGCCACCCCGTAGCCTCGCAGAATGTCGTGGAACGTGGAACCCTGGTGGAACCCCGGTCGAGCGTTGGTGGAACCTTACCTCAGGGCTGCCCCGGACCACCCCAGAGCCTATCTGGGCTGAGACCCTAAAGCTGCCAGCTGTTGGGGAAAAAAACGGGAGGCATCCCCGACTGCAACAACGGGCGCTTAAAGCAGGGAGGACCCCCAAACTGGTAGTTGTCCTTATTGCTTTCTTTGAAGAACCATCCCAAAAAGGGTATCCTCAACAATTGACGCACCCAAACAACTCCCTCAAAAGGGAAAGAACGCAATTTTTTTGGCTCGACTGGGTGTACATCAAAGGGAAACTACCTGGAGCGGGCCGAGCCTCACTTTGAGAACACCCATTCGAATGACTGTTCAGTCGTTTGCGTTTGTTGGTCATGGCTGACTGATAAAGCAACCATGCACGCAAGCAAATAAACAAACAAAAAACAAACAAAGAAGAACAAACCGCCCTCCGTCGTTATGCTGAGTGAACCATCCAAATTCTAATTCTATCACCAAACCGGGACTGCACACCAGGGTTCCACAGGGTTCCTTAAGGAGACATGTATCCCAAAACCACCTGCTTTACACGAGGATCCTCTAAGTCAGCTTGTAAAAGTGTAAAAAACAACTGGCCCCAGCTGTTATCCTTTAAGGGCCCCTGTTCCAACTTGCTCCTGCTGCGCTGGTTCTCTATACTGGTGCTCCACTTCGTTCACATCCGCGGCGGTTGCCTTTTGGCCCCTTGTAGAAAAACATACAGAGGCCCCGTGTCTCTGTCAACCTGCAAACATGAGACTCCAAAAATAACCAGCAACCAATCAAAGCAAAACAAACAACACTGACAAACAAACAAACAAACAACGCTCAGACGTCCTGTAAACGCGCGTTTTTTTCGTTCTTTCCCCCCTGTAATGGCCGCAAAAACGCGCAAATCATATGGTTTTTCACAGGTTTCGAGCAAGTCCAGCAAAGGGTGGGCCGGATGTCCGAGTGGAACTGCAAGAGCACGGCCTATCCTTAGGTGACTCCAAATCAAAACCTGTTATTTAAATGGTCGCACGCCCAGAACCATGTACAGAATTAAAAAGGCTGACACCCCCACCCATTAAATTTGTTGGCATTATGCCTTAACTTTCTTCTACCCGGGTTTCGAGCAAGTTGGTCAAGTGCCTCTCTGGCAAGCAAAGATGGTGCCGGCTCAGGGCGCCTGAAACCATCCCATCGTTCATGCAAACTGATCAAAAAGAGCACCCAGGCATGTACCTGCATTTTCAACTTCGCATCCAAGCATTGTCTTCATCAAAATTGCACCAGTCCTTGGGACTGAATCCCAGAGCGTTCTTTCGCTCATTTCGGTAGCGAGCGAAGCACTGCAAAAGAGGCACCAAGCCAGGCTTGTCATGGAGCCGTTTCGTGGCGAACTGGATGATGTGGCTTCTCTTGGGCGCCACGCGTCCTACTGCATTGACTCTGCATGGATGCAGTGCTGCGCGGGTGCACCTGAACGGGTGTTCTTACCATTCGGCGGGCATGGATTCCGTGCTGCGCGGCTGACCTTGAACGGGTGTTCTTACCATTTGGCTGGCATGGATGCACTTGAACGGGTGTTCTTACCATTCGGCGGGCATGGATTCCGTGCTGCGCGGGTGCACTTGAACGGGTGTTCTTACCATTTGGCTGGCATGGATGCAGTGCTGCGCGGGTGCACTTGAACGGGTGTTCTTACCATTTGGCTGGCATGGATGCAGTGCTGCGCGGGTGCACTTGAACGGGTGTTCTTACCATTTGGCTGGCATGGATTCCGTGCTGCGCGGGTGCACTTGAACGGGTGTTCTTACCATTTGGCTGGCATGGATGCAGTGCTGCGCGGGTGCACTTGAACGGGTGTTCTTACCATTTGGCTGGCATGGATGCAGTGCTGCGCGGGTGCACTTGAGCGGGCGTGCCTATCGTGAGTGTGAATTTCCATATAATTCCCGCGTTTTACGTGGTAGTGGCCGGACATGCACGAAACCTGTGAAAAACCATATGATTTGCGCGTTTTTGCGGCCATTACAGGGGGGAAAGAACCAAAAAAAGCGCGCGTTTACAGGACGACCGAGCCACAAACAAACAAACAAACAAACAAACAAACAAACAAACAAACAAACAAGCAAGCAAGCAAGCAAGCAAGCAAGCAAAGAAACAAACCAACCAACCAAACCAACCAACCAGCCAACCAAACAAACAGACAGACAAACAAACAAACAAACACACAAACACACAACACCAAAATTCTCAAGTCCTTCTTCTTAGAGACAGCTGCGTATTACTTTCATAGGGGAATATTTGGTGGATTCATGTCCGCCAACCACTTTTTGAGGGGGATCCATATTGAAATTATATTGAAATTCACAGCTTTGCATCCGCCCATCGGCCCCTAGATCCGCCTGCCCTTGACGAGGGACACCAACGCCACTCCCACCCTCGGACAGGCAAAGCGGAACCCCACGCTGGACGAACCAAAACCAGATCTGGCAGATTATCCCCTGCTCGAAAAAACGCTCATGTGACCCCCATTCGGCGGTGCAGGATTTCGTCCATGCACAGTGTTCCCCCAGGCTTGGGTTTCCCAGATCCCCTGCTCAAAGTCGAAAACTTTTAGTGTGGAAACTACCCCTAAACCCGCTAAAAATATCTAAACACCTATCGAACCGGATGGCTGAGAACCACCCAGCAAACAGAAGCCCAGAACATTGTGGCTCTGTCTGTTTTAGTTGGTACCCTTTTGGGCTGGGACAGGGAAACCAAAAGGACACGCAAAGCCATTTTGAAGGGCCCCAAAGCATATACCAAAAAATAGCTGTTGGATTCAGAGCCCATATAGGTCACCAGGATCAAAGCTCAACGAACCTCCCTAAAGCAGGGCCTTGAGCTCGTTTTCGCACCCCCCCTGTCCCCCCCCCCCACCACAGGTTTGTTCGAAGGGCGACCCGGATTTGTTTGCAGGGAGTGAGTAGCAATCAGGCACATGGACAATCCCAATGATGGTTCATGCGTTTCTTGGGACATCTACCCAAATGTGTGCTAACTTGGCACAAGGTCAAGCGTCAAGGTAAATTAGAGGGTTTCCTTGTTCCCTTTGCAATATTTACGCATCCGTACCCATGGGCTGGAAAACGTCTTGTTTCGGTCAAAGCCTAAAGACCCACCAACATGAAGGGCGCTAGGCCTCCCGGCGAGATGGCGGGGTTGAAGCCTCACACCAGTCAAATCGAAGATCGAGACTTAGAGAGACTGTGTTTGATTTGCACACAGTTGGGCTCCGGCCTCCCTGTTTCAAAAGGTCAAACCTGTTATAGGCTTGATGGAAAAGCAAGTTAGTTCCTAAGGGGCGATTGGGACCCACCATAAACCAGCCAAGAATCAATCACCTTGACAACAATTCAGATGCACCGCAGGGCACAGTGCTCCCCATAGTTCCTCGTTGAACATCACACCAAAAGAAAACTCACCTTACATTGGCCCCAAACGTCGATATTTAAAGTCACCTAAACGGGAGACAGACTGTGGGTGGACGAAATCACTGAGAATAGATTAAACCCTTCAAGTAAAGGGACAAACCACTTGCAGTACCAACTGGTGCGAAGAGGGTTTTGTCCATCCAGCGTAAGGAATGGAACCCCGAGACACGGCGTCCCAATCCATCAGTGTTTACTTCCAACGTTGTTTGAAGGCGGAGACGCTCAGCTGGCAGGAGATATGGGTGGACGCTTCATGGAAACTAACTATCTAGGGTGGCTGATCTTAAAGTCAGCTTAGTTTGAGGGAAACCCTGACCAGTTGAGAGTTGACTGGCCAAAAAACGTTATGCTCTATGACCTTTTAGGCCCGGTTCGGAGCAACCCCAGTGTCATGCATTTCTGCAGAGAGGCAGAGAGAGTGCACTGCTGGATTGGGGGCCCCAAATCACTGGCAAACCGTATCCCGACCTTGTATAGTTTGGAGCAACTAGCGGCACACCCTAGGGTACACAACAACAGTCCTTGAACTCGGATTAAAGCAATTACTGCAGGTAGCTCTACGTCAAAAAGGCTTTCAAGACCTGGTGTGCGCGTTGCTGATCCCAACATGACGGCTTTCAAAAATCACTCGAAAACGGTACCGAGCTGCAAAAAGGACCCAACATTGGTATGCCCTTGAATCCCTGCGTTTCCCCTGATTTGCCCCGGTTTCCCTCGGTTTCCCTTGTGGTTTCCCTTTGTGGTTTGCCTTGTGGCTTTCTGCGATGTCCCCCAAATTGACACTACTGAGCCCTATGGCCCTTAGTTTCCCTTTGCCTCCTTGAGAAGGACAGAATCATTCCCTCATCCTTCAACAAAAATTGAGGAGTCCTCGTTTCATCCACTCATTTGCCTTTCCTTCTTTTTCCCTTGGTCCTTCCGGCCATTTCCCTCCCACAATAATAATGCCACGCCTTCGGACGGATTCGACTTGCGACGCGGCCGGCTGTCGGGCTGGGGTTCCCCAGCAGGCTCCGGAGATGGTGAAGCAGGCGAAGCCGCCGGAGACCAAGGCGAAGCCAACCGCCAAGCCGAAGTAGTAGTTCCTGGCGCATGGGCTCGTCTCTTTTTGAGGGCACCCATTTTTGGGGTAGTTTGAGGGTCCAGGTAAACTGTTCATTTACCACTAAACTGGTCCAAACCCAAAAAAGTGACCAAAGTCCAAGAACTCAGAAGAGAAGGGGTCCTGATCGAAGACTTCTTGAAGGGTGAGGGATACAGGTCCAACTGTGCGTCTGAACTGGGCAGCTCTTTAGGGATCCTGGGGCCCGGTTTGAGCTTCCCAACCAACTGGGCTGTCAAAACAAGCGGGACTGTTCTATGCCAAACAAAATCACGGGCCGAGAGCGGTATTGCGAGTGTGGGCCGGAGTTGCAAGTCAGATTTGCCACAACTCATGGTACAGCGCTATCCTTGTTCCCTTGCAAAATTGTGGAATCCACCGAGTTCGCATCTGCCGGCAGTCTTGGTCAGTTAGCTAACACAACGACGCCTCAGAGTGCGGCGTTTCTAGTTGGGGGGATTGCTCCCATGGGCCTCCAGCAAATCGCAAAAGTGAACGGCCCCCCCCAAAAAACCAATGCAAGGGCGTTAATCCTGAATTGGCCTCCGGTGCTACTGCTAAGATCTCACCAAGGTCACCGCGGTAGTTTTAAAGCAAAACGCCCCAATTTCAAGCTTCGACCCCCGGAACGGTCGAAATTAGGGCCAGTTTACCAGAGAGACCCCCCACGTAAACTACCTGGGTTCCTACTCCTACTTACTACTACCCTTAGCCAACCCCAGTTTACTAATATGTGGGTGTTTGCCTCCAAAAGTGGTCTGAATCGTCACTAAATCCAGAACACCCCCCCTACTGTGGATGGACGAAATCCTGCATCACGTAAGAAACCATGGGAGACCATTGTTTGTGGGTATTTACACGGGAATCATGATTCCACGTTTCTTAGGTGGTGTAAAATGATTTCATCCATCCACAGTACTAATAAACTGGGGTTTATTCATCCGGGGTCAACATTACCCAAATTTTGATTGCATCGGCGATAGCTCGCTGCGGAGCTCCGGCCTGCTGAATGAGGTGGCGATCCCCTGGCCGGAAAAAGGTTGTCGCTCGTTAAGTTTCCTGCGACTCGCTGTACCAGCAACGGCAAAAAAGCGTCTGGGCTGTCCTCAGGTGCCAAAAGTTTCACTTTAAGTGGGTTAAATGGAAACTCCCACTAAATCCTTGGTTTGTTATTGGATTTGGACCCTTAGATTTAGATGGTGTCCTCTTGGGTTTTCCTTTAGAACCACAAGACAATAAGGTTCCTTCAACGAAGATCACGCCGAACTCCGGCCTTGATGCAGGCGACAGCTAGCACCGTGTGGCACAGGATCAGGGTAAACATGAACCTGGTGCGCTGTGAGGCAAGCTCCATCCATTGGATCTGGCCAAACTGCAGATGGGCAAAATCTGACCAGTTGGTAGGTGGTTTATCCCATTTTTCCCAATACTTCATCATGTCCCAAGTGGTGCAAAGTGGATTTCGTCCACCCACAACAGGAGCAATTACTATGCCCAAAGTGCAAATAAGGGAACCTCTGTTGGCTGTATCCCAACTTTCAAGTGGAAACCTCCAATTTGCTTGACAAATGGCCATGTCCTAATCCCGAGACAGCCAAATAGGGAGCAAGCTAATATAGAAGGGCAAAGAGTTGCCAGCATGCTACTTCTATGATGATGGCTTATTCTGGTTTTAGAGTACCCCCAACCCGATTCCAATTGTTTAGGCCCTCATGGTGCTTGAATGGAACATGTGTTTCGGGCCAAAGGGGCAGACTCTTGCCCTAAAAGGGGATGTGTACCAGCACGGGAAATCATGGCCGGTGGATTCATCCCCCCGGATCGAAACTCCCCCCCCCAATTCTCAAACAGCCCCAAAGCCAACACCTCGGGCCCCTAGTCAACCAAAACTGGCCCACATGTGGTGTACACAGAAATTAAAGATACTTTTGCCCGACTCTGTTCCATGCTTAGCCTATCAGTGTTAAAATTGCTTTGGGATCGGAGACCCAACTTCCTGAGTTGATTGGCCAATAATGTTAACCAAACATGTTGTTTGCCAGTCAAACTGGTCCCCACAAGGTACGTCCAGAACGGAACTAAGGAAGTGACATCTCGGAAACCCCAGTTGGGGTTGTCTCACATAGTAGGGGACCTCAACATTGGCGGTTTTCCTCTTCCCCTCAAAATTGGCGTCCTTCCTCCCATTAACATGTACCGGGAAGATCAATTTCCCATTCAAGGGACCCTGCGTCACTTCCATTTGCTTAAGCCCCTGAAAAAAAAATGGCATATTTCCAGTAGTGATAGATTCCCTTTAAAACCAGCCAGAGAAAAAAAGAAGTTCTTAAGCAAATGGATGGTCAGGTGCCATGTTAGTGATATGGACGGTACCCTCCAAAAAAATACACCCGGTTTTCCAGAGACTCCTGAGAAACGAAACCTGGCCGGCGGGGCTCCACAATGTAGGCAGCCCCAGACTGGTACGGCGGCTTGGGTCCCATGGGCTGGTCGTCACCTGGCCATTGGCTGATTGGCGCCCCCTTTTTGTCCGCACTGGCCTGATCTTTTTTACCAAAGTCACCCCCCATTCAGTTATGGGTTAAAGGGAGACAAAAACAAGCCTTTTCTGACTTTGATAACCCCCCAGAAACAGTCAAAATACTGACCCCAGTACCTGGTAGTTGATTTTACAGGGAAACTCCCTCTCAACTTACCTATCCCCTTGTGGTTTAAAGGAATTCAGACGCCAGTGATACAATGCTTAGATGCTCTGCGTGGCAATGGCCTGTCCTCGTTACAGATGCACCGGCGGGGGGGTTCAATAGAATGTCCCAGATCATCCAGGCGAGAAGTCCCAACGCATCTCAGTCGGCAGCAAAAGAAAAGCTCGTTGAGCAATTGCAGCCTTGATAGTCGCCTGAGCCTGTGGATTTGCCAGTGAGATCAAACAGCACAAGAGGCCCTCAGCCACCGCTGCAATGGCCGCTGTGAACAAGAGGCATTGTGGTCAACGCCTTGCAAAAAACACAAAAAGACTCGAGTGTCTTTTTCTTGGGGGGAACAACCATTAAAAAAAAGAAGCTGTGGGAAAACCAAAAAACAAACAACCTCGAGAAAAACACAGAAACAAAACCAAAAATGAGACTGAAACCAAAGATTCTCCTTCAGAAATTCTTTACTGTTTGTTTGTTTGTTTGAGTTTCTCAATGTCTTTGTGTTTTGGGTTTTGCCTCAGCTATTTTAGCTTTATGATGCAATGGTTGCATAAAGGAAAGCAGAAAAGCTAAAAAAACGTGTTTTTAGCACTTTGTAAGAGTAGAACACAAGAACACACTGTAAAAAAGCATGCTCTTATATCATGGCCAAGTCAAAGTGCCAGAAACCAGAATCGGTCAGGGGTTTGCGACACACAGGCTCATGATTCTGCATCCTGAGTATACATATACAATTCTTGAAAACTACGACGCCAGGCAGTCTGGCTTTAACAAATGCGTAACTATGTTCAACACATAAGAAATATGCAAGAAGACCTTCACACAGAAAAGGTGGATCATTGGGGGGGCTGACCATATATACATCTAGAGCTATATTACATATATGTAAATTTGGCTATGATTTTTTGAGGGTCTGTGACGCGCGACTCGCCACGAATCTTGTTATGGAGGTCTGTAGCGGAGGTCCTTGTTACGCAGGTCTGTAACGGAAAAAAATTTCTTGACAAGTATCAGTATCAGTACCACAATGTAGCGCAGAACAACGAAGAGCAGCAGCTCCCGCTCGACAGTCGCAACTCTTCAGTACAAGCGCAGTACGAAAAGCACGCCTCCGCAGCTCCAGTTCGAAATATGCAACTGCCAAAAGTCAAGCGGTGGCACAAGGGGGTCACTGGCCCGGGCTGGGCTTGGGCCTGTAACGAGGTATGTGACGGGTATGTAACGAAGTCTGTAACGAGGCCAGGCAAAGCTCTTCAGCAAAAGCATGCTCTGCAAAAGTCTGATCTGCAGGCACCCATGGGAAATCACTCAGAGTCTGTACATGCATTGGGGTATGTAACGAGAGGCATGCAACCAGCCAAGGGGTATGTAACGAGGGGTGTGTAACAAGCCAGCGGGTCTTGTTACGGAGGTCTGTAATGAGGTCTGTAACGAATGTCCGCCGCGGCTCTGTTACAGACCCCTTGCCATATATATATATATATATACACATGGGTGTGTGTTTTTTGGGGTCACCCCCTTTTGGGTTGCTGTCAAAGCGAAAAAACGAAAGGAACACCGACCTTTTCTGACGTACGCTCAAAACAAGACACCTATATGAAGTTGTCGAGGAAGCTCCAGGATTAGGCAGATCCAGCGCGTAATTTTGATCCAAGGCCTACGATGGCCGTGCTGCAGAGCAAAGCGCCCAGGATCGCTGCGAGGACCTGCGTATCTGGGATTCGGATCCCTCTTGGGCCACTGGGGAAATGTCGCGATCAAAATCAGAAACTGGGGGTGTTTCCCTTGAACTTATCACCTAGGGAGTGACTTTGATAGTCGTAAAGATCATGGGCCCCTGATTCATAGACCTCCCCCCACTTGTTGTTAAGGGGGGTCGCTTTGTAGTGGGGAATCCTTTCCATGAGGACTGGGGTTTTGTCTATATTTTGTCTAGCTTGTGTTTGAATATATTTTGGAGGAGAACCCATTTCCTCCCGCTGGTTTCCGTCATAAATATGGCAACCACAAAACAGGGGAACGCTAACAACAACGTGTTTCCTGATTCCAGCACCCATACTCAGCCTACCCTCCATAACATAGTTTTAGGATCGGAGACCCCAAACAGGAGCCCAAGGTCCCGCTGCGGGAAACCCGGGGTGGGGAGTTAGGGGGGTGGGTTTGTGGGTTTGGATCTTATCCAGATCTGCGGGATCAATGCCGAATCGAGCAGTGGATCTCCCCAGTGCCAAAACCAGCGATGGAAGGATTCAAGCAACAACATCAAATGAGAGTTGAAGTCTTTGCAGGAAGGATTGTAAGGTCCCTCTCAAAGTACACGTGCTTAAGAAACACCCCACTGAAACAATGGGCGTGTCGTTCTTTGGGGACCCCCAAAAAAGCGGTTTCCCTTTAAAGCCACAAAAGAGAAACCCCGAAAAGACAGACCCATGTGTGTCTCAGAATAGGGGATTCGGACCCTAGAGGAACCCCTATAGTGAGTAACAATCAGTAGTATACTCACTCAACAAACAGGGACAGTTCGCACACTATGGAGATTCGGGCAAGGAAATTGCATGAGGTGATTGTTACAATAGCTGTCAAAGTTCCTTGAGAAAGTCGTGACAAGCCCCAATCCTAAGAGAGCCCTAGCCCGGGCCCGTGGGGAACACAGAACAAACATATTGACCTGGCTTTCCCAAAATTTGTCTACCCTGAAATACTACCGTCCCACCAATTGCGGGTCCTGGAAAACCATTCTCCCTTTAAAGGAACCCCCTGTCAGGTTCCAAGCTAGTTGGTGGGAGGGCAAATAGGTTTGGGCTCGGAGACGCCCAAATCTCGACTTGACCCATCAGCGCCGCGCCTGTGAGGCCCAATACCCCAGGAGATCCCCCGTAGTGAAGCGCCGAGTCCGCGACAAGACCTCCAATCCGACGAGAAAGCGAGCGGCGGAAAGCGCCGAAAGCTTCCGGAAAGAAGCTGCGCCCTCCCCCAAAAAAAACGATGCCCCGTTGTCATTGTTTTTGCCTGGCCCCAAGAAACATGAACCGAGGCTGAAGAGGGTCAGAACCAACAAACAACAGTGTCAAACGCACCCAGAACCCTTTCGGAGCCCTAGCCCGGAGCCGCTGAAACACTCCGGAGCCTATCTGGGCAAAGACCCCAAAACCTTCGGCTGTTTACCATGTTAATTTGGTGAGCGCCCCCTTTGCTAAGGTGGATGTTGGTGATTGCCGCTGACATGACAGCAAGCTCTTGGGCTGGCTGGTGTTTTTTTCTCAATCGTCACCCAGCCCACCAAAGCCCTTGTGCCAAACACCACGTTGGTTGTTTGAAGGGGGCTAGTTGGAGTCGGATCATCCATAAACATGCAGTTCTTGTTGCTTCCTTCTTGAGCATGACGGGGGCCCTGGTAAAACCACCAGCAGCAAGTACGTGACGTAAATAGCTCCCTTACGAACGCCTGGCATTATTTACCATGGCTCTTCCATTTCCTAGAGGTTCCACCTACGCAGGATGCGAAGGACTGGTCTATCTTCTCGAACATAGGCAGCATCGGGCTTCGCAGCGCTGACGCTGCCACAGAGGCGAACAGGTACGTTGTTCGATCACTTCGCATGTTTCTTTTGTGCGCCTGATGGATGGCAGCACCTCGGATTCTCCTCAGAGAAGCAGGTGACAGAGTAGCAGCCAGTTGCTGCCTAGAAACGCGCTTGTAGAACATGACTTTAAGAAAGGCAAGTTCTTCGCGTATATCCACAAGACACTCTGAAAGATCGAAAGATCGTGTTTGGAGGTTCTCCTCCTCACCGGGTTCATCTTCACCCCCATTGAGCCGCCAAGTTGAGCTCCCTGAGTGTGGGATTTGAAGCCCTCGTTTTTCTACAGGGCAAACGGGAAACTGCTCTTAATCACCAGGAAGCTGAAAGAGGCGGTTTCCAACGGAAGGCCATGGAAAGGCACACTTTTGTGCGAGAAAAGACACAAAACATATCAAGACCGGTGAAGGTCATTGGCCCATCGGATCTCCCATCCACAGCCATGAAAAAGAGCGGATAGCAAAACACCAACCATAAAACCTACCTTCCGATACTAGCAACATACGTTCTATGCCCCCCTCCAACAATCAGCAAGACCCAAAATAGCAACACACTCATGTCAACGTGGATGAATACATGTCACAAGTTGCTAAGGCGCATTCTCGGGATCTAATACATAAACAATTTTAAACTCTGACGCGGGCCTTCGAGGCCACCGCTAAGTAGTACGGCGCGTTCGGCGGAATCATTTTCCCGCACCGAATATATATATATATATATGATTGCAAGTCCAGCTCAATTAACACTTCTCCAATTTCCGGATGCGTCCTCAATCCCGCAGAGCGGCCATCTACAACTACCGTCGAAACCCCTTTGATCTGGAGGGCTTATTCATCTGACATGACCATTCAGAAACACCCCCCCCCTGGGATTTCACGATTGAAACAATGTGGGTCAATATCGTGTTAACTTCGGATTAATCCGGAAACAGCAAAAAAGTGGCAAGTCCCTTCTGGTAAGAACATGATCTATCTTAAGGGGTTGGTTGACTAGTAGGTCCTCCCGATTTATCCGAAGTTGACAATCACTAACTTTGTTTACCGCGGGAGTTTCGTGATTGGGTCGTTGTCATGGATTTTCGGACCCCCTTTTGGTTGGAATCTAAAGGCACGCACAAGGAAGCCAACCGCATTTGAGATGTCCCCGCATTCTAAGGGCCAACATGCATACCAGAAATTGACATACCCCAAAAATAGTGGTGATACATGGGTTGTACAAGGCACATACCCCACAATCCATCCCTACAAAAAGGCCTATTGGTGGAAAATGTCCATTTGGGGTACGTAAGTTGGCCCTTAGACATATGGAGAGCCCCTGCTTTGGTTCGGGCGCACCGTCCGGGAGGTTTGGTCTCCGCGCCACAGCTGCCGTCACCGCCGGGTTGAAGTGGCCTCCGTCACCGACCCGATTCTGAGGCACAACCTGAACCCCCCCCGCCCCAAAAGACCAAAGGGGCTCTTCTTGGCCCTGCGGTTTCAGCCCTTCAGCCCTCAGTCTGGCGATTTCCGGCCAAAGCACCAATTTGGGAGACAAATGAATCATCTCACTCCCTGAGTTCGACTTTAGCCACTTTTGGGGTGTGGAACATTCTAGTAATAAATAAAAAGTTTACCTGGACCCTCAAGCTACCCACAGAACAAAAAAATCGCCCCAAAAAGTGTGTGGCGATAACCATTCTTTAAGGGAATTTTGGGCGTCCAGGTACGCTGAAAGCTCCCAAGCTTCCTTTGTTCTGATTTGCGTCTATGTCTATTCTGCCCTAAGGGGCGAATAGGCCCTATTTTAAGCTAACCCAAGGGAACGTGCGGTATCTATAGCCTTTACCATAGTTGCTATGTGGTGGCTGTACGTCCCATTACGCTCTAAGAAGCCTTGGGGGCTACAGGAACCATGACCTCAACCAGAAGCGAATTTTGGGCGCTGAGTTGGACTTGTCCTTTGCCTCTAGTGTGGTGTTCATCAAAGGTTGAACCGTTGGTTTTGGCTCGGGCTTTTGTATTACACGGGATTACATCCCACGAAGCATGGCAACTAAAATCACAGGGGCTGCTCTAGCCCCAATGCGTAATTCCTGAGTGGGTACAAGCCCAGTGAGCAATATGATTGGTAGTGTGCTGTTGGTTTTGGAGGAATTGGGGGTTTGGGGAAATGGGGGAACAACCCCAATTCCCCCAAAACTGGGTACCACCCGATTTTCCCGCGCCCCTGGGACAAACAAGTAGCGCATGATTGGGGTCTGTAACCGGGGGCCCTCTGGATGGTATCTAAAAAAACACATCTTCCTAACCACCTGACGCCATCTCAGCTTTTTCTGGGCATTAAGAGATACGGAAATCAGCCATCCGGGACTTTGGAGCCCTTTGGAGCAAACCCAAGCCTCCCAGAATTCCTTTGAATCCGTTCCCCGGCAAGCTGGCCATAAACATGCGCAGATCGTTCGGTTCGCCCGCCGACCCATCTGGGGTAGTCCAAAAATAATGATGTCAGATGATGTTTTCATATTGAGTCTGCCCTATGAAACAGGTTTTGGGGGAGTCCCCCATCTTTGGACAACGTCCCCTCTGAGAGCTCCATGCCCGCCTCCGGACAAATCTCCCAGGGCGTAGACCAGGCTCCTCGAAAGATCGAAGGCAGCCCGTGCTTGTGCGCAACTTTGAACATCGCGAGGCCAAGGGACAAAACTGTCCCGATTGGTGGTTTTTGGAGCTTTGCAGGGGTTCCCCTCTCCCCTTTTCTTAGAATTTAGTGGTTCAAACCCAAGGCAAAATCACCCAAACCGCCAGCTGAAGGTTTCCTGAGCCAGGGGAAGCCAGGAGAAGCCCTCGGCTGATTCATTCGGGTCCGACTTAAGAGGAACTGAAAAAACCTCACGTCATGGACCCCCCAGGGCCCAGGGGGGGCTAGGTGGGCGCGGGCTATCCATGGATACGCTCAGGATAAGCCAAAGAGAAGCCCATAACAAGGCCTTGGTTTAGCGGTTGATAAGGCATAGCCGCATAGCCCTCCCCAGTTCGCCCGCCTTTGGGTCCATCTTTGGGGGTCCATCACTGAATATGGGCAAACGCCCATAAATCTGCCGGGCGGATTGGCGCGGTCAACAGTACCGGTTGCATTAAGTCATAGGATATACAGCAAACATTCTCCAAGAGCCTCAGTTTTTGCTGCACAACAGGAACTGCCAGACTCTTCCACCCGCAATGCATTCCAATTTTGGATAGAAGCTAGACTCCAAAATCCTTGTGGCCTTGCAAGCAGAGCAAAGCGCCCCAGTTGCCGAATGCAAAAAGTTGAGTCTTGCTAATTAAAGAACAAATTACACCAGCATAGACCCCAGATAGCACACCACGGCGGCATGATGATGATGATGATGTTGACAGCATCTTGATGATGTTGACAGCATCATGAAAATACAACAGCTACTCAGCATAGTGCGCTACATAGACGCGCAGACAACGTCCTAGTGAGTCCATCTGCAAAACAATGCTGTTGACAGGGTGATGCTGACACATCAGCCACAAACGATTCCGCGCTACATATCTAGCAGAAAAAAAGGCAGAGACGACGTCCTGATGAGTTCGACAGCATCATGATGATGCGGACAGCATCATGATGATGCTCACAGCATCATGGTGATGGCAACGGCAGCATCCTGATGATACCACAGCCACAAATCATCTCGCGACCCTGATGTTGACAGCATTATGCCCGCCACCACACCCGCAAACCATAACACGGCACCGCAGCGATTGCAGCAGCATCATAACGTGGTTGACAACATCATGATGATACACAAGCCACGAACCATTACGCGCGACAGTTAGAGCAGCAACAACGTCCGAATCAGTTCAACAGCATCATGGTGCTGCTGACAGCATCATGATGCTGCGGCCAGCATCAGGATGATGCGACAACCACGATACCTCAAACAGCACACGCCCTAGCACCCTGCCATCCACATAGTACGTGACGGCAGGGTGCTCGGGGACATGTCCGGTGCTGGCGCGGGTGCTGCGTTGGGGTGGTAGCACCTGAGCTGAACAGCACTCATTAGAAGTCTATGGTTTCCAGTTATCCGGGAAATAAGCCCACACGGTCAGCAGCGCCTCCAACAGCAACACAAAACAGCACCTGCACCGCCACCCCAAACTGCACGCCCCCTCGCGCCCGGCCGTCAATTTCGCAAAGCGGCACCCCCACCAGCACCCGAAACTGCATACCCCCTAGCACCCGGCCGTCAATCTCGCAACACAGCACCACCACCAGCGCTCCAAAATACATGCTTCCTATCTCGCAAAGCGGCACCTCCACCAGCACCCGAACTGCATGACCCCTAGCGCCCGGCCGCCAATCTCGCAAAACAGCACCTCCACCAGCACTCCAAACTACATGCCCCCTAGCACCCGGCCGTCAATCTCGCAAGACAGCACCTCCACCAGCACCCGAAACTGCATGCCCCCTATCTCGCAAAGCGGCAGCACCCGAAACTGCATGACCCCTAGCGCCCGGCCGTCAATCTCGCAAAACAGCACCTCCACCAGCACTCCAAACTGCATGCCCCCTGGCACCCGGCCGTCAATCTCGCAAAGCGGCACCTCCACCAGCACCCGAAACTGCATGCCCCCTAGCACCCGGAAGTCAAGCTCGCAAAACAGCACCTGCACCAGCACCCCAAACTGCATGCCCCCCAGCACCCGGCCCTCAATCTCGCAAATCACTTTCCCTTCTTTATTAGAAGTTAGAACCCCTATAGCTTTCAGCTATCTGGGGAAAAAGCGAAGAAGATGCTTATGGGATCCCCGGGTTGATTGATCCGGGGTTATGAAGATCTATGTAGGTTTACTACAAATCTGATAAACCCAGGCATTGGACCACCTGCTAAAATGGCCCTATTCTAATTCCCATCCGCAACTCATTTCCTGAGTGGATTGGCCAAGAAAGTAAAATCTTGCTTGCCGCTAAAATGGTCCAACCCCAAAAAGTGTCGGGAAGTGAGCCTCATAGTCACCAGACCCACGTACAGGGGCCACTGGATTCCAGCGCCCGCGTGAAGCGCTGCCCCGTCAGCTTGCACGCGCTGGCAAAGCTCCAGGAAAGGCGATGTGGGCGCACCCATTGCTGAGCGGCTTCAGGGGTTGCACCTGGCATCCAGGATGTCCCCACATGTCTCGCGGAGCACAAGATGCCATAGCGTCGGATGGCTCGGCCGCCTGTCCTGAAATGAGCTTGCATGAGAGCTGTCCTTCTTAGGGCAGAGGCGCTTGGGCGACGCCAGCTCCAGGGTGCGCTTATTATTTTCGTTGCATTTCCCCTTCACAAGTTGATTCAACTTGCTGGTAATTTCCGTTGAAACAATCGCCACATTTGGAGCTTAAAGGGTTTCATGGAGGAAGCCCTGTACGAAAATGGCCTTATCAAAATCCCCAGCTGAAAGATCTCAGCCGAGAGCTGAGCCGAGCTGAGCCGCGGGCACGAGTGCCAGGCCAGGTGCCCAAGCGTTTCCGCACATGCCTCCGGTTGCAAGACAGGAGGCATGCGCTTTGGGGGGGTGAGGGTGGGGGGGTTGGGTTTGGGGGGGTTCATGCATAAATTAAAGCAAATGCTGGACGGGCGGAAGGGGGGGAGGGATGGAGGATGGATGGATGGATGGATGGATGGATGGATGGATGGATGGATGGATGGATGGATGGATGGATGGCTGGATGGCTGGCTGGATGGATGGATGGCTGGTTGGATGGTTGGAATGGTGGATGGTTGAATGGATGAGTTGATGAACGGCTGAATGGACAAATGGGTGAATGGAGGAGTGGAGGAATCGAGGAATGGATGACCGGACGAGCGGCTGACCTTGCGAGTGGAGGAATGGATGATGAATGGATGAATGGATGATGAATGGATGATGAATGGATGATGAATGGATGATGAATGGATGATGAATGTATGATGAATGGATGGATGATGAGTGGTATGTCATGAAGAGACATGCAATTACCGGAATGAAGTGAAGATAAGCGCAATTACATAGCACGATGCATGGACAAATAGACAAATTTGAATGAGTACATAGTTGGAAACAGGTTCCAATGGGTAAAATCTGCTAAGGTTTACGCAGGTCAACCGAAAAAATGAAAATTATTTGTTCAGTGCTTTTCCATATTCATTGCAACCTACAAGGAGTGCTCATTTGTCCAGTGGATCTAGGTAACCAAACAGGTTCCTTTGGTCTTAAAGGGGTAGTGTCCTTCGATTCATAAAGGCTGAACTACTATCATGCTATATATTTCACAATCATATGGGCCATAAGGAAACCTAAGTAACCAACACATGTGTTCCTGTTTCTATGGTCTTGAAAGGGTGGCTTCCTTGGCGTTGCTGGGCAAATACTGCTTTGGCTTCACTTTTTTCCGGTTGGTTCCTTTCGTTTCCCCAGTGCTAGTGGGATCCCCGGATTCATACACCGGGCCAGTCCAATTAAGAGGGGTGTATTCCCTCCAAAAGTGATGAACCCCCACTGATGGGGGATGCCCTCAATGAAAATCAACTAAGGTTTTTTCAGTTGATCAATCCGGGGTTCTCACTACAAACAAAATCGTGAAGAAAAAAACGCGAATTCGCACGTCCGGGTTGCCCGGCGCGCGGTGGCAGTCAGCAACATGGTGCCCACAAACTCAGAGCCCGCCCTTGCGAGGTGCCGGTCGGGGCTTGACCATGGAAGCTCCAGGACCTCTTTGGAAGACTTGGTTCCACTTACAGAGACTTCCGGGAGCTTCCATGTTAGTGAGGGAGTGTAGCCCAAGGTAATGGTGGACTAGATGGCCCATACAAAGAGGTTACTAGATTTCCACTTCACAAGTCGCATTTTACAGGTGGATTCCTGTGAAAGTGCCACTTTTGCATGGATTTGTATACTCAGTAGTTAAACAAAATCAAGGGCCGTTCAAGAATTAAACGGGATGGGTCAGACATTATTTAGGACCTTATAACCAATTGAGATCAAAGGGGAGCTGTCCTTTTCACAGTCGGTCTTATAGGACAAAGCAGGCTTCCTTTAGTTTGTGGTTGGAGGGTGACTCTCCATTTGGGTGTGTGCTTTTTTGAGGGTACCCCTTTGTTTGAGTGTAATTACCCGTTTTTGGTGGTTTGAAAGGGAAATCAAAAGGAAAACCACCTTTTTTCTTGGGGGGGGGTCCAAATCCAAAAAACAAGACACGCCCATTTGAGGCTCAAGGAGGCCCCCGTGGGAAAAGCGAAGGTGATAGGGTACTGGGCCTGGAGGGGTAGCTGACCGTGTCCCAGCAAGAACAACTCATACTTTTGCAAGTGAGTGAGGAAGGGAGAAAGGGCCGAACAAAAGGCGAATCAGATTAATCAAGGTTAGCCTGACTATTCAAATGCCAAGGATTGGACAAACCACCTTTATCTTGGACCTGGCTTATTGAATGACGACAAATCAATGTTCGAAAGTTAGGCCTGACCTCCAGAGTCCATGGGACAAAAGGGGCACCTGCTTTCGGTGGATCTGGGAAACCTATAAAGCTGGGGTCTCGCGTCTTTCGTGTGGCTAGCCTTTTGGTGACTTTCAAGGCAACTCAAGGGGTGCCCCTGCTCGTTTTGGCCGGTTCCCCTATATCTCACATTTGGCCGTTCATTCGGAGGGGGAGCGCCTTTTTGGTTTTGCTTCAGAAGGAAGCCAAAAACAATTATCAACTTCCTAGGTCCGGTTCGCAAGTTGGCGACCAAAAGGTCAGATTCCTTCAAGGCCTTACTAAGCCTCAACAAACCGCTATCACTATGCTGTAACTTGCCATGGCTAGGTTTGCCGATTGAGAGATTTCGCAGGGAAGTTCCGGCCATTAGCTTGTTGATGAACTTGGCCTGATCGAAATCCGTGTACACTGGCGGTGCCCCTGTAAGCGCATGGTTACTCATTTTTATCTTTTTGTTCCTACTTTGCAACTTGCCTTGAAAACTCACCCAGAAAAGGGTACCAACTCAAAAAGAAGACACCTCAATTCTGGTGGTTTTCCTTTGAGACACATCCATACTGGTTGTCCTTTTGTTCTGTTGTTCCCCTCAAAAGCCCGCCCCAAAAAAGGGACACAACTTTAAAAAAAGAGCACATCAATCCTGGTGGTTTTCCTTTTGGTGTGTTCCGCTTGAAAACCCACCCACCCCAAAAAAAAAGCCCCAACTCTCTAGATGACGATCCTCGGCTTTTCGCTCGGTTGCACCCGCCTCACTTGCCGGCTGGGGGCGTAGGCCTTGCGGTCGCTCTCGGTCATGTACTCTTCCGGGCCTGGGCTCGTGATTCCCGGGGGGGCCCTTGGCGAAATCTCCGCGTTCCTGGTCAGGCGGAGGTCTGCTTCTCATGGCTAAAAAATGGTATACTTGGTTTGGGGTACCTGGTTTTTGAGGGTATCTTCGGAAGACTTGAAGAACCTGGCCCTTCATGGCAAATACTATCGTTTTGTCAGGGGTTAATATGATACCCTAAAAACCTGGCTTTTGGAGCAGGGGGTGTCCTTTGTGAGCCTAAGGTGAACCGTTCCACAGGTTCGATCAGAGATTGATTCCGAAATTGGATGCGAAAAGCACGTTGTCCCGATGGCTGTACGCGATCGGAAACGATTGAACCACCTTAGAACCAGATTTGCTTGGACTACCTTGTCACTTTTGGCTTCTGCCAGAGAAAATACTTCAGTGGGTCGGCCAAAAAAGTCCATGTCCTTGTTCACCACCAAAATGGATGAAGTTTGAAGTCCAGGAACTCAGGGAGAAGAAGGACAAATTACTTGAGCAATAGTCAGGTTCCGGACCCTGTGGACATCATTTTAGTGGGGAGAAAAACTGACCGCCAACCACTCTTAAGGTGGATCGCTATTAAACTTCATAGCCACTTGCTTCCCCAATCTCGTCCCCCTGCATCCCGTCTTGCCCTCCAAGTGGTGAACCTCCACTAACAGGCGACATGTCCTCAACGATTAATTCGAGGTTCCCAGAACATGCCACCAAGGTTGAAAGAACAAAAGGCCACTTTCGACCCAAAGCTTTGGCCTCGTTTCGAGTCTGCGCATCCCTGGACTTAAAAGCACTCGTCTGCTTGGCACAGTGTGAGGGGCGCAAAGGTGTAAGTGGGTTGCCGCTACCCCCAAACCACTACGCCCGCTTCTCAAGATGCAGTCTGGTGAGAAAATGAACTTGCCAGAAAGACCAAAGGCCGAAAACCACGACTCCCATGGGACATGATGTAAATGTATACGCCGCCATGTAGCCACGATATGAAAATTATGCAGAATTCTGCCCCCTCAAGGTGGTTTGGAAAGCCCATTAGAAAAGGCCACGTCCTCTATGAGTCGAGCTCCTCATGAGCTATACCTCTTCTTTGTATTTCACGAAAACAACATCTTATTGTCTTCCCAACACTCCAGAGCAAAAGGGCCCGCTCCCTCTTTGGGGTAGCTAACTTTACAGGGCACCCGAATGCCTTCATGCGGGCTTTGTCAAACTAGGGGCCCTCTTTGGTATCCCCTTGAAAAGGCGGCTTACCCGGCAGCACCACTCAGGAACTGGGTTGCTCCCGTGGGAGCCGTCGCGCGCACACACACAAAAAAAAAAGCGACCAAGCAACCAAGCAAGCAAACAAAGATGTGTGATGCACCCAAGCCTCCCAACTCCTGACTCCCCCTCTCGCCCCTCTCAACGAGGAAGAGGGCCCAGCGCAACACGCGGAAGAGCAGCGCCGCCAGCGCGCCGGCGAAGAGCTGAAGCCGAGACGCGAAAAGGAGCCGCTGATCAGCTGCCCTCTGATTGAAATGCGACTGTTGGGGACTTCAAAACCAACTTCAGTCACCACCAAAGGAAGTTTAAGAGGAACTTCCGTGGTACAGCAACTAATTGAAACCCCACGAAGCTGTCTGAGAGAAATGACAATTTAAAAAAAAAAAAAGCAAAACATGAGCGAAAAACTGTTTGCGCGTGTGGTGGGGGAATGGAAATGTCAAACAAGCGCACCCTCTCCGGGGTTCAGGGCTTTGGGGTAGCCGCAGAAGTTTCGCAAGGTTGATGGACAGATAAACTGATAGAGAGAGAGAGAGAGACAGATCTGTGGATGAATAGAAAGGCAGAGAGAGAAAGGTTAGATAGGTTAGATAGCTGGCTAGCCAGCTAGCCAGCCTGATGGACGTATAGATAAACAGAGATAAAGAAGTAAAAAGAGACTTGAATAAGACAGATAAGAAAAATGAGATAAACTAGATAGATAGATAGATAGATAGATAGATAGATAGATAGATAGATAGATAGATAGATAGATAGATAGATAGAAATATAGATAGATAGATAGATAGATGAGATTAGATTAGATTAGATTGGATTAGATTAGATTAGATTTAGATTAGATTAAATTAGATTAGATGGATAGATTAGATAGATTAGATAGATAGATGGATAGATAGATAGGCAGACTGACAGACAGACAGACAAACAGATAGATAGATAGTTAGATAAAAAGATAGATTGATTGATAGATAGATAAATTTATAGATAGGTAGATAGACAGATAGACAGACAGATAGATAGATAGACATATTAGATAGATTGAGAAATAGATAGACCGGAAAGACAGATAGATAGACAAATAGACAGAAAGACAGAAAGAAACACGGAGAGGTAGATAGATAGATAGGCAAGTAGACAGACCGATACACAAATAATGAACAAGACACCTAGGACAACAAGATAGAGAGATAACCAAATAGCGAGATAGATAGCTAGATAGATAGACAGATACATAGGTAGACAGGTCAGGTCGATAGGTCAACAAATAAAATAAGATAAGACAAAGAAAAGATACGACAATTAGATAGATGGATAAACATAAGGAAGAGAAAGCGGAAGATAAATGAAAGAACACGAGAGAGAGAGAGAGAGAGAGAAAGAGAGAGAGAGCAAAATAAAGAAGAAGAGAAACATACACATATGTATAGTGTTTCTACTTTTGAAACTCTCGCAAACTGGCTTCGCCGGCTCTACTGGTGAGGGAATCATGTGTGTAAAAAGTGGCAACCCTACCTATCAGCTTCCCTCAACGAGGGCGGTTTGTGGGTGGCTTTCCTTTGTCTACAAGAACCAGAGGCTCAAATCCGCAAAGCACCAATCCAAACCCCAACTAAGGGTTAGTAGCTAAGCTGATGATGTCAACCAACAGCAACATCACTGCTCCTCACCTCACCTCAGCTTAGATTCTGGCAACCGTATTCGGACCTGAACATATGCAATGTGAACTTCGGACATATCTGCAGCACCGCATCCATGAGATTTGGATCCTTTTTTGGTGAATAGTCAATTCATTTTGAGCGGATTCCTCTGCGTCTCGCGTGGCACCAGGGTGGTTTGCGGAAACCACCGAAGCGGAGGCCTTCATCTACAAGGTGAAACATTTTCTCCGGTACACAACAAGTTCCCCCCAGACTCTTGACCCTGGAAAAGCAAGAGAGGCTTATGAAAGGGGATTTCGTAAAGACGCCTCATATTAAGATAAGCCACGGTTTGACATGTTGTTCTCAGAAGGGACCGGGACAATTACTGCGTCCCGATTTAGTTGTGGGAATGTTGGTGGGGCGGTGGGTCCCGCGATACTCCCTCCTGGTGGTCCCTCTGGAAAATAAACACAGGATCCTTGCAACCCAGTGGTGTATACATGTATAACTCAATTTCTCTTGGTTGGTGGCCTTGCCCGGCGGGAATATGGAGTATGTAGTGAGCTGCTTGATTTGGCCCCTTCCTGTGGCAACCCGTAAAATCGTATCACATGTGTCAATCATATCTGGAAGGGCCAGTACTTCCTTGCGCCGATTCAAGTGTCACAGCTTCTGTGTCCAAATGCTCTTACCGTCTGTGCACAAGTATGTGTGACCCGTCTCTTCGGCAGTCATCGGCCGCTGCCATGCATCCAATACACCAGCTTGTCAGTGGCAGTGAAAGTGGAAACAACGGCATCTCGGGCTGCTTTGAGCATGCACCTGGGTTTCTGACATGGCACGCAGACCGTGTTTTCACGCCACTCGCCCGTTTCAAACACAGTTGTACTCGGATATGTTGACCAAACCTCATATCCTAGAGACATGTTGGTGGCACCCTCAAAGGCGGCAAAAGGCAGCACCAGGGTCCAACCCCCCATTGGCACACCTTTCAACCTGCAGTCTTGGCTTGCTGCACTTGGTTGCATGTCCCCTTCAAACAAATGGGGTAACATCTCCAATAGGGAAACCTCAAACAACCATAGGTGTCCTTTTGGGAAAAATAATGGCCCTTCTGAAACGACCAGGTCAACCAGGGCCATCTACTTTATGCCCAAACAACCAAAAGGCCAGCTATGCTCAAAGCGGTTGGGTTCCTTTTGGACCCCCCTTTCAACCAACCTAAAAAGCGAACCCTCAAAAACACACACAAACACACACACTCACACACACACAAAGACACGCACACACACGCACACGCACACGCACACGCACACGCACACGCACACGCGCACGCACACGCGCACGCACACGCACACGCACGCGCACACGCACGCGCACACCCACACCCACGCGCACGCGCACACGCACACGCACACGCACACGCGCACGCGCACGCGCACGTGCACGCACACGCACACGCACACGCACACGCACACGCTTGAACTCCAAATGGAGGGTGCTAATCTTTCGAGTACAACTGATGAGTCTCGAGTACAACTGATGAGTCTCGAGTACAACTGATAAGTCTCGAGTACAACTGATAAGTCTCGAGTACAATAATTTTCGGCTTGCAAGACGCTTGGCTTTCCGGTAGAATCGAAAACGCTACAGAAGCAACAAGCAGCACTTACAGCGAGAGAAACAGCGGGCCAAAAGGACATTGCGCAACCATTGCAGGTACACAATCCAGCGTCCCGGATTGCATCACACTTCTCATCAGGCGTCTTCGTTGGCCTGAGTCCTGATGGGAAGCCTCAAGCCCCCTGCGTGAGCAATTGTGGTGGCAGGGTATTCTGCCACTCCGCACACACACACACGCACACGCACACGCACACGCACACGCACACGCGCACGCACACGCGCACGCACACGCACACGCACACGCACACGCACACGCACACGCACACGCACACGCACACGCACACGCTCACGCACGCACACACACACACATATGCAAATATTTGCCGGAGGTCTACTCCGTCTCTCCGGGAATCAGTCTAAAAAAGGTCCCCGTATCTTTAACTAGATCAGGGGTAAACTACCACTTCAAGCATTTTGGACAGAAAATAGCGACTCGGCGACTTTGCCAAGCCTGGTACACCACGTACATCAGGACTGCTGTGGCCTGGTCGTTTACAAACCACCCCAAGCGCATGAGTCTTCGAAATGGCAGGCGCTCTTGGATTGACTCAGTTGTATTCTTGTAAGAGCTTCAGGCATTCAAATGGGTGTCTTTTTTGGCAGGTACCCGTTTTTGCAGCAAAACAAACACACCCACATGTTCATTTGTGGGTTCTGTCCAGGGTCCTTCTGCAACACATCTTGCTGATGCCGCCTCTGCTTGCTTGTAGAAAGAACACTTCCAGTGATACGCAAGGTTGCCATCTGCTAAATAGTAAACCGCTTTTACTTGGTTAAGCTGTGATAGAGACAAGCCTTGTAAAGTGCATGAGTTGTCATGTTGGCTTGCTTTTGGTCATGAAACCCGGACGTCTTTCATAGGCGCTTAGTGCTCAAGCTGTGTGATGGAAAACAGAGTGCGTCTCACTTTGCTTTTCTTTGGGATTATTTGGATGGTAGCGGAGCAGTAGGAGTTCTTCCAGGAGCCATGGATCAGCGCATACTGCAGCTGATGGAAGGGCTTGGAGAAGTGATAAGGCGCTCAGCAGATGCGTCTACGAGTCTTTCTGAGCAGCTGAATGCGTTGGGCAGAACCTCTGGGAATGGCGGGGCCCAAGAGTGGTCTAGGGTGCTTGCCAAGCCAGACGTGTTTAAACCTGCAACCAGGGAGGACGAGATCACGGAGTTTCCCGAGTGGAAGTGGCAGTTTCGGCAGTACTGCAAAGGCATTTGTGCAGAATTGGGTGCGCTTATGGACAGTATTGAAGCAGATGTGGACACCCCTTTTCTTTTGGAGGACAAAACCGAGGCCATTAAGAAGCTCAGTTTTCAACTGTATGCACTTCTGGGAAGTTTGGTTCGCGGTAAAGCCTTACAATTGGTGAAGGGTGTCAGTGGTGACAATGGTGCAGAAGCATGGAGACAGATTTTATCTTCTTTGATGCCCACTTCACGAACACGCGCGCTTGCTTTGCTTGGCAGTATTGCACAGTATCCTGCATTTTCCAAAGATGGTTTGGTTGAACAAATTCTGAGATTTGAAGAACTTGTGAAACGTTATGAGCAGAGTGCTGGTCGCCCCCTTGAAGAAGAGATGAAAACAGCCGTTCTTTTGCGTGCGTTGCCACAGAGTGTGAAACCTTATATTTCAGTTTTGACGGAGGAGAAGGTCACCTACGATTCTTTGCGTGAAACTCTAATGAAATGGGACAGAACGCAGCAGAAGTGGAGCCATGGGAACGTTACTGGAGGTTTGACCGCTCAGGAGCCAAGCCCCATGGACATTGACCGCATCAAGGGCTATGACCCAAAAGGAAAAGGAAAAAGCAAAGGAAAAGGCAAAGACAAAGATGGCAAAGGAAAGCCATCGTGGTCAAAGGATGGAAAAGGAGCCTGGAAGGGTTCAGACCCGAAGGGCAAAGGAAAGTCATGGTCAAAGGATGGAAAAGGAGCCTGGAAGGGTACTAACCCAAAGGGTAAAGGTGGCAAAAGCAGTGCAGACAATGCGTCAAACGCGTGCAGAATTTGCGGCAAACAGGGCCACTGGGCTCGTGACTGCTGGAACAAGGATAATCCTAAGGTTCGTTTGGTGGAGGAGCATCAAGACCAAGGTTCCAACACGGCAGGCAGCAGTAGTAGCAATACATATTCTGCAGGTACTAGCGTGGCTGGTTCTTCGGTCAAGCGGATTGTGCAGTTGTCAGATGAGCCTTTTCAGCGTTCTGTGATCAATTTGGTTGAGCCCACAGATTTTCATGGCGGCGAACAGCAGTGTAGAGTGATTTTTCATGCTTTGAACTCGCAACAGGATGCAGATTTGCCGATTCATGTTCCTCGCTTTTCGCAGTTGGATATTTCATGCAGGAGTTCAACCAGTGATTCATTACATGTGAGAGCAGTTGAGACCAAATCCCATGCAATTGACACTGAAATTGTATTAGACAGTGGTGCAGATGTGTCTGTGATGCCGTTTTCATGGAAGCAGTATGGAAGTCCTGTTCATGGTCAGCAGCCCATTGTTCTAAGAGACGCTCAGGGACACCACATGCAGAGCAGCAGCACAAACATACTTGAGCTTGAAGTAGGGCAAACAATTTTGCGGGAATCCTTCACAGCAACCAACGTGCAAGGTCCTTTGCTTGCCTTAGGAAAGCTCATTCGTCTAGGATGGAGTCTGAATCACCATGATGATGAACTTTTCCTGGAATTTGGAGATGTCAGTATTCCTGTGATTGTGCGGCACAATTCTTTGAGCATTGCAGCAAGTGTTCGTATGATACAAATGCGTGAAGAAGTACCTGGGGAAGACTATGATGAGCAGTCGAGACCTCAGAACGTGCGAGCCATTGTGGTGCATGTGCATTTTCCTTACCACCCTGAAACCCCTGGATGGACAACTTTGGAGGATGGCACGCCTATGCATGTTGGTCAGGGAAGCAAGTTTTTGGATACAAATGCGATGTATCCATGTATGTATTGGCCTTTCAGAACAACCGCAGTGCTTATTGACAGGAAATGGATTTTGGCAGAGTGTTGCAGAGATGTTCGCTTCTTGGAGGATGTGGAAGCAAGCATTGAGGAGGTGCATGAATCCACACCGAGGCTTACATTTTTGCATGTGAAACCTGTCATGCCTGATTCTTTTGGTTTGAGAATTTCAGATGCAGAGCAGCGTGAAGTTTTGCAGAAGCGTTTGAATGAGGAGTACATTGAACCTGCTCAGGGAATTGAGAACCAACCTCAACCACAACCAGCATTGCATCAGCAAGCAGCTCAACAGCCAGCAGAGCAGCAACAAGCCGAACAACCACTTGCAGAACCAGATGCAGCACAGGGAGCAGCAGATGCAGCAGGCGGTTTGGCTTCAGTGCTTGTGAATGGTGTGAGTCTTACAGAACAGTCAGGTGCTCAGGCCTTGCGTGCGGGATGCCAATCTCTTGGTTTGGGTACAAGCGGTTCCAGAAAGATTCTTTTCAAGAGGTTGAAGAATGCTGTTGAGAGAAATCGAATTCTTCAAGAACAAGCAGTAGCAAATGCAGGTGCCCCGCAGGATCGTGTGCCACGCATGTTGCCCCAGGATCGTGAGCCGTCAGCAGACCAGAGAAGAGCTCATGAGTTGACACATCAACCCTACCAGAGCTGGTGTGAGGTTTGCGTTGCAGCAAGAGGCAGACGTGACCAGCATCAGCAAGACGGTGAGAGACTGGCAAGAGAGAACCAGGTGGTCATGGACTTGTTTTATACGGGGTACAAGGGAGATGAATTGTACTTCATGAGAGAAGACACCGAAGTGGGAAACAAAATGGTGGTTTTGGCTTGCGTGGACCGACAGACAGGTGTTTGCAAAGCAATTCCAATGCCAGACAAGAATACAGAGTCGATGCTGTATGCTGCAAAGGAGGTGGTTACCTTTTTGAATTACCTCAGCCATTCAACTGTTTCTTTGAAAACTGGCAACGAGCCTGTAATGCTGAGTTTGCAGGCGAAGATCCAAACAGCCCGAGCCCAACACGGACTTCAGACGTTCTTGCAGAACAGTCAAGTGCATGAACACGAAACGAATGGAATTGCAGAGCAAGCTGTGCAGAACATTCGCAATTCAGCTGTGACCCTCATGACTCAGGTCACCAAGAAGACAGGCAAACCCATTCCTGTTTCTCACCCCCTCTTTGGTTGGAGTTTCATTCATGGATGCATGATTCTCAACCACTTTTCTGTGAGAGGTGGACTGACCCCGTGTGAACGTGCCTTTGGAGTGAGCTACAGAGGAAAGCTGGCAAGTTTTGGGGAACAAGTTTTAGCAGCTGTATCTCCTGGACAGCACAATCGTGGTAATGTGCGTTTTGTCAAGATGGTTTGGATTACAAAGACAGAGAGGAGTGACATGCATTTGTGCCTTTCTTCTGAAGGTGCCTATTTGACTTCCAGTGTGAGGCGTTTGTCACAAGATGCAGCATGGACTGGTGAACTGTTTGAGCGTTTGCAAGGATCCCCTTGGCAATATGGTTTTGGTCGACTTGGCAACAGATTGGTGCCGGGGATGAGAAATAGGCAGGCATTGACAGAACCTGCATATCTTCCTGATGGATTTGCAGTACGAGAAAGGCGGGGGAGTGAACCACTTGCAGATGAAGCAGCATCAGATCCATCTAGCAATACACATTCAAGACAGAGATCTGAGCAAAGCAGCATGAGTGTGCTTCCAGATGACGCTATGCTTAGCAGTTTGGTCGGGACAGCAGGAACTGGATCCCAGCCTTCAGGTTTGAAGAGAGAAACTGATGGCGCAGGTGACGAATCACCCAAGAAGGTGGTGCGAGGTGCTTTGCCTGATTTTGAGGCGGACCCTTCGGATGTGCAAGACAAGAAGGCGCGAATTGCTAGAGTGGTGGTTGGTGAAGATGAGTATTTTGATGCAGATGAGGATGCATTGTATGATGCTGAGTTTGATGAGGAACTTTGCAATTTGGTTCCAAGCTGGAACATTCACCCTAATGTGGATATGTTCGATGAGGACTCAGGACCACCTTCGCTTCCAGACTTTGAAGTGGCAGCCTTGGACCATGAGGCAAGTACACTGGAAGTGGGTCGTCTTGAGGAGATGGGAGTTTTGAAGCGTGTGCATTTCCAACCTGACCCCAGCAAAATCCTGAAGTCGAGATTGGTATATGATTGGAGGTTCAGAAATCAGCAGTGGATTCGCCGTGGCAGGCTGGTGGCAAAAGAACTGAAGATTTGGTCACCGTGGAGACAGGATCTGTTTAGCCCTGCCACAACACCAGCGGTGGTGAAACTGGTGCCCCATGTGTTTACCACTAAAGGAGGCAAGTGGTGCTTGTACAGCCTGGACATCAAGGATGCGTTTTTAACTGTTCCTCAGAGGGATGAATGTTACATTGTCCATGAAGGTGCGGTTTTTCAGGTGTGCAAATGTTTACCTGGTCAGAGGCCAGCAGCTCAGTGGTGGTGCGAGCAGATTTCAGATGACATTACAGCCTTTGGACTTCAGAAGAGCAAGGTATGTCCGGTGCTTTTCGGTGGAGATCAGATGTGTATGGCCGTGCATATTGACATGATTGTATGTGGCAGACCTGCTACAGTCGACAAGTTCATTGACATGTTGGAGTCCAAGTACATTGTTCAGGTGACTGGTCCAATTTCAAAACCTGGAGAGAGTTTGCGGTTTCTGAAGAAGAAGCTGGTGGTGACAGAAGATGGTTTGCAGTACATGGTTGATGACAAATATATAGATGCCATGCTTGGAGAGCTGAGTGTTGGAGGAAGGCGAAAGAAGACTCCATGTCATCCTCAGCTTGCGAGAAAGGTGGAAAGTCCTGTACTTGAGATGGAAGATGCAGCGCGGTACAGGAGTGTCATTGGAGGCCTGTTGTACCTAGCTCCAGAACGAGTAGACTGCCAATATGCCATTGGCGTTCTGGCTGGAGCTATGGCAGAGCCCCATGAACATCATTTGATGTGCCTTAGGCATTTGCTAGGGTACATGTCTGAGACGAGAAACTATGGAATCAAGCTCAAATGGCGAACTGCGGGCGAGAAAGTTTTTGGCCCGGGTGACTCAGACAAGCCAGGAAAACACATTGTAGAGGTGTACACGGATGCAGACTGGGGAGGATCTTCTGACAGACGGTCTACAAGCAGTGCAATCCTTTTTGCAGATGGTAATTACATTCATGCGTATAGCAGAAAGCAGCAATCGATTTCTTTGTCTTCGTGCGAATCTGAATACATCGCTTGCACAGGAGGGATTGCAGAGGGTCTTTACCTACAAGAGGCCTTGGCAACCCTAACTCAGCAGAATGTGCATGTTGAGGTGCATCTGGATTCATCCTCAGCACGTTCGCTGTTTTTCAGGCAGGGAGTCTCTAGGTTGAAGCACTTGGAGATCAGATTGCTTTGGGCTCAGGACTTGACAAGAGCTGGTCGTATCAGCATCAAGTCTGTGCCAACCAAGTGGAACCCTTCAGACTTGGGAACGAAATCCCTCACCAGACACCGCATTGAACTTTTGCTGTATGTTTGCAACATGTGGGATCATGATACCGAAGAGCGTGTGGGAAGAGAGATTTTTTTGGAGATGGTTGCAAAAGAGGACTATGCGAAGTCAGTGCGGGTGATTGCAGATGGACTTGGAGGAGGTTCAAGTGCAGTGACAGCAGCAAAGAAGTGCATGCGTGTGCTTATTGCAACTCAGATGGCAACAGGCGCCTTGGGTCAGGACCAAGCTACGGTGTGTGCAGCAGATGGTGCATTTGCTGACAGTGTGCAACAGCAGAATCAAAGCAGTGGCAGCATGATGCTTTTCTTGTTTATTCTCATATGCGTATTTGCAATTTGCATGTATGGTGGATATATTTTGCAGAAGCGGTTGAATTTCCTTGCAGCAGATGTGATGAATTTGCAATGTGCTTTGAGCAATTTCGAGATGAGATTTTCAGATGTGGAGCAGAGAATTGCGAATGTAGCATGCGATGACAGCCTTGTACGCTTTCATCCCAACATTTGGTGGGAGTTTGACAGAGTTCAGCACCAGGCCAGAAACACTGCAGAGAGAATTGATTGGCTGGTGATGAAGGAGAGAGAACGTGAGCAGAGAGGTAATGGAGAAACTTCCGAAGTGACGGAACCCTGGGACGCAGATTTCGACCGGTTTGATGTGGAGCCGGAGGAGCTTTTCAATGACGCCAACTCTGATACAGCAAGACTGGCATGGGACGCATACGAAGCTGGATGCAGCACAGTGCGGCAATTCCTTGACACCATGCCAGATTCCGACAAGACAGATTCCGATGCAGACTTGTGAGAAATGAAGCCCGGTTTACGGTGAATGCGCACCAAAGGGCATGGACGTGAATTCGTGCAGAGATGTGACATTGTTTGCAGAGACCTTGGAGGTTTGTGCACATGTTTTCCATTTGAGTGCAAACTCAATTGAACAGTCACATAGGTAGCTTTTGCTTTGAGTTTTCCGTGAGAGCCAGACATTTTTAGGTGATTGGCTTTGGAAACTAGACATTTTCCTGCAGCCAAGGCGGGGTGCTAAATAGTAAACCGCTTTTACTTGGTTAAGCTGTGATAGAGACAAGCCTTGTAAAGTGCATGAGTTGTCATGTTGGCTTGCTTTTGGTCATGAAACCCGGACGTCTTTCATAGGCGCTTAGTGCTCAAGCTGTGTGATGGAAAACAGAGTGCGTCTCACTTTGCTTTTCTTTGGGATTATTTGGACCATCCCTGCTATGTTGTCACTCCGCGAAGTGGCTCCGGAGCGGTCCATTTGCAACGAACCTTTGGGGAAACGGTTGGAATTAGAGGTAACCGAAACGACAGGGTTCCTTGCACGCCCTGCTTGTGGCTGTAAACTTAAAGTGGATTTAAAGTGGGCTGGCTGCCTTTGGGGTGATGTTCTGGGCTGTTCCCCTGCCAGGCAAAGCCTTGGGTTTGGACGGCTCCTCTGTGGCCCTGCAGAAACATCTTCGTCGAAACATCCGCCTGAACCAAGTACTCTTGGTAGCCACAAAAAAAAGGGGCACGCGGACAATTACACGTTTTGTTCCATATCTGGGTGTGTCATTTTTCGAGGGTACCCCCTTTTGGTTGGTTTCAAAGGGAAATCAAAAGGAAAACCACCATTTTGGAGGTCCCCAACAAAAAGACAAACCCCTTTAGTCAACCCTCAAATGCAACATATTTTGGGGACCTGCCCCAGACCATTCAAAGGGCTGCAGTCAGGCTTCCAGTGGCCCGAGATCCGAATCTGAGTAGGTACGGTTCCTAGGGAGCCTTAGGGAACATAACGCTTAGGGATTCCATCAAGATTGCTTGCAGCTCCCGCTGTTCATTTCACAGAAACTTCAGCAGCACCAAGGTTTACCAGCTTGCTCTTTCTGGCGGGCTGTGTGTTTCCCCCAAACCCGACCTGAGTCAGAATTAAAAAACCAAACCTGCATTGAACAAGTCTACCCGCAATGTAAAAAATCAAAGAGACAAAGGGGCTGGTTGCTGGACCTGCTTATGGCTGGGAGCGGCTCCTAACTCCTAACTTTCAGCTTCCCAGGTTCTGATTCTGGCTCGTTTATCCCAAGCATCAGCTTCTCTCTAACTGGTGGTTTGGATTTCCCACTTACTCTCTACAAGAACCAGGGTTCAAATCCCCAAACCACGAATCCGAACCACCAACTTGTAGGGGCCGCTTGAAAAACCAGCCACCCAAAAACCGCCAGATATGGTGGTTTGGATGGTCCGAGGCAAATGACCCGCCTGGCGATCAAACCAAACGGGAAAGCAGCCCCGCTCAACCCCTTCAACATAAAAGAAATAGAAGAACAATTAACCCAAATTGGAGAAAAACACATGCGCACATATACGTATATATATATATATGTACAGTGTACATATATATATATACATATATCCATGCACAAAGACACCTGAACAAGTCAGTGAAATCAACCCCTCTGGGCTTCGCGCCCTGACGGTGAAAGGCTGCTTGCTGCTGGCCACACCCAGGCCGATGGCGATGGCCGGGTTGAAGACCTCGCGCAAGGTCTTGGGTGCCAAGTGAATAGCGCTACTGCGGCCAAATGTTTTACTTAGGAAGTGGCTGGCGGCATTTTTATCCCGACCCAAATGATGTCTGCAGGGTCCCCAAATTAAAACTCATACCCTGTATGTGGATGGACAGATCCACTTCGTACCAGTTGGTAGGTGGCTTATCAACCATCAAAAAATCATAGGCCTTCATCTACCCCATGTGAATTTGCAGGAGAGTCAGTTTTCTTTTCTACACACACACACACGCAAAAAGTAGGGGGCCCGAAACATGGTGGTTCCCTTTGAAGTCACCGTCCCCATGAGCTCGCAGTCTCCAAACAGGAAACCCAACCAAAATGTGTGGCGTCACTGTAATTTCCCTTAAGCCAACGCCCACAAAAGCAAATTATCATTTGCGCATGAATAAATTCCATTATGACCTGGAGCATTCGCAATATGCGGGGATCGGATCCTCCAGTTTGAACGCGAAGGATGGTTGCTTGCCGTAGCTGACCAAGGAGTAGCACCGCTGGCATGGGTATCCTTCTGGTCCACCCGTGAGCCCTGCCGGCATTTTCGACAGCACGGGTGGTGGCCCGGGCCAACCCTCGGAAAGGCGAAATCATGTTGATGGACGTCAGCCAGCGTGGCCAGGCCGCCCCTGGGGCACATTTCAGGCGACGGAGGCTTCTGAACGACAAAGTCCATGTTGCCGTCCAAGCGCGTGCGGGGGTTCAGCAGCATGGCCGCGGGGGAAACCTACCCCTCACATCCTTGATGGAGCGACTGGCGTCTTCAGATTCATCCGGAGGACCGCACTAATCAATGGTGTTCAGTAAGGAAAGCAACAAATGTTGGTGGTGCCTCTGAGTAGGATCCTCTGTATCGAAGTTAACATTATAACAAGAGGTGTCCTTTTGGAAAGACGATAGACCGCTCTGACAAACGGGATAGAACCTATCTAAACCAGTGGAACCCATCTATTCTAACCACCAAACTAGCATAAAACAGACGCCTATTGTGCATGGACAAAGTCCTGCTCCAGTTGCTAGGTAATTTACCTCAGGGCTTCGTAGATTTCGTCCATCCACAGTATGATTACAACACACGCACTCAAGGTGACCCAAAGGGTGACTAAACAGGAAAGAACACCTAGCGGACCTCCATGGGGGGGAAAAAAACACATGGCACCCCTTTTTGGCACTTGGCTTTAAGGGGGATCCCCCAAGACCCCAAAATGTTGAAAAAAACTGTGGCTCGCAACCCACGTTCTGGGCCCACATGAACACACACACACACACACACATACACGCACAGCATACCCCTATATAGTCGGTGGTTTGGATTGGGATGTGGCCAAGATGTGTTTCCCATGTACTTTCTAGAACCAGGGCTTCAAATCCAAATCCAAACCACCGGGCTCCAAGCTACCGGGCTTAGAGGGAAGCTGAGACACACACACGCACACACACACACACGGGTCACTGGATTTCCCGTTCAATAGGTTGCAATGAACTGCTTTCTATCGAAGACTTGCACAACTTTTGGAGCTTCCAAAACTGAAATGGCACGGACCCTCAGATGACTTTCCCCTTTTCCATTAAACATCACCTCACTTTCCCAGCAGTTTCTGGAAAGATCTGTTTGGGAGACAAAAAATCAGGGGTGCTTGTACAGGGATCCTTACATTATACACCTGAACATTGCCTTGTAAATGGTGGTTTCCCCTTATTTTGGTGGAAAAAGCCATGTTTCAAACGGGCAAAATGTATCTTTTAAGGAGTCCTGTTGTACATACCCCCTTTGCATACCCTTGGGCAAATGAACCCAAAAGGCCTGCTGATGTTCATACCCCTCACCAGGGAAGCCAAAGGGGTCATAGACAAGGGGTGCTTCCAGCCTTGGAAAAAAGTCTCCCGACTTTTGACTCTCCACTCGCTATGCAACTCCGGGCGGCTTTCGTTCGAAAAACCTGGGGTTCCGGGCGCCCCCAGAGATGCGCTTGCTGCCGAGCCCGGCGGCCAGGGCACATGCGGCCGCCAGGCCCTCGACAGGGTGAGGTGGTTCGAAAAGAAAAAAAAAGCGGGGAAAGCTAGACACTATACACGAGAGGGTTGGAGAAAAACCCAAACGTGGTGAGGGTGGACAAACTCCTGCATTACTTGGGATGGATGAAGCGCCATGAATGGGTGGCCGTTTTGATGGACATCAATTTGATGGAGATGTATGTTTTTTGAGACTCATTGCCATGTGGACTTGTCTCATTTTATACTGAGCCTAAAGCGGAAGATTGCCCAAGCTGAAGGGTTCTTTGACATCAGAAAGGGCCCCGCATTTTGTTGCTCGGCGAGGAACTCAAAGGGTTTGGGAATCAAGGATTTCTTGTATAGGGGTCATTGCCTCGTTCCCTGAGAAGCAAGCTTGTCGACCCTTGGTCACATCAAGATGAGTACATTCTGGTGCACGTTGCCATGGAGCCCACCGGGGACATAGTCCGGTTAGAAGGAAAATTGTCTTTCAGGACCCTTTCAAGGTTCCATGTTTGTGTATGCGAGGGTAATAAGGCTGAAACAACGTGTTGTTCCCTAAGGGGTTGGGATGAACCAAAATAAGTGATTGAAATAAAGGAATTGATTGGTTGAAAATTAGTTAGCCAGATTAGTTTATCTGTGTTTTGAAAGACGCAAAGCGTTCCCTACTCACGGTCCAAACGAAGCCAACCTACTTTGTAGTAGGTTATAGCTCTGGCAACCCCTTTGGCCCACTCATAACTATTGTTTCCATCCAAATTCTACCGGATTTTATTTGGGGGGGACGTACCACAAAGCCAAGTATTTTGACTACAGAGCCCGAAAGAAGGTGATGGTCCCTAATCCCTCGCCACTAGTCACTAGGCTGCAATGCCTCCGCTATGGCTCCGAATCCAAAGAACCGATGTTGGGCCCATCTTTCTGTAGGGGATGCCCTTTTGCGTTTGGTCTTGCAGGAAACCAAAAGAAGAACCACCAAATTGTGGCCCCCCAAACTTTGAGACATCCCCGTGAGTTCCCTGATCCAAGCGGCATAGAACTGATTCGGCTCGCTGTCCGGGTTGTTCCGGCGGCTAAAGACCTGATTAGCAATCAGGCTTCAGCCAAGCCCTCGTTTCAAAATATGTAGCTATGCTTCACCCCAAGTTTCTCAAAATTGGGGATCCCTCGAGGTAGTTGGTTGTTGGCTTCCGTGTTATGTTGAGAAACATCCACCTCCTTCCAGTTGACAAGGCCAAGCCTCAGCCCCTACGTCACTGTTCTAGAGGTAAGTTCGTTCCAGAGATCATTCCTTCCAGAACCCCACAAGACACACCCCTAAAAAGTCACAGCCAGAAAATCCTTCACTTTGCGAACACATCACGGGAAATCTACCAGAACGAATCCGGCAAGAATATGAAGGCGCGCCAAACCCAATTCAACTCCCAGGCGACTAAACAAGGACATAATAGCCCCGCAAGGCATTGCACTGGCGCACAAGCAACGTGGCATGTGCCCAATGTCCTATTGCTAACTCAAGCACCCCCCCAAGACCCACGCCCAAAACAAAATGGCAAAAGTAAGGGTCCTAGAAGGTGGGGCGTTGTGGGTTGCCTTTTCTGGTTTTTATGTTAGTCTCAAACCTGCAGACCCCCTTCTTCGTTTTTAACAGAGGGTTTTGGGGGGTTATTCAACGTTTTCTTTAAGGCGGGCATTGGGGTAATTGGTTCCCTGTTTCATTGTTAGTCTGGGGCGTGACGTTTTGTCGTTTTGAATAAGGTTGGGTCTGGTAGTCTTTTTTATTCTGGGGTGTTGGGTGGTGTATGTGTTTCGACATTGTTCTTGTCATTGAACGCTTGTTGTAGGTTAAAATTATAGTATAGTTGTAACATATAAGGATATAAATGTTATGATTATAATATTAATCGTGTTCATTGTATTCCACTAATAAAAACATATATTATTTGTGTTATTGTGTCACGTGTTTTCTCATTATAAATATTATGTCTAAACCAGTCCAATGTTCTAATTGCATTATAATGTATACTCAAATTCATCTAAATCATACTCATAACTAAAAGATCAAAGTCATCATTGCTCAATGCTTCATATGTTAAAACTTCAGTATTATGAAACACATTATGTGATATGGTTGACCAACTAATAATATGTGACAATACAGTAAAATCATTATCGTGCCCATCATCATTACTACCAGTGTGTAATAAGTTATCAAACACCGTCTATAGTCAAAAAACAAAATCAGATCAATGCATACCCTTATTTCCAAATCTTCATCAAGTGTCTTGACACTCCTATTATCAATATCGTCAATATCATCAATTTGGTTTATATGCTTATTACAATTATCACATATTATACATTGACAAATATTATTACAAACACCATTTATAAAAACCCTGATTAATTGTTAATTTATGCATCTCACAGTCTTTACATTTGTAATTCATAAACTTGTGTTTCAATAGATTCTTGGAATCAATACCTTCACGGGTATCATCACTATACTCACTATATACACTTTCGGTGTCACTCATGTTCTCTTAATATATCAGATACTTTTTCTTTAAGTAGTTTTCGGACTGAGGTTTCAGGTTTAATCTAAGTCTCTTAACTTTCTTTTTAGTTTGTGGAATAATGGTTGTTCATATTATAATTAAATAATATGAACAAACAATTCTTCAATTTGTTCCATATTCAATTTCATTAGCAGTATTGTTTGAACACTCAGCAAGTCCTTCTTGACAACAAACATGTTCATATCTTTTTTTTGGTTAGTCTTTATGAATTTCAATTAAATCGCTCAATATGCTTCAATTGTTCAACACCTTCCCCCCAACCCAAGAATGAACCAGGCAACAATTTACCCAAATGACCACCTCTAACAAAGCGATATTTAAGCTCCCCAAAAAAACCTTTTTAAACCAACGAGGTGGACCACACTTTGAAGAGCAACAAAAAAAACAGAAAAGGCAACCCTCAACGGGTCACCCCCCAGGCCCCCTACTTTTACCTTTTCCCCCCGGACCCTCTTAGCAAGGCTTCAGCAAGGGCATGCATTCATAATTATTCCAGCAAGTGTTTTCTTCAGCTTCCATTGGCGTACATTCTTTCCATCCTCTGGTATGTGAATGTGAAAATCCCAGACCCCCAATGGATCTCCATGGGGAAACAGGGCACCTTTTTTGGTAGTTGACTTCAAATTTTAAAGGGGAACCCCCTCCAAAAAAAGAACGTATGTCAGAAATGCAAATGGCCAGCCTTGCTTGGCCCAAAGGCTTTCAGGGTTCGCATGATGGTATCGAGATTGGCAGCACCACCCACCGAAATCAGCGCCATGCCCGTCGCAAACCAGGTGGCAGACCTTACCCAAGACTCTTTCTTGGCCCACAAAAAGAGGTCACGGAAAATACATCTGACTCTGGCTTACATACTTCGTCTACCCTAAAAATCCAACAAAAGTCATTTTGGGATCGGAGACCCGGGAATCATCACGCCGAGATACGCAAAGAATCACCAAGTCCAGCATGAGAGTGTAGACCAGCTCGACCTTCGGAAGAGCTGACACTACGTTTGGTTCTACCAATGGGTCGGTCTTTACGACACACCCCAATGGGGGGCGAAAACTCTTAAGGGTTCTGATCGAGGTGTTGCGGTCTCATCAACCCTTTCGGGGGTAAGGGGGGGCCGTACCCAAACACGCAGCAAACATGGGGCAAAAGGGCGCCATTTGTTTGGCAGTTAGTTTGCAAGGGTTCTAATAACAAAAAGGACGTGTTTGTTGTAGTTGATTTGAAGGGGAAACAGATGGGCAAGATGTTGGGCGAAAGCTTGCGGCCGCAGGGCTCCAACCATGCTTCCCCCCCACATCACCCAAGAGGAAAGCTGTCTAAAAGTGGCAACCAAAGGCAATGCTTGTGCGGCTGCTTCTGCGGCTGCTTCTGCGCGCCTTAAGAAAGGACCCAACAACAAAGAACGAAAACAAATCATTCTTGCATTTGCCTTCCTTCCCGAAAAAAAAACTCAGAACATGTTTCCAGCGTTAAAACCAGCAAGGGAAAATACAATGAAATGCAAACGGAAATTGGGACTGACATTCTGTGAATACTGGTTGGTTCTGCGGATGGACGAAATCCTGCCCCACTTTGAAACCATGGTTTTTTGTCCAAGACCTGACAGGTGCCCTGCAGCCGCGAGAATCTGAGCCGGCGGCCGCACATGCCTGCATCCAGGAATGGCCGTCCTGAGCGAGCTTTGTTCTTGAAATTCCAAGAAAAAACATCACCCTATCAGGAAGCTCACTTGAAATGGGTTACCCCCTCCCCCAATTTCTCTCAGCATTGGGGTAGGGACCCGGATGGTTCTGACAGGATTCCCTCCACAGGTTCTTGGGATGGTTGGAATTTATTCCGAAGGACCCAGAAAATGATCACCGAGCTCTTGGGCTGACGGCTGAGAGGTCAAAAGGGTGGCCCGTCTTTTTTTGAGAGTACTGATTCCGGGCTCGTTTCGAGGGAAACCAACAGCGACAGTTGAACAAAGATGGGTGTGTCCTTTTCGAGGTTACCCTTTTTGGGGTGGACTTCAAGGGAAAACAAAAGGACACCCTTGCAATTTTACGGTGTCCGATTCCTATTTTGCGACAAACACCATATTCTTACTTAACGGGGCATTGTACTTGGTAAGCGGTTAGTGAGCCTGGTTCTAACCATAGAAGACTTGACCATAAGGGGTTATCACCAGGATTCTTAACCGCCTAAGTGCCCTGCCCCTTTAAGCAAACCAATGGCCACCCTGAAGAGCTTCAAGCCCCGGGCTTCGGGGCTCAGCACTTGGCTCGCCTTCGGGCGAAGCGTGGAGCGGTTCAGCGCGAGCCGGCGCGCGCTGGGGTTGGATTGCAGTGGGGGGAGCGGGGGGTGGCAGGGGGGGGGGTCCTTCAAATCCTGGGGCTCTACCAACATACTGGAAACTGAGGATCGGAAAAGCACTGGTTGATAGAAGGGATGCCCATTGCAAAGGGTCTCTTTCACTTTTTGAGGAAACACCACCCAATTCATCCACGAGGTATAGTGACAATCGTTCCCCAAGCTGGCAAAAGAAGTACGGTGAAGATGGGTGAGCTCATTTGACTCCTCGAATGTCTCCCGTGTCCCTCTCAGAGGGACCTTGGAAGAAAGGGGACTGAAGCAAGCCTCAGACACCACACGTTGACCAAGTGAAGGATGAATGGTTGTTTCTGTCGTTTCTCCCAAGAGGAGAAGGTGAGATACTCCCTGTCTTGTGCTTCTCTCTGGTCAGCTGGACCGCCGCCTTCAAGGGGGACACACAGTAAGCGCATGGGACCAGTTCAAGTCAGGCTCAATGAAGGGCTGAATCCTCATCGTTTATACTCAAATTGGTGCATCGTTGATGTTGGGTCACCAGTCGCGAAGAAAGTCTTGAGGTCACGAGAGTCTGAATACTCATCAGAGTACCTCTCGTCCAAACGAATGGCTGAGTAAATAAACATGTCATCCTGCCACACTTCCAGGTGGCTGCCGCCGTTAGCCAATGCATCCTCCAAGTTCCACTTGTCCCCCATCGAGTGCTCCAGAAACCCAGACACTCGCACATGGGACTCAAACTCTCTAAAACGGGTGTGCCCCCCAAGTAATCAACAATGGTTTACTGGGCTCTCAGCAAGAGAGCCCTCAGATATTGTCTCACGTGTTTGCCCAAATCTCAGATGTCGCACGTGGACCCAACTCTCTGATGGATGCCCTAGATCTTGCAAGTAAACTATCCACACCGAAAAAAGGCTGAAGGTTCACTTTGCATCCACCTCCCCGCCAAGTTCAAAGCAACAAGCCGCAGTTTCCCTCGCGATAGTGGAGCCCTTCTTGCTCCTTTCAAAGAACAATTCCCAAAAAAAAAAACAAAAAAAAAAGAGATGGGAGGCCAAAATAACTTTCCTCCATTCCCTCCTCCCAGCCTGGGAAACGGGACAGTTTTGTGAAGTATCGTAACTTGCAAAAATAGAATGCCACCGCATGAAGAAGTATAGCCAGTTTGACGGAAGCATAGCCATTCGACAAAGAGCATCCAGCACGCAGTGCTTCCAATTTCCCCTATAGCAAATAGCAAGTAACCTATTCTGTTTGCCTCTACCCCCTACCATATGGGAAAATTAGGGGCACCGGAAAACTGACCCCACCTCAAAAATAGGGACAAGTCACTCCACTGACCGAGAAAATGTCCACCGAAACGTCACTCGACACCACCCGATGGACTCGACCTCGAAGAGATGGCTGGCTGCCAGCAGCGCCACGACGCCGGCGCCGATCTGCACCAAGCCGTAGGCCTCGGCTTGAGGGCTAACAAAGACGAGCGCACAACGCGCCAAAAGCGCTCGCAAAAGGGCGAGCGGTTCCTGGGGCGAAAAGGTCGCATATCTTCCGCCCAAAGCTGAGTGGATTGGCCAAGTCGTCCGAAGAGATGTTGGAGGAAGCCAAAATGGTGTGAGGGAGTGAGCTTTGGGGCACTCAAGTTCTCAAGAGATAAGCTCAATTCCAAAATGAACATGGAACCTAGAACAAGTTCCATGTGGGAAGTACTCTCCTGCGGATTAACAGAGGGAACCTCAGAACAACCACGTTTGCAGGAACCTGCAGATTGACAGAAGGAATCCCACATGTTCAGTTGCATGGTAAACCATGGTCGGAAATGGAAAGAGGATGATCAAAAGGTTGCTTGGCCCTGCATTCAAACATCCCCAAGCGTAGGAGTTGGATGTAGACCACAAAATCATGAGCCTACTGAGTTAGTACTCTGTTTCCAAGAATCATGGATGCTGAGGAGGGTCTTGGAAGACTACCTCCCTTTTAGGGAACCCTGGCCACTTCCAGTGGAGACAGGTAGAGGCAGAGGGCTGTGTGCCCAAAAAAGTAATACGAACCCCTAACCAAGTTGTTAATCCTGGGTTCCCACTATTGGGAATGTCAAGGGTCGGCTTGCTGGCGGGGTTGGATGGATCAACTGGAATTAAAGAGTCCTCTCTTTCGACCGGCAGACCCGGTGCCAAGATGCCTTCGTGGCGCGACAGTCAAAATACGCATGTCTTTGTGGCCTGGTCGTGAAAACCCACAACTTTCGGCTTTCGGCTTCATTGTCTACCCCATTTTGGACAGCAAGATGTAATTCAAACGTGCCCTTGTTGGGTTGGTCTGATAGTAAACTCAAAGGAAAACCACATTGTTTTTGAGGGGGTCTTGAAGATCTCGGCCATGCTTCAATTAAGCCTCGCTTGTCTGGGTGTCTCACCAAAGCTGCCAAAGGCCGCATCTTGCCAGCGCAAAGCCTGACCCCGGCCCAGCGATCCGATGCTAAAGCAAACCGTTGTCTTGTTGATCAGAGGAGAACCCAGCAAATGGCTGAGTTTCTTTGAGGTTTGTTTCTATTTGGAGGTGGTTTTAATCGGACACCAAAAGGAGAACTACCATTTTGGGCTCCGAATCCCTATTTTGACACTTCCCAAACAAAGAGCAACCGGCCAAAAGCATTTGTTGGGTTGTTCAACGCAGAGGGACACGATTTTTCTCATCAGTAATCCGCTGCAACAACGAAGACAAAGCCAATACTATCTGGCATTAGGGTTAGTCTGAACCTCACTTCCAAAGTGGATTGGCAAAACAACGGTCTGAACTTTGTGTTTACACACTTAAATAGTCCTCCCCAAAATGTACAGGAAGTCAGGGAGTCAGTCAGGTGTTTTGCAATGCAACAAGAAACTCGACACCAAAACCTATAAGATTCTGCGCAGGAGGGTGCTTGCTTTCTTAGAACAAACGACACGTCGGGTGTCAGTGTTCCCTCCAAAAGCGGTCTGAACCTAAAAGGGGACACCCCCCAATCAAAATCAATCAGGAATTTAATTCATCCGGGGACAACAAGTTCATCTCACTTCCTGAGTGGATGGCCCAACATGGTCTTCCCAAAAAAGCGACTCAAGTCCAGGAAACCAAAACCCTGTGATGGACTCCCTGTAAAAACCAACCGGGGAAATCAATCATATTCTGAAAACGCGCATGGAACTCCGGAAGTGAGTCACCTCGGAGGTTTTTGGCATCCGGCCGGTTCGGGGCTCCGAGGCTCCGCGCATGGCGAAGGAGACCGAGGGGTTGAGGTGCCCACCAGAGATGGAGCCGAAGACGTACATCATCGCCTCGGAAAATGAAGGAAAAGGGCGTAAATTTCCATCGGGGGCCCGAAATGGACATCATTTATTTGGGGATGCTTGGGTTCCTTTTCAAGGAGTCAAAGAAGTAGCGTTTGCCTTCTTCAGAGAGTGGTGCGTGTGTATATATATATATATGTTAATTTATGTATACGTGTGGGATCATGTTTAGGCCCTTGTGGGTTTACCGCTTCTTTGGGGACATGTTGCCCACCCCTATCAGGGTTTGGGCAATGTTGATCTGTAGGTAGGTTGAATGAGACCCACAAAAAAACCTACTCTTAACTCAGGGTTGCTCACACAAGGGGGTTCCTAAGGAAACTCATCATCAACGTGTGAATGATTTACGGAATATGTTCCTTTCGGGGGACCAAACAACCTTTTTGGGTAACGTACATAATTATTTCTAGAGTATCACAGGAACACCAACTTTAATGGACTCATGCTTGTGTTGCCCGTGATTTTAGATAGGGAACCACCTCAAGTAGTTGGCGGTCATGAACCACACATGGGTGTTTTCCACATACAGGGGTACACCACAGATCACGAGCGGAGTTGACACACTTCTTCCGGGCTGCTTGAAGGTCTCTGGCAAAGTGGCCCCCTTTTTGTTCAGGCCCTTCCCCCTTGGTGGTCTTAAATGGAAGCCAAAGGAATAATTACCAGCATTTTGGGGAGTCCCCAGAAAAAGACACACACGCTTGGTCAACACTCAAGCCTGAAACTAGGTGGTGTCCATCTTTGTTCATGAGTCAAGGCCGAAGATGTCAGATGGCACCAAGCTGGATGTGGAAGATCAGGGGTCTTGAGACATTTGGCTGTGGCTCAAAAAAACGGGACCAACAAATCAAGCCTGGTAAGTGGGCACATGGACCAAAAGCTGCGCAACCCCTCCTGTTTAATTTTGAGCCGCACCCATTTAACGCTTAGCCACCCCCTCGTGACTTTTCTTTGGGCAACTTCAATCGCACGTTGACCCAGCACACTCGCCACTCGCTCCAGCAGAGGGACATACAGCGAGCCCTGTTGAATGTACCTCAAAGCTAGTCTTCAAGGACAACTTTAAAGTGGCAATGGGCGCGTTTTCCCCTTCCCCCCCCCCCCCCCCGCCCCCAAACATAGCATCTGCACGAAGGTACCTGGAACATCAGCTTCCGCTTGAGAGAATTCAGCTTCTGTCAGATGCCATGGCAATGAGGGAGGGCTGCTATCACCCTTTGAGGGACGCTATGGGTTTGTCTTAAAATACGGTGGATGGACGAAATCCTGCACTACCTCAGGAAACTGGAATGATGACCCCGTGTTAATACCAACAAACAATGGTTTTGCATGGCTTCAAAGTGGGTTTCGTCTGTTTCACAGCAGGGTAGCCCGAAACTTGTTGGATTCCAATTAGTTCCCTGAAGCCCCGACCCCAAAAATGGTACCCTCAAAAAACCACACACGCCCAAAACATCGAGTTGGATCATTATCATGTTGGGTACTAAATGCTCTGAAGGGACAACCAAAAGGGACAACCACCAGGTTGGGGAGGTCCAAATCATCTGATTTTGAGACATACCCACATCTTGGCAACCACAAAATCAAGGGTATCCCGAATTGAGTCTGTTCTGATTCTGGCAACTACCCTAAAACATGTTAAAACCAACCAAAAGCCCAAGTAAGGCAGGCTCATATCATTTCGGGCTCGGAGACACCAAAATCTTTTGGACCCCACCACCCACCCCGCCACACCCCGCCACACCCCGCCACACCCCGCCACACCCCGCCACACCCCTCTACACCCCAGCCGTGTGCGTGTCGCATTTCGTGCGTTCCGAGGTGCCAAGAGGGCGCAGGCCACAGAAATCGCTTGGTGCACCAGAGCGGTGCCCGCGAAAAGGTTGCACCCCACCTGACCAACCGACCCGCCGGCCCCAGTGGCGCGAAAAGGCGTGGCGTGCTTTGAAGGTGTCCTGCTTAATCAGTTTATCCCCCAATGAAAAAGAAACAAAACAAAACGATAGCGGCGCCCAGAATCCGTTGAAATTTTGTCTTAAGATGGTTACAAAGGTTTAGATAGACCTTCCTATTAGTAGAACCACCTACTAAAATGCCTGCTCAAAAAGAGGTGTTGTGTTTTCCTTTGGGTACCCTTTGGTGGACATCATATTATGTTCCTTTTTAGTTGAGAGGTCCCCTAAGATGGTTGGTGCCCCTTTGGTTTCCCTGTCCGCCATGTGCAGGGTGTTTGCCTGTTTTCGCGGAGGTACCTATTTTGGGGTAAATACCTCTAAGGTATATATATATATATATATTATTGTGCTTGTCATTCTTTGGTACCCTGGAAACCATATGTGACGTCTATGCCTGTCCATGCGACTTTGGACTTCGGCCACGATAAATGGCCATACAGTCATTTACGGTTTTTCGTCAGCATTTCTTGAAAAATACGGACAATACGGCCACCGGCAGAAAACAATGACCATGCGGGGAAACCGATCCAACTGCGGGTTCCGTCAAAACTGATTGGCCATACGGCTTTCCAGGATCCTTTTGAGGGCTGGTTGAAAGGAAAAAGAAAAACCCGAATCCATGTTTGCGGGTTCAAATCCCTATTTTGACACATATTCGTGTGTTTAATCTGTCAAAGTAAAATAAGTCCAGGTGGTACAGCCCCAGAATTCACTGGAACACTCCGGAACCCTCCCTGAAAGCCGCTCCGAATCACCCCAGTGCTTGTTTGGGAAGAGACCCCAAAGCGTTCAGCAGCTGATGCCACAAACGTCGAGAATGGAAAGCATACGGTACATTTCAAATCGCGGTAAGTTCTACATGAATTTAGAATTCATGCTAAACAAATAAAATAGCTTTTGGGTACTTGCTGGGAGACGGTTGGTTTGGACTGGCTCAACGCACTTTGGGATGAGTGTTGGGTGCTTTGGAGTGGGCTTCTTTTCACGGCTCCAAAGAACCTGGCGCAAGGGAAGTTTGGCAACCTGGAAACCAAAGAACACCGTTCACCACCCTTAAGTGACCGTGTTTTGAAGGCTCCGCCGCCTTTCGTTCAGAAGACCAGTTTTGTTGCGGCCCGGCCAGAAAGAAGGCCGCCAGCCAGTCTTACACGAAGTGCCCACCAAACGGCCCACGCCTCCATACATGACTTTCTCTTCGCCCAAAACGGGGAATGGAGAGGCTTCCCTTTATGTGGCCCGTAACCACCATGCCATATATTCGTCTTTTCTTCAGCCAGAACAGCACTTTCGAAAAACAGAAGCCCATGAAATGACCATCAAGCTGAACCGTTTTACAAGCGAGGGTGCTCTTCTTGAGGGCACCCTTCTCAACAAGCAAAGACAGGAAAGCCACTATCCGTTGGCTCCAAATCCCTGCTTGACACCTACCCAAGACTAAACCATGTTGAACCACCTTTTTTTCAAGAACCTCCTTTCGGCGTCCTTTTTAAACTGTGGGTGGACGAAATCCTGCACTTTGAACCCATGGGGGCCATTGTTGGTTGGTGTTTGAGAAGCCTCAGGGTTTCTTACGTGGTGCCAGGTTGATTTCATCCACAGTAGGATGCCAGGGCGCTGGCTGTTTCAACATCTGGGAGTCGACCGAGTCCCGTCGGGTCGACTTCTCTCGTGACTCGTGCCTTTATGGAGTTCCATTCGGGGGGTGGTCCAAGGGAGGGATTCCCGAAAGCTCCCTAAGGAACATAATGAACCCTAAGGAACCCTAGCGCTTTCCACTACTTATCCCTTGTACCCACCCCCCGACTGGGATTATCCCATGGATCGAACTTCCAAACCGATCCCGCCGTGAAGGCAAGCACGAAGGTGCCCAGGAACTCCGCCCCCAGCTCCGCCACCCCAAGCTGCCCCATGGCGTCCGGCGGTACCTTCCGGATTCTCTTCAGGATCCTTCTTGGAAAATGGGCAAAAGGCTGGAAAGAATGGGTGGTTTCCAAAGAGAACGGTTTTCGGGAATATATAAGGAAATGTTGCTATAAGAGAATGATACCAAGAATGCATTTTCAGGGAATCAGCCGCTGGAATATTGGGAATTGGGAACCCCTCTCTTCAAAGCGGTCATGAACAAAGGATCCAACAAAGAGGTCCTGCAAGAAATGCTGTTTAGCGAATTCTGTTCAACATTGATTGCGGACTTGGTGTTTGCAACAAGGTTCTACCTACATGGTTACCAAGGATTTCATGGGGATGAAGGCAGGCAGAAGCACCCAGCGGGAACCGGCTTTGGGCGCCGCGAGGTGTGAAGAATTGGCACAATCGCGGCTGATCTTCATGAGACCGCCACATCTCAGGACATGTTGAGCAAGAGCGCCAGAGCGCCGCGAAAGACAGACACGCCTGCCACATGATGAACACCTGGTGTAGTCGTCCACCCAAAACCAAGCAAAGAATGAACAGGGTTGGGAGCGTCCCTGCCCATCCTTCTGTAAACAGAGACGGTTGGGATTGTCACTTAAAGGGGGGGCAAACATAGGTGCGTGATGAAAGCAAAACCAAAGGACAACAAATGAGTCACAATGAAAACCTGGTGTTAAAAGGCCTACCCACGGCCGCACCTATTTATGGTTGGGACTATCCCTTGCTACAAGTCATCTACACAAATTTTGATTGCGGCTGAAATGCGCCCGAACCCCGTTGACTCTTGTTTCTACCAACCTGGCTACAATCGGTTTGTGTAGGCCCTGCTATAATCCCTTGAACTTTACGCCAAGTAGAACCAGCGAAGTACTCAACTTGCCCTTTTGTGTGGGGTTTGGTTCAGAGGCTCCAGTTGCCACCCCGCAAGTTCTTCGCAGGCCGCGGGCCCCTCTCGCCAATCTCCACGCCTCTGCGCAGTTTTGGCAGAAACCTTCGCCCCGCAAATCGACCCCCCTAAGCCCTAAGCCGCCGTGTGGGGGAGGGGGGAATTGGGGCTCGAGCCCATGGTGGGTGTTCTATCCAACCCGTGTGTATGTGGCCATCCGGGAATTTGGTTATGTGTTGCTACTCCGCCATTCAGCCGGGGACCTGCTGCCACTCTTTCTGCAGGTCAACAACAAACAAAACAGATGTATTGTTTGCCCGGTCACTCGCCAAGCCGCTGTTCTGCAAAAAATGGACGCCAGTCTTGAATCTTGACCAACATTGGACCTGAAAGGCTCTACTCATTCCAGTGTATCTTCCTCGTGTAAATTCAGCTGTACCCGCCCCTCCCCGGTTTTCGGGGCTCAATCGATTGGTTCGGTTGGCGAATCGAGCTGCAAATCCGCGGATCGGCCCGCGCGGTGCGATTCACGGGCTTTTTGGGAGAGGTTGAAGCAGGGCACCCCCTCCCCAGCCGCAAGTGAGGCTTTCATGTGGTGATTAGTTAGGGCTTTCAGGGCCATATATTGCACGGATTAGTATGGTCCTCCAAAATAGGTTAGCGCCTTATTAAGTGAAATGAGTACTGTACAGCTGGGGCACATATAACCCCTTGGTATCAAGCCCGCGGCAACTAACCCAGACCTCCACTGGCCACGAAAAAACACACACCTCTCTTTTTGTGCATTCTCAAAGGAACGTCCCCCCGCCAAAAAGACAAATGGGCATGTGCTTTTTTGAGGAGATCCTGTTTGGGCTGGTTTAAAGGAAACCAAAAGGAAAACCGTCGAGCCGTTCTTTCGGGTCCCACTCTTTGACGCGTCACAGACACACAAATGGCGCCACTGAGAGCATGTTGCCACGGAACCTGACGGTTTGGACGCCTTTCCTAAGTCGAGCCCCTGAGCAGGTTCCATGAGGAAAGGAAGGTAGCTTTAATTCCCAAACCAATCCCCAAGAAGGGTAGCTTGTGATCACAGTGCGGCGGACACATTTCACCAAGGAGACACGCACAAATAGATAGAGAGGCAAGCATGACATGTGAATTGGGAGCTCCTGGAAACGGGCCTTGGACTAACCTGTGCGCACAGGCCACAATGTACTTTGTTTGATGATCATCGCATCAACACCGCTGTTTGCAGGTCAGAAACTGAATCTGCTCGGTGGCTCCCAAGTACCACGAAGAGAAGCAAAACCAATCCCAACATGAACAAATGCAACCAACAACAGTGGCCGCCATTCCCCAATTTGGGCCTTGCATCCTGTGCAACGCGCCTTTTTCAAGACGTGCTACTCCAATTCGAATCGGTCGCCAACCAAGTTCTCCCTTTGGGAGAATCGAAGGGCTTCCTGGATTCTGGCCTGCTGAGATGGCCTTTAGAAAACGGTTGCTATGGGGATTCCTGTCAAATGGGTATGTTGTGTGTCAACCGGGATTTGACCCTACCTCAAAAACTGGGGTGCTCCAAGCCCCCCCCCCCAAACAGGTCGATCACCTAGGCCGCTTCAATGGGATAGCCGAAAGGCGTGCTCGATTCGGTCACACCAAAACCCAGCAATACTTGGTCAATGTTAGGGGACCCAGAAAGTCGAACCTGATGGCCTACTCCCAAATCATTGACTAGGGCTGAGCCCTAATAACCCTCCCTCATTTCAAGTGGGGCTCTATTAGTCCCCTGGTTTTGGGTTTGGGCCAGAACTGTTTCAGACTGCGTTGTTTAGTACTGGATTGAAACGGCAAAGTGGAACCGTGGAACCCCTTTGCGTTGCAGAACAAGTGCTCAAAATGCAATTTCCGAGTAAGAATAACAGGGAAGGCACCCTTGCTTTTTCCAAACAGAACCCGAACAAATAATACACACCTTGGCTTGTTATCAAAAAGAGACCTTCTGAAGGGAACCCAATCGAGACCCGAATAAAACCCCTGTCACGCAGTGCAACCATTTGGTTTTCGTTGGAGGCAAAAAGCTCTCAGAGTTCAACTTTTTGAGGGGGAACCCTAGTAATAAAGCTCTTGTCACGCAAGGCAACCCTTTGGTTGGAGGGAAAAATCGCCCAGAATAACCACAATTTTTGAGTCAGACCAGGGCGACTTCTAAATAAGCACATCTGCAGAGTTTCGCTGAGTGGATCAGGGTTCGGGAAAGTCTAGTCATGGGTAATTTAAAATAAGTATCGGCCATGTTTGGGGTCGGCTGGGGTTATTAGGGGAAGGTTTATTAATGGGAAGAAAGGATTACCAAGCCAATTTAATTCATGGCCACGCCCTCATTACTAAGCATGTTTGGCGAAGACAACGCTATCCCGACACTGGCCAAGACCCTACCAAAATGGGTTTGCAGCTATATTCACTTGGTGTACATTTACTTGTCGCTACATACTCTGGGGTATGTCCATTTGGTTTATGTAAGATGGACCGTTCATTGAGCACCACAGACTAAAGTCATTGGGTTGCCATGAAACCCACCAAAGGGAATGTTGACTCGGGATTCATAAACCCGTCCTGTAAATACGGGGGTGCTCCCCCCCAAAACAATAAACTTTCACTAAAAGGAGACACCCCACAAATATGTAATTAATGAAGGGTGTATTTTTCCCGGATTCCCGCTATCATTATGTACTCTTCACATATCCCATATGTAGGTTGGAACCCAGATTATTAGGAATGTGTGTGGCCTGGGCACAGAATTGTAGTAATGTAGTGGCAACTTCCATTTGAAGCGATCCTTCTATGAGAAAACCACCAAATCCTTGGCAAAAGAGCTGGACTTTGAAAAGAACAATGGACCAACTCGACTCAACAGGTCAGGAAATGTCAGATTCCGCGTCCTTCGGCGGAGCACTGGCAGATTTCGTGCCCCCCCTCGGAAAGCCAAGGGGAGACCACGTCGTTGACAGGTTGACCTACAGCTTGCAGGTCCACGTCTTGCAGGGGTCAAAGCATTTGTCCCAAACATTGCGCATCTTGCGGGAAAACCGTTGAGACTGCAACCCTACGGTTCAACTCCCACTATGATAATGGTGGACCCATTTAGATGATGAAGCTACTTTGGTAAATGCTGGTGACTATATCAACCCATATTAACCCCATTGTTTAAACGGCGGCTTCAAACATTGATGGGAATATATGGACCCCGGGCTCTGCAAATCGGGCGCTCACTTGGGGCTCAGCTGAGCCTCCTGTGCAAGCTGCGTCAGAGAAGCCTGAGCGGGGGGACATTTTTGGCATACTTGTCCTTATCATCAACAAACAACGTTACGGGGTTGGCGGTTTTGGGTGGGACCCTATCGCTTTTTGCAAATTGACGAGGTTTTGGTGGGCCCCGGTGTTGCAGTTTGATGGGTATCGGTTTTTGGTGATCTCCTCTCGGTTGATCGTCAGCTGCACATATGGTCTGACAAAATGGGAACCCTTTGGGGGGTTCTGTCAACCGTCTCCTTGATCCATCACCCTGCAGGCAACTTAATCAAGCAACCCAAAGGTGACTGATGTGACGAACCGCCTGAAAAGAAAGACTTGGCGAATGCTGATTGATAAGGGTGTGTCTCAAAATGCTGGAATTTGCAAAATGGGTGGGTCCCGTTGGTGTCCCTCTAAAGAAGCCCTGAACAGGCTACCCTCAAGACAAGACGCACATGCCAAGCTCCATCAAAACCGCACCATTTGGGATATGTTTGAAGCCCTATAAAGGATCCCTGGGGTTCAAACCGCCATTACATCATGGGGGTTCATATAGCCCCCATTCGTACCTAAGGATCGTCATCATTCAAATTGGGTCAACCATTCCTTTCATGGGGGTTGAACCTTAGGGTGATGGTGATAAAACACAAATCTCAACCGGTGCGAAGTGGATGCTGTCCATCAGTATGATTGCAGCTTCCCGCGTTGTTTGGTGGTTCGGAGCCGAATCGGTGGTTTGGAGGTAAGGTCAGGGAGTGGTTTCTTATTTACCCACAAGAACCAGGGCTTCAAATGCAAATCCAAACCACCAATTGGGGGTAGCCGGGAACCTGAGTTCCCCTTTGACACAAATCCAAATGGGTGTCTTTTTTGGGGGAACCTCCGAAATGGCTTTGTTCCTTTTGGTTTCTCTTTTAACAAAAGGGTACCAACTCCAAAAAGACGGGCCGCCCAAGTATACACTCTTGCAAATGGAACATCAGGGGACTTATGAGAGGGATCCCCTTCTTGGGTTCCATGTCGGGAAGGTCAGATTTGTATCCAGGCTGAACCGGTTCAGCTGGGTGGATTTCCATGGGCCATACAAGGGCAGCAATACTTTGTCCTCTCAAAAAAAGGTTCGAAACAGGAAGCAACATGGTGGTCTGGGTAAATTCAAGCTAGTGACGCGGCAGAGTTTGGGAAACACTCTATGTGTTTCTCCTTCAACTCCCTGGTCAAACGGTCGGAGTGTCATGAGGAAAAAAATAAGCAGTACCGTTAGCAGCTCAAAGCTGCTCAGCATGCTGAAGTGGTGAAATATCCCCTTGTGATACCAAGGTGGGATTCGCATCCGTGTGACTACTTCGTCACTCGGGGTTCCCTACCACAAAAGGTGGGCCGAACTGGGTTGCTCTTCCGAGCAAAAGGTCAGTCACTTTTGAAGGTTCAATGGAAGAGCCATTAGTTTCCAAAAGGTCTAAGGGGCCTTTGGGGTCACACCAAAGTCGCCAAAGACCAACCAAGCTACGCAATTGTCATTTTAAAAATGAAGCCACACCAAAGCCAAAAACCCATTGTCCCCACAACCAGATGCATCGGCAGTTCCTCCCCTCCGCCCGGCCAGTTTTGGGTCCCACACCGCACGCTTCTGGATTCCTTAAGGGTGAGAACACTTTTCCACGGGATTGGAAGACTATGTTCCTTACAAGGGACCCCCTCAAGGGTTCCATGGCAAAGTGGGCCGGAGGGTCAGTGGGAACTCTTCTTTTTTGGTTGATTTTGAAGGAGGCCCCTCAAAAAAAGAAAAAGGAAGCAACTTGCTGAAAGGCTGGGTTTTACATATGTGAAGGTTACTATGGCTAGGTCAATGTTCAACCCGAATCCCAGGACGTAAATCGTTTAATTGGAAAGGGCAAACATGTAAAATGCTACCAAACCTTAAAGCAGAAAATACGGGGTTGCTTCGCACAGGGGTGCTCCGAAATCCCTGGCTCAAGAGAGAAGAATATCGGAACCGAAGAAGAGGCTTGGTCGCAATTGAAGGGCTGGGAGCGACCCTGAAACAAACAATTTGTGTATAGAGATAGGTGTGTCTTTGTAGCGGACCCGCAAATGGTGGTTTTCCTGCTGATGTCCTTTCCAAAGTAAGCGGCAAAACGAAACAAACGCGCAATGCTTCCTCCCATTCCCATGGTTGCTTATCAATGGGCGAATCTCAAAAAAAACAGGCCTCGAATTGGATATCACCCCAAAAGGAAGCTCAACTTGGTTTTCATGGAGCCCGTACCAAAACATCGACCCAACCGAAAGGAAGCTCGATTCGCCTTGGTTGGGTTCAATGGCTTATCCAGCTGGCTGACCCATCAACCCTGACCCAAGCGAACAGGGTGATCCTCTTTCCACACCTTCGACTCCGTCAGCTTCCATTGAGAGAGGATGAAGGCCATGAAGAAATATCGCCAGATGGTGGTCCAGTTGGTCTCCCTTCAAAACCACCAAAAGGGTTCTCTCAAGAAAAGGCACGCCCACATGGGGAACCCTGGATTGAACCCAATCAGGCCCGAACTTAGGAAGTGTCCTGTTTTGAAGAAGGAACTTGTTTTTGTGGTTTAAGCCCAGTTGCCCAGGAGACTTGGAACCATTTTCGGGGCAAGAACCATCTTTTGTGAAGGACCCACCAAACAGAAGGGGGGAAGGGTGCCACTGAACAGCTGGAACAGGGAAAGCAAAAGCAAACTTCGGGATCCGATTCCAATTTGGCGACAATTGCTGGGTGCTAAATCCGCTCAATAGTGGGATTGAGGCCCTTGACGGCCTCAGGATGAAGGAAGCCGGCACCCACGTGTGCCATTAAAGCTGCTAATTGCCGTGATGGCCCCATGTCAGGGATGTCTGAACTCGTTGAAGTCGTCTCTGACCATCCCTACAGCAAAAGAGCGCTTTGACCGCGGCACATATGAGCACCGGATGAAGCAAACAGCACGTCTGGATAGCCACGGGAAATTTGGGTTGGCTTTTCATGTCCTCCCCATGTCAGCTCACATATGTTGCAACTAGGTAACCAGAAATATCCTGATGAGTGACCCCTATTTCCTTGTGACATTCCCCAAATGGGTCTCCCTCTTTTAGGGTACCCCCCTCGGCCAAGCCACGAACAGAGAGCCCATACTTGGGCATCAAGTAGCCGCTTCGCTTGAAACCTGAGCCGCAGAGTCACGCTCACCGGGAGCGGTTGGTCGGGTGCCCAAAGATACACGACTTATCAACATGGAACCTACAACACTAGAGAAAGCTTCCATTTCCGCTATTTCCAGGGATCCGAATCTTTTCAGGAACCATCAAAAAAGCCCATGTTGGAAACAGCGTCCATTTTCGCAAAGAGCGATGGTTAAAAAAGTGAATCAACCCCTAGAACAACACCCTCTGCTTTGAGCAAGCGCAAAGCCTTTTTACGATTTGCCCACCAGAGAGAGTTCCTTCTCAATAGAAAGACACTGGCCGGAAGCTAAACTCACACCATATGCCTTTGAAGGTTCAACGTTCAAACCGCAAGGAAAGCCTATTAAAAGGCAGGGGTTGCTCCGAACCTTGCAGAAAATCAAGAGACAATACGGTGCCGCCCGAAATGGAGTCTCCACAACGGACGCCTTGATCAGCCTTCTGAGTAAGGCTCCAGGCCATGTTCGGACGTATAGGGGGACCTCCTTAAAAAGAAGAAGAAGAACAAAAAAACATACGGCTTCTCCCAAAAAGGCGGAGTTGCACTTTTGACCGGGCTCCCCTGAATCACTCCACACCTCTGAGGGCTTTCCCCGACCAAGATCACGCCAAAGGAGACTCATGTTCAAAAGGCTGCTTGGAAATGACTAAAACTTATAACACCCTCGACGGGAAACAACACAGTCTAAGATGCTTCTCCCCCCCCAAAGCACTGCCCGCAGGGGTTCAATGGGAACAAACCAGTAATGTTGACCTATGATTAATAAATAGGGGGCCCCCCCCCCCCCCCTGAATGACCATAAATAAAGATTAGGGGAGAATTTTCAGGGTCGGGCCTTGTTTAAAGGAGTTTAGTATTGGGCTCAGTTTTTTTGGTTTTCGAATACTACTTTAGAATTGGGCCAATTCAAAAGTAGTATTGGGCATGTTGTTTTTTCTTATTTTGCTTTGGGGGAATACTAGTTTAGAATTGGGCCAATTCTAAAGTAGTATTGAGCCAAGAACTTTTGCATGCATTTCATGAGGGATTGAGAAGGAAATTCATGAGGGTTTGCATGGGCTGGCATGCATTCTAGGAGGGATTGAGAAGGACATTCATGAGGGTTTGCATGGGCTGGCATGTATTCCAAGAGGGATTGAGAAGGACATTCATGAGGGTTTGCATGGGCAGGCATGCATTCTAGGAGGGATTGAGAAGGACATTCATGAGGGGTTGCATGGGCAGGCATGTATTCCAAGAGGGATTGAGAAGGACATTCATGAGGGTTTGCATGGGCAGGCATGTATTCCATTCTGCATGGGCAGGGATTGAGAAGGACATTCATGAGGGTTTGCATGGGCAGGCATGTATTCCAAGAGGGATTGAGAAGGACATTCATGAGGGTTTGCATGAGAAGGACATTCATGAGGGTTTGCATGGGCAGGCATGTATTCCAAGAGGGATTGAGAAGGACATTCATGAGGGTTTGCATGAGAAGGACATTCATGAGGGGTTGCATGGGCAGGCATGTATTCCAAGAGGGATTGAGAAGGACATTCATGAGGGTTTGCATGGGCAGGCATGCATTCTAGGAGGGATTGAGAAGGACATTCATGAGGGGCATGGGCAGGCATTTCAAGAGGGATTGAGAAGGACATTCATGAGGGTTTGCAGGGTTTGCTGGATGTATTCCAAGAGGGATTGAGAAGGACATTCATGAGGGTTTGCATGGGCAGGCATGCATTCTAGGAGGGATTCCAAGAGGGATTGAAGGACATTCATGAGGGTTTGCATGAGGGTTTGCATGGGCAGGCATGTATTCCAAGAGGGATTGAGAAGGACATTCATGAGGGTTTGCATGGATTCAGCATGACATTCACAAGGGGAGGCATGGGTTTGCAGGCATTTCAGCAAGGGTTCAGTGAGCATTAGCTCGGCCAGCATTGCAGCCATGTCATCAGTGAGTGAGAATTCATGGCATGAACTTCATGAGTCAGATTTAGATTCAGGGCATGATGCAGATACAGAGCAGGCTGGGCAGGAGGATGCAGAGCAGGAGGATGAGAATGCAGCAGTTGATGAGGGTGCATCAGTCCAGCGTTATTGGGCCAACCAGTACACTGCATTAGTGGGCATGTCAAGGAGAATCAGGCATCATGTTGAAGTGCTTAATCTGATTGGTCAGTATTTGGGCATTGATGTTGCAGACACATACTGGTGCCTGCATTATGCAGGCAGTGTGTATCAGTTTGTCCAGCTGGAGAACCCTGCATATTCAGATGCATGGTGCATCTGGGGCTGGGTGATTGAGTATGCAGCAAAAGGCAGCTACTATTTTGTGGGTGATGAGATCAAGGAGCTTGAATGTCATGTTGGAGATGTGCCATCAGAACTTGCATCATCAGGCTCAGCACCAGCAGGATCAGACTCAGCACCATCAGGCTCAGGATTAAATTCAGATGCATCAACCACATCCTGTCAATTCCCTCAGCATCCTCATGAGATCAGGTTTGTAGATTAGTTAGGCTCAGTGCAATGGAGGCAAGTGTATGAGAGAAAAAGGGTTATGGTGGTGTGTGGTGGGTGGTGTGTGGTGGGTGGTGTGTGGTGGGTGGTGGTGGGTTGGTGGTGCCAGCACCATTCCCTTTCAGCCCTGGCCAAGCCCTGCTAGGATCAGATCTTCATCAGGTGCTGCATCCAAAGAAGGATGATGAGGCAAAGAAGCCAATTGGAGAAGGGAAGGATGAGGAAAAGAAAGATGAGTAAGCAATGAGTAGCTGCAACCCAGTGTTCTTAGCAGTTGGCATCAGGATTGAGTTGGAAAACATGAAGGTGCATGCGCTGTCATGAGTGGCATGGGGGCAGTGAGCATGGATTCACTTGGCATCATGTGCATCCAGCATGTGCATGAGCCATTCAATCATCAGCAGCCTTTTGCACCATCAGAGCTTGGAATCAGTTTGTATTTGGAGCCCATTAGCATGGCCATGAGCATGAAGAAGGTGATGGCATGCCTGGTTGCCATCATTGCAGTGGTATTTGGCATCATCAGTAGCTTGAATCAATTCATGGGGGACAAATTGACAATTGCTCATCACTGACAATTGTTAACTATCATGACTGAGGCCAGGGGATTGACATGGAGCACCATCAGTTGATCAATCAGGGAGTGCCTTGGCCACATGGGGCATGGCAATGCAGGGAAATTAGCATGGGTGGAGGGTGCATGTACTGCTTCATGCTGTATGCATTGTGGAAGATGCATCAGTTTGTGGATCATGCAACTTGGAGTCATTAATTAGTTAAGTATGCAAATGTATTTGTTTTGCAATGGCATGCAGGTAGTCACATGAACATTGATGAACATTGTTCACTGCTCAGGCATGCAACATCAGCAACTCAGCCTGGACATGTGCAAGGAAAGCAGGGTTCATGGAGAAGCGTGCCTGTGTCAGCAATCAGATTCATGATTCATGGCATGGAGTTTGCTTGAACCAGGTGTATAGTGTGTGAATGCTTTAAATTCTTGATGAACTTCAGGCATGGACATCGCCTATGGAGGCTTCCATGATTTGCAAAGGCATGTGGCACAGGTGCTCAGAGAGCCTCTTGGCTGATGCAAGATAATTACATGAAGCATGATGATGAGCACATGAGGTGATAAGGAACTAGTTAGTCAGATGTCATCAGCTGTTACTCAGTTAATTACTGGGCTCAGGTATGATGATCAGATGGGGGATTCTGCCATATTGCTGGGCATGATCCAGGGATTGCGCCCTACATTTGCACCAGGGATGAGCAGAACCTTGCCAGCATTAGTTTCATTAGGCAATGCTAATTATCAGCAGGCAATGCAGCAGGGCAACCATTGCAACCAGCATGGCAACACATGATTGGCTTTATTCATTCCAGCCAAGGGGATTACTATGAGGCAGAATGGGATTTGGCAATTCGTGCAGCATTGCTGGATGCAAAGCTGCAGGCCCAGCAGCTTTGAGTAACTAATGAAATGACAGTTCATGAAGCAAAATTCTAATTAAGTTGCATGATGATTGGACTTGTTGTTTTCAACTAAGGTATCAGCAGCTGATTCGCAAGGTATGTGGGATGAAGGACTATGCGGCACATGATAAAGAGCAGTTCATCAGGAAGAATGCCAACAGGAAGGAATGGCAACAGGAGCAATTCCATCCAGAGCATTGGATTAATTAGTAGACAAATGATTACATGAGTGCTTGAAACTAGCAAGTGTTTGAGATGTGCTGAGGATCAGGATGCTGCTTCCATCATGGGCATGTGCCCCCCATGGAGCAAGCTCATCAAGGCATACCAGGCCATTGATGCCAGGATGCAGCAGCTGGTGTGCCTTGGAAGTTTCAATCCAGAATCAGCAATCAAAGAACTGTTAGCTTGTGAGTGCATGATGTGATATCCAAGTGCATCATTGATTAAGGAAGCTCTATGAGCACTACAATCAGCAAATGGATCAGTGGGAAATGGACATTCCATTGCAGCCCATGTGGTCATTCCAAAGGGAGATGACCAAGATCGACAAGATGTGCCTCAGCAAGCAAGCATTTGATGAGTTTGATGAATTATCAATCAACAGACCCAGCAAGCAATCAGCAGGATACATAGTTAACAAACATCAGCTCTTGACCATCAGCAAGCAACATACATGTGAATAGTGTGCAAATGAGGATCCAGGAAAGCGAGGATAAGAAAGGGAGCCTTGGAGAATTAGTTGAGTCAAGGTAGAAGTCATCAGCATCAATGTGCATGCACACTTTGGACTTAAGGCAGAAATGCATCAAGGGCATGTTCTAAGCCTGATGCAGCCAGGAAGATGTGACTTGACAGCACATGATGAATGCAAGTGCAATGGAAGGGGACATTGGTTACTTGTTTGGGTGTGCAATGCAAGGCGCCATTCATCAGCTGGTATGGCACAAGCGGGTAAGGCGCAGTGCCTTGCAAGCAATAGATGGGCAGTTGCATGGC